AGGGTGTAGTGCTTGAGCTACACTATATCATGTGTTAAAGTCATGTTTTGATACAGAGCATAGCCTATAGGCATATACAGTAGTGGGCAGTGAAGGGCACATGTGCTGTGCAAGCTAGGGTTACCCAAGCGCCCAGGGAAGAGGCTTTACATGTGGTAAGAGTTGTGATTAGAACTGATCTAAGGCTAACCCTAAGCTGTGTTATTGGAATCCAACCCTAACCCTGTGAACATTACAAGATTTTGTATGTGGCGCCTATTACAAAATTAACCTCTGTTCAGCTGGGTTCCAAAATTTTTTCCCACGTACACGACTTGAGTTGGCAGGAAGGTCACCCCATAAGAAACGATTTCTTCGTTCCTCATCAATTGTAACTAATATATATCACCAGAAAGCTGTTGATGAGGAGAATGCAATGGGGGTGTTTTTATAAAATACTGAGCACATCTGTGAGTGCTGCAAGCCAGACAACCCACCATAAGTGACTCTGGGTCACAATTGGTCACTAATGGGGATCAATGTGAGTCTAGGTTAGTGTTTTCCTATGCATAATATCAGGTGTTACATGGCACATGACCTGATGACATCATTGCCTCCCCCCAAGTGTTATAGACCACCAGGTTCAGAATTTTGACCTCTCTTCAATGGTGCTCTCTATATGATTGTTAAATAATTCTAAACAGAGTTCAGACTATCATGAATGCAGCATTACAGCTGATGTATGCTATTGCATCATATATGACAATTTGATCATATGATGAGGTTACACAATCATGCTGAGAATGTGTGTTTCATAGTGTAATATACATATGTGTGAAGACATTGCATCAAGATGAGAGTGCCAAAAGACATTGTGTTGTTAAAGGGTGCCCTGTTGCAGTTCAAATGGTGGGCATATCAAGCATTAAAAAGGTGCTTCCAAAATGTGAAGAAATGAATGCATCAGGTGATAATATCCATCTAATGAACAGGATTACACCATTCATTCCAGGGCTATTTCATCAAGCTCTTGAGTAAGGTGTGTACAATCCATTGCATGCTATGAAAGTAGCTACAAAGATGAATGTCTTGCTGAGTTTCCTTGAAAGAATCAAGTATGGGTAAACTCTTAATTAGAAGCTATCTAGGTTTTGAAAGGGGCTAATAATGATATGAATCAGCCTTAATCAATTGTCAATCAAATGCTTGTCATATAACATCACTAAAACTGCATTGATGGTGATAATATGACTCCATTTGCTGATGTGGCTTGGTTTATCAAATGACTCATTGATGCTAGAAGATGATCAAGAAATGCTATAAAAATCATCTCCAGAGCCAAATAACCGGGCATGGAATAAAATAAAGTCTGTAATAAGCCAGGTTATTTAAAAAGGACATCTATACCATGATGAAATAAGGATCTCTAAGTGACATAGGTGATTGTTATAGCGGCACTTCAAGTAAGCTTGGATCTTCACTCTACTCAAGAGCATATGGAATATTGTGATGCCATTGTAATATACCAGTGCAGGAAATCCCCTGATAACATTTATGTGGTGTTTCTAACAGCATCTATGTGATGTTGTATCAATCCAAGCACTATATAAAGTAATGCATATTTGAGTATGTTGACTACAGAAAGATGAAAACTTGGAGCAAAAAATGAGAGTTTTGATGTCTGAGTATTCCTAGCAGATGAAAGCAGTGGAATCTTCAATTAATACAAAATCAATGCATGTGGATGTGGACTGTTCAAAGGCTTCTACATATATCAACACCATGCCCATAGTTTGTTCTGTGTCAAATTTAAATGCATTATCAATCTCAACCTTAGTTCAACTATATGAATTATATTGAGGGATATGTACCCTCATCAATCAGACCTGCCAGCCATGGCCCTCTCCACCCAAGTACAGATGTAGGCTACCAGTGGTGGTGTTGCGTGGACCAGCTCATGTTGCTGCTCTCCTGTCTCATGCAGCCTGCATTGGTCGCCACCACAAGCATGGACATCAGTTGTCAAGCCATAACCCACCAGGTCCATCAGCAAATTACAATTGATGAGGAACAAAGAAATCGTTTCTTATGGGGTGATCTTCCTGCCAACTTGTGTGACACCCATGCAACCCTGTGGGAAAAATCACTTATCCATCATTAGCTTTTTGATAGGCGCCATATACAAAATTTTGTAATGTTCATAGGGTTAGGGTTAGCTCCTAATAGGTCTAGATTAACATATTCCTCAGCAATATATTAAGTGTTATATACTGTCAGTTTGACAAAATTGAGCACCACATAATGGTGCTATTTGTGGGTCAATACTGTGCCATTTGAAGGCATAAATCAGAGTAAAAAGATGTTCAGGTCAAGATAATGTAGTTTATTTGATGAACTGCTAGTACTGTCTTCTGCCCTATGTAACAAAGTGTGCTACAATGTGATCGTGAAGCTAGACAGATGAAATAGTGAGAGTAAAACTGTCCATTGTACAGAGATAATAAAACAACAATTGTACCACCATTAGATGCACATTGAATCCACCTTTCTAAAAATATATAATAGTCCTATGTTGTGATGCAAAATGAGTTGTAGCTGTGGCTGAGAACAAACAAGACCACATTCACTGGCACAGGAGCCATGCTCAATGTTCCCCTGCCTGTTAGGACCGTGCGTGGAAGTTCGGGGGTTAATACAAGTCCTGAAGTAGTGAGCACCAGGCGTGAGGACTTCGCAAAACTATCACTGCAGCTATACAACCAAACTGGTGAGGGGTTTTGGTGTGATCGGTGGGACTGAAAGTGGTGCTGCAGCTGAAGGTGGTGTGAGCACCTAGGGACTATGACTGGCAGGTACAAAGTGGTGTAGCAGCTCCGCAGGGGCTGCCGGCGAGCCCTAAGAACAATATGACCAGCCAAGAACCACCGGACAAAGTGGCAGGGGGCTGCGGTGACCTAGGACAAGGGCCCAAAAGCAGTGCAGCAGAGGTTGATGTGACTGGTGACCCACCAGATTGGTCATATAGCTACAGTAGTAATGCTTCAGACACACTCACCAGGTGTCCTCAATTTACAAGAGATACCGACTCAGGGGTGGGGGCCCCCGTACAAGTACCGGAACTGACGTAGTTCTGTAGCTCTGGGACAAGACTAAAGAGTCGGGTGGAAAGGAGAGGGGAGATGTCAAATAGAAGTCAAGCTTAGAGACAGAGAGGAGTGTCTTGGCATCTTGCACCAAGATAGAAAGTGTAAACTGCTGCAGTGTCGGTGGTTTCACTGAAGCAGTCTGAAGCACAAAATGGAAATGAGCCTTTGTGGCCATAATGTAAGTTCCAGGACAATACATGAGGGAGCAACAGTGAATGTACCTTCATTGCCATAATGTAAGTTAGGGCAACAAAGGTGCGGGAGGTGAGGTAGATATAGTATACCGAGGTCGTGTACAAATAGTTCACTCACAACATTTGTGTTTGTACGGGGGAGCGAGCAGAAGGCGGGTGGTAAGCAAACAGGGCAGCGGGCAGTAAGCGAGCAGAGGAGCGGGGCGGGGCATGTGGTGGTTCAGGGAGTGCAGGGAGTGTGGAGTGCGCAGAACCAAGCAGTGTCTGGTGTAACCCCAGCACAGGGTTACAGAAAGGTCTAAATAGAAGAAGTCAGAATAGAGTTGGAAACCAGTAGTTTGTATGGGAGTTCAAAGGTTAAGACCGGGGGTTCAGAGGTTGGGTGCACAGGATGTAACACTGCTGCAGAATGTGGTCTTAATTGGGCCCCACTACAATTGTCTCAATATCCTCCCTCCTACTAGTTCATATGTCCTGAAATTTGTATCACCAGAAAGCTATTAATTAGGGTAATTGATAATCCAGAAATAATTTGGATGTGGCCACTCACTGGGTTTAAGGACCTCCTAGTCGGGGGACCTGAACTGGTCTTCTGTTCCGAACTGGAGACAGGCTGGGGACAGGCTTGGGACTCCAATAATAGTGAACGAAGCACTGCACTAGGGTGCTTTGTTATCTAGTAAGTGTCACTTCTAAGCAGGATTCTGGACCTGGAGTCCAGTTTTGGTGTGGCTCCAAGCCTATCCCAGACCAGAATTTGGGCCAATGTGCCTCTTGTAATGGTTGGTCACCCTGGATACCCCTACTAAAAGGTGGACTTTGAACCAAACCCCATGTTCAAGTGTTCAGGGTTTGTGTTGAACCTATACCAGGTATCAACACACATGCAACATAGTACTCAAATGTGGTGTGAACACCTATGTATGTCCCACATTGACTACTGTACCATTTCGATCAATACAACACGGCCTGTGACCGGTGACACACTTCGACTAACTGACATGTTCGACAACTCCCTGTAGGGCCTGTGACCCAGCGGTACATTCGACAAATTTCGACTCTTGTTCGGGCGGGAGGAGGCAGTGTGACTGGTGGTTCGAACCTGGCATGGTGCACCTTTTTGTATCTTCGGCTATTTTCTAGAAGATTGTCCAGTGTTGGTTGCGAGACAAGTGTTTGCGTCCTTCGCGCAGAGATCCTGAGCTGTCTCTCTGACAACATGCCGCCTACTCCTGCACATCTCGACATTCCTCTTCCCATTAAAGAGATCATTCTCCCCTCGCCTATGCTGTCTATCCTAGGATTTCTTCAATTTAATCTACCTGCTCTGTGCCAAACAACCGACTTGACTGCCACTGCAACAACACTGTCCGAGTATTTGAGCCCGGAAGCTCCGACTATCCATGATCCTGCTGTCATTCAGACCATGCCTATGCCGCCTACAGCTCTCATACATGCACTACACACGAGTGTCAAGACTACAGAGTCCACTTCCCTTCCGACATCCATACTCCACCCCACCGCTGTCACCCCGACGTCCCAATCAGCAGCTCCTGCTCGGTTGCCAGTATGTGTCCTCTCCTTTTGGAAGGAGGTGATTTACCTGCGCAGCTCCGACGGAGCGTATACCCGCTGGAAGCGGGCGGAAAGCTATTTGCAGAAGCAGCGTCAGACGTGGACAATGCAGGACCCAGCCGGTACGCACCAGCTTCTCAATGACGTCCTCGGAGTCTTTGGCACCCTCCCCTGGGCAGGCAATATCCATGGCTTCGAGAACCCGGAGCCGCTGAAGAGCCTCGCAACCTATGTATCAAAGGACTGGTTCAGCGACGTCAAGGTCAATCAACTTCTCGATTTACTGCGTCTTGAAGTCAACCGTCGACCTGAAGGCCGGGCGGTTACAGTCGAGAATCTTGCATTCTGGCGGTTCCTGGAGGAGGGCTATAAGCGACGCATGGAGCCAGGCGAAGCGTACAAGACCGAACACTATTTCGCGCGAGCTCAGGGCGTTGGAGACTCCCTTGCCAAAGGTGTGCGCGAGAGGGTCGGCCTGATCGTGAACTTGGACGGGTCGCACTGGATAGCTGTTGTCGTGGATTTTGCTGCGTCCGTGATCCTCTACGGAGACTCGCTTCGTGGCCGCGTTCCTGATGCGACTACACTGCAGACCCTGCGCTGGTGGATAGGAGAGCACTCAGATGTCGAATTCAAGCTCAACATGCTAGACATCACGTACCAGACCAACACGTTCTCCTGCGGTCTCTTGAGCTGGAACGCACTTGCGCACAATTTCCTTCCGGTTGTCTACCCACTCACCTCTGCGGCCGATGCTCTTGATGGACGTCTTCATGTTCTGCAAGATGTCATCCGACGACATCTGGATGAGGTACGCTGTCACATCAGCACAGTCATTTTGTGCACAGCTAACACACGTACAAATTAGAGCTTCGAGTTGGAAGCACCTGCCTCGCCAGGTTTTAACTTCAACTTCACGTTCAGGGTGCCACGTAGTCCATCCTGTGAAGCTCTGGACACTGCCCTAGCTCGTTCGGATTCTGCAACTTCAACGTATTCAGTAGAAGCGGAAATAGCAGCCCCACCATCACCATCCAACACTGTGTCATCAGTCCCCGAGCTAGACGTCTCCGAGTACAATCCTACCCCTACCCCATCTCCACCTTCCACACCGAGTCCTGCTCAACCTGAGCTACCATCAGCAGCCATGAAGGATAGGCAGAAGCTGCAGGGAAAGTCAGCTGTCCATGCTGGATTGGAGAAGCTCGAGAAATCGAAGGGAGAACGAACCGGGCTGTTCTGCTTCTTCGGTCGGGCGACAGCCGAGGAGTACCGCGCGCAAGTCGCACGCGCAACAGAGGAGACCGAGACGCTTTTGGAGCGGGACAGAGACCTAGAAGATAATCTCCGTCAGCTCGAGACGCAGCGTCGTAAGGACACCCAGAACAAGCGACAGCGCGAGCATCGTGCGCGTATTCGCGCAACCAAGGACGCAGGCGCAAACACAGCACGAGGAGTCAAACGGAGCTTGGACGCTCTGCACGACACTCTTGAGGGTGCCGAAACGAAGCGCCAGAAGCAGGAGTTCGCCGAAGCAACACGACCAAAGCGGGCGATCCGGGCGGCTCTCCACGCAAAGTCTCGAAAGCCTCAAGGCCGAAAGAGTACAAAGCTGAAGACACGAGCGGTCTACGTGAACTGGCACACTCCTCTCCTCTGGGGACAGATCATGAAAGCTGCGAGCGACCCATCTGTGGGGTGGACGATGAGTACAACGGCGATCAAGAAGGTCCTCATGCAGCACTCACCGGAGAGCTTCGCGAAGCTCAACCGATCGACGATTGAGGGGTGGATTGATCGCTCAGGTCCTAAGCCGAAGTGGTCAGACAGCTCGTTGCAGATGGCGGAGAAGGGACACTCACAGGGTGGGCACGCTGCAGGTGCACGCGGGGCTCTCGCAGCACATCCTGACGTTGTCAAGAGCATCATAGCACGCCTCGAAGCCCTCCGAAATGCGGGTACACCTCTCACGCTTGTCTCGGTCCGCGGCATTGTAGTCGCCACCATCACCGCCATGGCACCTGAAATCTTCGAGCGCAAGGCCCGGGATGGCAGCACATTCCGCTGCTCCAACTCCTTCCTCCGGCAATTCCTGCACGGTAGTCTTCACTGGTCAAAACGGCGCGCAACGCGAGACGGACACAAGCTACCTCTGGACTGGGAGGCTCTGTGCATGAAGGCCTTCTTGCGCCTTGTTCATGACGTCAAGGAGTACAACGTGCCTTCAGAGCTCTACATCAATACAGATCAGACGAATATGATCTATGCGCAGGGGACGAAGCTCACCTGGACGCCGACTGGAAGCAAACAGGTCGGTGTTGTCGGAACCGAGGAGAAGCGTGCTGTGACACTCTGTGTCTCGGTCGCAAACAGCGGTGTCTTGCTGCCGTTCCAGGCGGTCTACCAGGGCGAAACCTATTGCTCCACCCCCACCGCGACAGCGCCGCACTACAAGGACACTGTGAATGCCGGGATGCACTATGAGTATGGCTCAAAGAAGACGTACTGGTTGACACAACGTACCATGCAACGTCTTGTCGACACCATCATTGTACCCTACCTCGAGGAGCAGAAGAAGAAGCTCCCCAATCTCCCTCCTAATCAAAAGTCGATCTGGCAGATAGACGTGTGGTCAGTACACCGGTCCAAGGAGTTCAGAGACTGGATGAAGGAGCATCACACGGATATCCTTCTGCATTTCGTACCTGCGGGGTGCACACCTGTCTTCCAAGCCTGCGATGTCGGGATCCAGCGCATTCTGAAGCACTCCTTGAAGCGGTCGTATCACCGGGACGTTGTCAATGAGGTGCTGGCGCAGTTGGACGATGGGAAAGATGTTATCACGATCGCAAAGGCCGTGGGGGTGCTCCGGGACCGAACCGTGGGATGGGTCTGGAACACCTACAACACGCTCAATCATGAGCACATCGTCAAGAAGGTGAGCTTTGATGATGACCTACAGGCAAACTAGGGAACTCAGCTCATCCTGTGATTATTCAGGCGTTCGAAAAGTGCACTGTCGGTAACTTCAACCTCTTGTCTGCTAGCCTGACAAGCTGGGAAGCCAGAGACGAGCTGCGAAACTTGAAGGTCACAAACCGAGCGTTTTGGGATGAGATTACTGAGTACGATTGTCCAGACGATGTCCCAGCGAGCGATGCGACTGTACAGGAGGACGTGGAGGTTGAAGAGCTGGCGGGGGTCGATGTGGTGGAGGACGTGGAGGTTGAAGAGCTGGCGGGGGTCGATGTGGTGGAGGACGACAGCGACCTTCCCACAGATGCCGTTATAGCCCTCGTGGTGAACGGGAAAGCTCCCACAGGTGTCAAACTCTCTCCTATTTCTGGCGAACTGGCTTCCTCCGCCATTGTGGAGTCCTCGGAAGCTGTCAATGCACCGGCCATCTCGGAGCCTGAGGAGTTGGGCCGCGGAAGGAGGCGGCGGGTTCAGCGTGACCTTGCAAGGTACAACGGCGAGCACTTCTGGTAGTAACTTTGCTCTTTATACGTCTATATTATTTTTCAAGCTATGCCACTTCGTCCTGGCCTAGCTAACGTCGATTCGAGCACTTTGCGAGGAAAAAAACGGGTTTTATTGGATGTTCTGAGCCCATTCGACACCCTCGTTGGTGACCTGTGACAAACACCAAAATTACGACCGACTTGACGCCTCGTGACGCGTGACATGTCGAATTGATCGAAATGGTACAGTAGCTTTGTGCTATACCTGCAGAGATATTGCAGATACACTGGCACACTATACTAATTACCAATCTAGGTGGCACTTCCTTAGTATCAAGATGGCTCAAGCCTATTGAGATGAGAAAATCTGGAGATGTTAACTGTAGAATCCACAGGTTGGGGTCAGCCTTTCATTACAGCCAGTAAACTATCCCTGGCGTACTAAGAAGCAAAATAACACTCAACTCAACCCATCCATTCATAATACGGAAAATATCGCACACAATTACTTGACAAACCCATAATATCACACAAGAAGAGCCAAAATAAAGAAAGCAAGGCAGCGAATTGGCCATACCACCTACATCACAACGCAACCCCTGACATCGAGGCCAAGCTCCTGCATCTCCTCCTCCGCAGCCTCGCGCTCGTTCTGCTGCAGCTTCTTCTTTGCCTCGAGCGGAAACCAGTCCTTCATGAAGTTGAGCAGCGCCCAGTCCACGTTCGCTATTCGCATGCACATGTCAGCCACAGGAACCGCACTATCAGGCCAACGAACGTGCGAACTCACATCGGTTGGCGGACAACACGGTCGGCGCGCGACAGATCGGGCAGTGCTCCTCGCCGCGTTTCTGCAGCTTCACCAGACACCTGCGCGAAACCCCTATCAGCCACAAACCAACCCACAAGACTCCGACGCACGACGCACCTTACGCAGAACAGATGGCTGCAATGCAGGCGAATCGGCTTGAACGCGAGACTCGTGCAGATTACGCACGAGTAGTCGTCGATGTGTGGGATGATCGGCAGCAGCGTCTCCGTTAGGGCCTGCACGAGGAGCAGCGAGAGCGTGAGTGTCTCGCTCGTGCGCACCGGGTGCGCGCGCGAGAGCACGAGCGCGCCGTCCGTGCTATCCGGGTGCACGACGAAGGGGGACGCGAGGTCTGGGGCGAGCGGAAGCGCGGTACGCTTCGCGTGCTTCTTGAGGATCTTTCGCGTCGCTTCCGCGGTGACGTTCTGGAACTGATGTCCGCGGGGTAAGACGGTCAGCGGCATGCAGTGTGAATGTCAGGCGCGAGTTAAACGTACCTTCCGCAGATCAAGAATGAACATGTTGAGCTCCATGAAGCTCTTCAGCGCAACGCGGCTCTGCTTCATGCGAAGCTTGAGCGCACCCTTCGATATTCGTTCATCGAGGTCTGCCAGGAACGTGCGTAACCGCGCCTCCGCGTCCTCAACTTCCCGTTCGCCTCTGAAGCGCTCCTGGTGTCCCTGGAAGATATCCGCCTCCATGTACAACTGGAATATTTGTCGCCATGTATCGAGGTCCGACCGTGAGTTGAGCGCAAGGGTATGAGAAGAGATGGAAATATTAGCGGGGTCGGAGGAATATCGGGAGTGTGGGTGGAAGCCCGCAGTGTGTGATTGTGGGCGAGACGCGGAGGAAATGTCCTGCGAGAGGGACCGGAGAGATGACTCGAATTCCGCCCTCTTTGTAACGAGGTACGCTGCGAGGGAATTGAGCGCTTCTGTGAGGGTACGAAAGAAGGCGGTATCGGAAACGAGGGGGATAATGAGCTCGGCGGGTAGAGCGCTGGATGGAGAGGGTCGGGCACGGCAAGAGATGGCTGAGGAAGAGGGGCTTACCTGGTGCCATCTGCTCTGAGCTCTCCATCGGCGAGTTCATGGGAGCCACCGCCCGAGCCTAACGCACTGCGGAGGATGTCTTCCGGTATTGGAAGAGTTATGGTAGTTTCGGACTTGGGTGGTAGCGATGAAGGCCCCGCGGCGCCCGAGGGTAGGGATTCATCAGGCTCGAGACAGAGGCGGAGGCGGGGTTCGACATGGTCGGCGACAGTTGCGAATTCGTAGATGACGCGGGCTCCTGTGGACTGAGCGGGTGGTGGAGAGCCTTCTCGCTGTTTCCCCTTGTCGTTTGTAGTACTAGTAGGCGGTTGCACGACGCTGTGGAGGACGTCCGGGGAGAGACCTGGGGTGGGCAAAGTCTAATTCAGCCGCCGACGAAGGCCCCGAGCACGCGAGCAGACATACCAAGCGCGGTGAGCTCAGCAACGATCTGGTTTATGATCTTCTTGAGCTGTCTGTATTGTATCGCGCTGTCCCGCAGCTCAGGGGGCAGGGTGAGGAGGAGCTGGGAGTATGTCTTCGAGAAATGCATCGCGGTCGAGCGGAGAGTGTGAATAGACGCCGGCACCCGCTCTCTCTCCTGACCCCGACGTCGCGCTCCGCCCTGTCCTGCTCGGCCATGTCCTCTCTCGCTCTCCGCCCTGTCCTTGGTGCGACGTCGCGCTCATGTCGTGCTCGGCCCTCGCCCACGCACGTTTTCGTCTGGAGAACGTGCCGGAGCTTGTCTACCCCCGCCCCACACGAACCCACTCCGCACTCGAACGCGCCCGACCCCGGTCCGGCTCTGCTTTCTGCAAACGCGTCTAGCTTTCCTCCGTCGCTCAAGTCCACAGGCGCACCAGGTTCTTCAAATTCAGGGAAGGATCATCATGGCGAACTGTCAGACCAGGAATGGGAGATTCGTACAGGTCAGTCTCCGTCCGTCGCGCATTCCCCAGGTTAGAGAGTCTGATGCTACTCCAGCACCTGCCTCTCGACCCATGTATCCTACCGTATATACATATATGCATATCACCTTGCGCTCTCTGAACTTTGTGGACTGAACCTTACACTCACGCCCAGGACGCGGCATATACATTCTCCAACAGACCCTCCCTACCTTCTTCTCTACAGGTCTCATTTCCTCCGTCGACACCTCCTCCGGCCACAACACGAGCTCTCGCGCCAAAGACGACAGCGAGGATACAACCATCTACAGCCCGAACATCCGCCTCACCTACCGCCCGCCCACACCCTTCCCGCCCCCCTTGCAAATCGAAGGTGCGAGAACTACCTCGAATCCTGGCATCTTCACTCCTCACGCATCCATACAGGCCTCTCCATCTACCTCGCATCGTCCGTCCTCCTCCGCCACACCCTGAACGCGCTCTACACCGACCTGCGCGTCGAGCTCCAGCGCGTCCGGGTGCACGGCCCGCGCTCCTCGTCCACCTCCGGCCTGAGTGCCGACGAGCCACGCACCGAGCCGACCTCGCAGACGCGCAGCATCCGCGAGAAGAGCCTCTTCGTCAACTTCTCCGTCCGCGGCATGAACCGCGTCAGCAAGGCCGAAGCCGGCTGGGAAGTGTACGTCCTAACCCTTGCCCCCTGTTTCGCTGCCTGTACTGACACCGTGCACTATATACAGGAACTCGACGTACACGTTCTCGCCCGTGACGGGTCTGATTCACTTGCATGTCATCGACTCCATCCACCCCGCGCCGCACCAAGCCTTCTTCGACGCCCTCCAGGCCGCGCTCAACAAGATCGGCCTCGGTCGCTCCTCGGACCCCCGCGAAGGCGCGGGCGCGGGCGGCATGGCGCGCACCTCATCCAGGCCTCCTGCACCAGATCGGTCATGAAGCTTGCCCCATATCGTAGTATTTACCTAGTTGGCACCGCTGTACCTGTACCTTCCACACACGGACATAATAGAAACCCACCCCGCTCATACCGGCGCTTGACCTTTCTGATACTCCTCTGTTCTGCACTTCTGATCCAGTTCCCTGAACACAACGCATTGCATCGGACGCGCGTAAAGCAATTGACAAAGCAACCGAACTCTATGTTACATCGACCCTTCCTGTTATTCCTTCACTCGCTCACCCGACGACGCCTGTCCACGAGTCGACGAGGTCGACGACGCAGTAGCCGTTCAGCGGCACGTACTGCTCCGTGATCATCTTGATCGCCTCCTGCGCGACGAGCCCGCCCAGGAACGCCGCCATGTTCGGGATGTCCGCCGTCGGCGCACGCGCGCTGCAACAACATCGCATCAGCACCAAACTGTGCGCAAAAAGAGAGAAAGAGCGTACACTTCTCCGATGGCGGCGTCGAGCTCATCTGGGAACTCGATGCCGGGGCCTACGAGGGAGATGACCTCTCCCTTCAGGGCTTCGTCCGTTACTTTCGATGCATCTGTCTAGGGGTGAGTGCACTGAACGCGTGAGGTGGCTATATTCCAAGCGCACCAGAGTCCCGAGCCAGTAGATTCGTCAGCGCTGTAAGCGTGAGGTGTGTCGCCGCCTCGCGCGGGGTACTAGCCAGCGCGTTACCTACACCACACCTCCATCAGTTCACCCCCACATTTAAACGCAAACACGACCTACCGAGCGCCTCCCGGTCCGCATCGAACGCGCCCCACCGCTTCCCCCTCAATACGCGCAAATGGTGCGAGTTCTTCACAAACGAGTCCACCTCCTCCGGGTCCGCGCCGGCCGCCGCCTCCGGGTGCTTCGCCTCGAACAGCGCCCTGAACTTCCCCTTCTCGACGTCCGCCCACTGGCGATAGAGGTTCTGCAGGCGGACGTAGCTCTCCGTGTCGGACTTCATGTCGGGCAGGTTCGCGCTGAGCGGGAGCGTGCCAGAGCCAGCAGGGTCCTTCGTGAACTCTGAGAGGGTCTGCAGGAGCGCGTGGAATGTCGCGTGCCGCGGTTGGGCGCTCGCAGACTGGAGCGCCGAGAGGGAGAAGAGTGCTTGGATGTCTGAGGGGATCTGGGGGATGGGGCAGTTGGGTCAAGCAAAGCAACGTAGGATGGGAGGAATCAACGAACGGCGGGTTCCGACCAGACACGCCATGCCTGCGCCTCGGCCTCATCGAAGTTCTCCTCGTCCGACTTGACCTTGAGCGCGAGAATGCCCTTCTTGAACTCTTTCTTCTCGGCCATCGTCTTTGGCAACTCGCCGCCATGCTGCACGTATCATCAGCTCGTGTGCCACCTTTCTTTGATACGCCTGACACTTACGCTCTTCCTCCACTCGTCGACTTGTCGGACGAGGATGACGACAAACGGAATATGGCCATGATCTGTTTGGTCCATTGCACCCAGATCCAGACCGCGCGCCCACTCGAGCAATGCGGGGAACGGGCGGGTGATGCGCAATGAAGGCGCGTTCTCCGAATGCGACTGGGACACTACGAGCACGTGAGCCACTTGCTACCGCAGGTCTCGCGCCGTGTACACATACCGCAGTGTTCATGATATTGAATATGGAACTCGGCGAGGAATCCTGCGGAGCGCACGGTAACGAGTGGTGGGCCTTCAGGATTCGACCAGAGGAGGGCGGAGAGCTCCTCGAGCGTGGGCTTGTCCAGGTTGTGCGCGATCACAATCGAGAAACCCGTCAACCAGTCCTTGCCCTGCTCCGTCCCCAGAAGGTCCTTGACATCTTTGAGTACGGCTTCGCCCTGCACGCTCTCGTTCAGCTCGCGCAGGAGGGGGACGGCCTCTTGCGCGCGAGGCTTCCCTATACTCTCTCGCGCATTGAGGAAGAAGTTGTTTCCCGCATCTGCAGGGGTGGTGATGGCAGAGTCGAGGATAGAGAAGTGGCCAATGCCGGGGAGAACGAGATTCTTGAGGATGGAGGTAGATGTGGCTGAAGACGAGACTACGAGGATGCGGGCAGACTCGAGCGCTGCTTGGCCTGACGCGGCCCATATCCTGTACTCTCTTAGCCCACATATCAATTAACCGACAATTGAACGCGTACCGTAGCTGGCGATCGTACCGACGCGTCTTGTCGTCGGGCTGACCGCTCCTAGGGTATATGGGTAAGCACGCGCGTGTGATCCGAAAGAAATGCGGTGAAGTACGCGAGAGTGGCCGTAGCCTGTTCGATATCCTGCGAGTCCGCGGTCGTCATTTCTGCCTGTATTTCCTGCAGTGTGGTAAGTGTGGGGGAGGACGAAGTGGTGTGTGGCGGAGACTGGGACGGTGATCTGTGGATGAGTGAGCTTTACGCGATCTAGGCGCCCATGGTACAAGGTTCACGAGCGCCAAGCGCAGCGAGTCAGGTCCTCCTTCTCCTCCTCACCTTCCTCCTCTTCCCCCCTTCCCCGTCGTCCTCCAGGTCGTCGTCGCCGCCGTCGACCGCGATGCACGCCATCAGCAGAGTCCCCAAGCTCCCCCTCCGCAACGCGCTGCGCGCAACTGCTTCTTCGAGCACGCGCGCCGTCCCCCGCCCGTCAAACGTGGTCGCAGTCCGCGCCCTCTCCTCTGCCTCGGCCCAGAGCGACAGAGTGCGCCGATAATCCCGAAAACGCTCATAGTCGTACTCACCCTACTGACATTGCTTAGGACACGATCACCCGCCTCCTCTACTCCATTGGTACCAAGCGCGAAGTCGAGCGCTACCTCCGCATCTTCTCCAGCTCCTCAGATGGCTCGCACCCCGCAAAGTTTGCTGTCATCAAGGTCGGTGGCGCCGTCCTCGACCAGGTTGAGGAACTCGCGACGAACCTGTCCTTCCTCTACCGTGTTGGCCTCTACCCTGTCGTCCTTCACGGCGCTGGCCCTCAGCTGAACAACATCATCGAGAGCGCAGGTGTCATTCCGGATTACATCGACGGCATTCGGGTCACTGGTGAGTCCCACCCTACAACAGCGCCTTCTGTATGATACGACGAGCCCATGCGTCCAGACGCCAAGACCCTGCAAATTGCGCGCCAGGTGTTCCTCAATGAAAACTTGAAATTGGTAGCCGCCCTCGAGAAGCTAGGCACTCGCGCGCGCCCCATTACCTCAGGCGTCTTCTCTGCCGACTACCTCGACAAGGACAAGTACGGACTCGTTGGCAAGATCACGAAAGTCGACAAGCGTCCTATCGAAGCCGCCATCCGCGCTGGCGCACTCCCTATCCTCACCAGTTTGGCGGAATCAGACGCCGGCCAGATCCTCAATGTCAACGCAGACATCGCTGCCGGTGAGCTCGCGAAGGAGCTCGAGCCCATGAAGATCGTCTTCCTCAACGACAAGGGCGGCATGTTCCACGGTATCACCGGCGAGAAGCTCGATGTGATAAACTTGGACCAGGTCCGCCCACTCGCAAATCTTCCTCACCGGAAATCACTCACTCCACGTTTTTGCTATAGGAGTATGACGACCTCCTGAAGCAGTCGTGGGTGAAGTACGGCACTAAGCTCAAGCTCCGCGAGTTCAAGGAGCTGCTCGACCACCTCCCGCGCACCTCTTCCGTCGCGGTAATCTCGGTCGATGCGCTGCAGCGGGAGCTGTTCACCGACAGCGGTGCCGGCACGCTCATCCGTCGCGGCTACAAGCTCTTCAGGCACAAGACGATTGACTCGGTCGGCGCGGACCGTCTCCGCCAGGTCATCCACGACCGCGACCCGGACATCCTCTCTGGCGAGGAGAGCGTCACGGGTGTCCTGAACAGCCTCAAGGACACCCCCTACACGATCTACGGTGACGAGCCGCTCGACGTCGTCGCGATCGTCGCGCACCCCGAGGGCGAAGTACCCATCCTCACCAAGCTCCTTGCCTCGCGCAACGGTGTCATGAACGGCATCGTCGACAACGTCTTCAACGCGATCAAGAAGGACCACCGTCGCCTCTTCTGGACTGCTCGCGCTGACGACGAGAACCGCGCGTGGCACTTCGAGCGCGCCGACGGCTCCTTTACGCGCGCGGGCAAGAGCCTCTTCTGGTACGGCGTCCAGGACGTCGCCGAGGTCGAGAAGATCGTCAAGTCCATCGAGGAGAAGGGCCGCATCCCGCGCTCCTTCCTCCCCGTCGGACCCTCCGCCCCTCCCCACAAGGCTGCTGCTGCTGCTGCTGCCCCCTCCGGCGGGCGTTCCTACTCCACGATGGCGCGCCGTCGCGTGCCCGGCTCCTCGCGCGGCTACGCGACCGCCGCACCCTCCACCGAGCAAAAGCGGCTCGCCCTGATCGGCGCCCGTGGCTTCACCGGCCAAACCCTCACCACGCTCCTATCCGAGCACCCTTATCTGAACCTCACGCACGTCTCCTCACGGCAGCTCGCCGGATACCCCCTGACCACCTACACCAAGGCGCCCGTGACCTTCAGCGACCTCTCGACCGCGGACGTCGAGCGCATGGAGAAGGACGGCGAGGTCGACGCGTGGGTCATGGCGCTCCCGAACGGCGTCTGCAAGCCCTTCGTCGACGCAGTCGACCGCGGTGCCGCGGCGCGCACAGGCGGGAAGGGCAGCGTCATCGTCGACCTGAGCGCGGACTACCGCTTCGAGGACGGGTGGACGTACGGACTTCCGGGTGAGGCCCCTTCGCACTAGACCTCTGTCGCGCCCTTCCGTGTATTAAATATCCCTTGCGCCCGCTGTACAATATCATCCACAGAACTCTACGGCCGCGACGCCGTCCGCGCCTCTTCGCGCATCTCGAACCCCGGCTGCTACGCGACCTCCGCGCAGCTGCTCGTCGCGCCCCTCCTCCCGCACCTCGTCCCTGGGGCATGGCCCACCGTCTTCGGCATGTCCGGCTACAGCGGCGCGGGCACCGTCACGGGCCCATCGGACCCCGACGGCCGTCCGACGACCGTGCCCAAGGTGACCCCAGAGAGCCTGCAGGGCGGCATCCGCCCGTACGCGCTCACGGACCACATCCACGAGCGTGAGGCGGGGCGCCACCTCTCGCACCTCCTTGGCGCGGACATGGTGGGCACGGGCATGAAGCTTGCATTTGTGCCCTCCGTCGCGCCGTGGTTCAGCGGGATCCTGAGTGTGCTCTCGATGCCGCTGAATGGGCGCCTGACGGCGCGCGATGTACGTGCGCTGTATGAGGCACGGTACGCGGGCGAGAAGCTGGTGCGCATCAAGAACGAAGTGCCGACGCTACCGGACGTCGAGAACCAGCACGGGTGGACTGTCGGCGGCTTCCAGGTACACAGCGAGGGCGACCGCGCTGTCGTTGTAGTAAGTTCTCTCTACCTTAATGTTGCGAAGGTTTGGGCGCTCACGGGTATGGACGCACAGGGCGGACTGGACAACCTGCTGAAGGGCGCGGCGACGCAGTGCCTGCAAAATCTCAACCTTGCGCTTGGGTACGATGAGTACGCCGGGATACCCGTCGTTTGATATAGAAGGATGGCAGTGAGGGCGAACGGGGCGCACATCCTATCAGGAGGAAAAGTAGTCGTGTACCGACATACATAATGCACGCTATTCTCTCTGCATGGCCATGATACTCAACACCATGGGTCGTCATCGGAGTCACAGTCCTGCAAGGCCGATAATTCTCTTACAAGCCTGCGCTGAAAGCCCACGCGATAGCCCTCCTTTATCAACCTCCACGTCTTCAGAGGCTACCACAGCAACTAAATCAACAAATGCGCCTCCAGATCCGCCGGCGCCCAGACATTACTCACCAGCAACCCCTCCTCATAGGCTTCCACGACTTCCTCGGCCGTCATAGGAAAGCCTTTAAAAGCCGCATCGACGTACTCCGTCACGCCGACCGTACGACGTTGTAATTTGCGCAGCCAAATTTCGGCTCGGGGATTACGGGATACGCCCTCCCGCTGGGACCCGGTCGCAATCAGGCCGCCCCACCACTTCTTCTCCTGCGGTGTTTCAGTACCCATCATCCCCTAGCGCATTGCACGACGACAACACACCTCGTCCTCGAGGTCCTCTAAGAATCTCGACAGATAGGTCCTCCTGAAGCTATACTCTCCCCTGTATACGTATTTCTCGTCTGGGCCGTCGACACTCGAAATGACCATGAGATGCCGCGAACCCTCGTCTTCTCCGGGCCACTCCTGGCCAGCTCCAGCAAACAAGAGCTCATAAGAATGCCAATAATGGCTCCGTGCCGGTTCCAGCATGTGCGCACGGTCGACAAAGAGGCACCCTGTGTGCTTGTGGTGCCGCATAGCACGATCGTGGTCGTGGAATTCCAAGTGCATGCCGTGAAATGTTCCGCCGAAGACCGTCTGCACGAACTCGCGACTGACGGCGACGTGTTCGTTCAACTCGTCTAGCCGCGACCGAAACTCATGATTAGAGCCATGTGCGACATTTTCGCCGTAGACGAGTTGGGGGTGTGGTCCAAAGCACTGAGGAGGCACGGATGCCACCCATGCTCAGTGAAACAGTCGGCTGTAGTAAACGAGCAGGGGAATACTCACAGGAGCGACGGGCATGTCGATCGTGCTTGCGTGTTCTGACGAAGACGAAGGTTCGGGAGAAGGCGTCGACTGCCGGACCCGCTTCGAAGACTGTGAGATTGTATCCTCAGCGAGAGGTCTAGCTCTCTTCGCGGCGCTCCACACGTCGCTGCTCTCTTGCTGGTTTGCAAGACGTTCCGACTCGGAATCCTAAAAAGAGGCAATATGATCCACACGTTAGTGATAGCCAGGTATCAAGAAGTATGGCGAACCTTCAATCGTGCAGCTAATACTGCATCAAGTGGGGCTTCCAAAGTTCCACTACCAACCGGCGAGGCGGAAACGGCGGTGCGAGAATCAGTGAGGCCGCTCGCGCTATCCATGACGACCTCTGCCTGGCTTTCAGATAGGACAGGGGGGATCACATCCTCTTCTTTAGTTTTAGGTTCGCGCTAGAAATGGTAGCCATTTCAGATTAGTCCCGGCGGCAGTCCCGGGTATTAGGGGAAACAGTGAGAAAACCTCGCAGGTCATACTCGCTCACCAGTGGTTCTTGAGCAGCCCAACGAGAGAGCTTTCCCGGATCTTCAGCGGGGATGCCAATCTCGTTCTCCTCTAGTTTTGCTGTCCGGGGTTCCTCTTGAGCACCACACGAACAACTACGAGCCTGCTTTAGTAGACTTATGTGGTGCATCTGGCTCGGTGTAGACTTACGTTGAAGCGAGCGAGATCAATCGCGCATCCAATTCTGCGATTCGAGTCTTCAGGGCCGCTATCTCGTCTGCTTGCTCATGCCAGAGCTTTTCGTATAAGTTGTCAGCCATCGTACTCGCTGCTGCCAGGGGGTATATGTCCTAAGCTTTGTGCGTGCAATAGGTGCGTGGTCACGGTAATACGAGACAAGCTGAGCTAGCGCTTGCGTTGAGTGCTTGGCCCTGTGTATCGCGCCCATGATAGTACTCCCACAAGAACTGCAACACACAGCGCTCGTATGCATTCCTTCCATCACTCGGACCCGCTGGAGAACTCCCCCAGGAAGCTCACACCGAGTAAGTACTCTGCAATTGTCCGAGCCTCGACGCGCGGCATTGCGAACTCCGGTTGCTACGCCACCTACAGGGAGCTGCTCGTCGCGCCCACAAGCATCCTCTCGCAAGACCTGGCCCACCGCCTTCGTGTCCGACCAGAGCGGCGCGGGCAACACCACGGAGTCGCCACTGGTGCCGGGGCCACTTCTGACCAGCTCTAGAAACGAAGAACTCACGAAGTAGAATCTAATGCGCGTGCCGGAATCCGTGGTCCTCAAAGGGGCACCCTGCATGCTTGTGGTCGTGAAACTCACTGGCGAGTGCTGTTCAACCTCCCTCCGAAAGTCTACAGCGCGAACTCCACGTCCCGTATAGACGAATCTAGTGTGGTGGCACTGAAGCCACATACAGCAGATATGGATCCAATAACGATGTGAGGATGAGGTGGTCCGAAGTCTATTTATTGAAAAGGAGGCTCTCGTGTGCGCCGCACGCAGCGGATGTGCCGTGTTCGGCTTCGAGTGGTAGTGATCAGCCTGACCTGAGCCGGTATTCTGTGCACAGGCTCTCTGCATCGAACACCTCTCCGACCATCTCCGACTCAGCCCAACCTCATACTCCATCGCCCGCCCGCCCGTATCACCGTATCATGTCGTTTGGGCTCAACGTGTCCTCAATCATCCTTCGCGGCTACCCAGAAACGTCTCCATGGGATCTCACTCCAACAGTCCACGGTGTGCGCCCTCCCCACCTGGACGCTTTCAAGTGCTTGAACGAGCCTGCATTCACGCATGTGCGGAATGCAGCGCTAGCCCAAGCTCAGAAGACGGGTCTGAATCCGTTTCACTATGTCTGTATGGGCAACCCGTTTTTGCTCGACAACCCGGCACTGCAGAACATAGCTCTCCCATTCAATCCCGTTCCAAGTGGCGTCTTGCCGCTAGCTCAGTACATACTCCCGGACCAGCAGACCATTTCGTTCGCTAAGGAGATCCGGGCCAATGGGACGTCCATAATTTGCCGAGTCCGAATCGGGCCCGACTTCCGAGTACTGAAGCTGGTGACTGTTCAACAGTAGATGTTCCCGACTATCGCTGCAGCGTGCTGATTGGACATCATCTCAAGTTCTTGGGCACCGATGCTGCGGCACACTTCTCTGCAGAGGTTGCGGCCTACGCTCGCTTCCGCCACTTCAAGACCTCTCAGTCGGGAGCTGTACCGCATTGTTACGGATGGGTCAAAGTTGGCCGCCGTTTTTTACAAACTATGTTGACCACCCCTGATGCCTCTCCTTCTCTCCGCGACGCCCTCAGCGGCTATACGGCACAATCAGCCACTGGTGGACAACTCACTGGTGTCCTCTTAGAGGACCTGGTCGGCGGCGAAGCGCTCACAATCCACAATGTGACGTCCGATATTGCCGACCGCGTCCTGCGCTCGTTGCATATCATCCACCAGGCACATGTGCTGCACGGGAAGCCTTGCCGTCACGCTATTATGGTCTTTCCCAAACAACAACGTGCAGTATGGGTCGGCTTCAGCCATTCCATGTGTTATGATGGTCCCGCTAGCTCTACCGACATGATAACTAGGCAGAGCTTGTTGGCAGAACTCGCCACTGGATGGGCCTTACTATGTCAAAGACTAGTGAGTAGTTATACTTCTGAGACCCAGGCCTATTGACAGCAGATTGACGTATGTCTGCAATAGCTCCCAGACTCCTTGATAGGCTTCGAAGCCCCAGATGTGAACCGCGTAGATCCTTCCGACACTCTTTGCAACACATCCTCCGCACAGCCGATGTCCATGGCACTGCGCCCCCGGCCTTTGTGCAATAACGTCCGGGATGAGATTATCAACATCCTGTTCTCGTACCCCGAAGTCAACCTGTTCAGCTGGTCGCCGCCCATCTTCAACCTCGTACCGGCTTCCCGGAACGACCATCAATACGATACTCAAGAATTCCAACAGTTGTTCAGGACAATGAGCAACCCAGTGTACCTGCTCCGCGAATGGTACGGTCTTTGCCCCCTCTATGTCTCCCTCCCTTTGCTCCAGAGCCTTTACCAAGATATTCCCCGCGGATTCCCGAACTATGTCGCCCCTACCCCAGTCCCGCAGCTCCCATCCGAGACGGCAATTGAATTCCTGGAGCACATCTGTCCGACTAGCCACCACGCGCTCATGCGCGTCCGCATCGGGTCTGAGGACCGTGTCCTCAAAATCGTACGCCACGCCACCACGCCATCTCCATACCCAGGCAGCCGTGCTGACAACTAGACCCCTTTTTAGTTCAGCAAGGAACGGTTCGCTCACCTTGAGGATCCCAAGACCGCCAAGCAGCGCTTCGAAATCGAGCGTGATGCGTATGCGCACTTCCTGCAGTACGGCGCGTGCGCTGTGGGCGCGGTACCGCAATGCTATGGCTGGCTCGAGTTATCTCCGACGCACCTCTACGCCACGCTCTCCATGATCCGGCAGACACGCGAAAGCGGTGTCCTGAAGCACGGCCAAAAAGCGGTTTCCGTGTCACCGCTTTTCGAGGACGGCTCGTTCGCGTCTGCGCTCGTCCTGGAGTACCTTCCGAACACCGTACCGCTCTACGTCGATGTCACGCATGGTCGGGCCGAGCTGGCAATGCGCGCACTTGCAAGTGTGAACGGATCGTACGTGAGGCACGGGGACCTTTCGGTAAATGGTAACAATGTGCTACTGGTGCGCGGCGGCGGTGGCGCCGCAGAGCGTGTGGTTATCATCGACTTCGATGTAGCGGAGACGCCGCGGCTGGAGGAGGACCTGAGGCGGCCGCAGATGCTGATCGAACTACGCGACTTGTGGGTGAATTTGTATCAGTGCTTGGTAGGTTGTGCTGTACTGTGGTGGGGTTGGGGGCACAAGCTAACGCTTCCAATTTCTATCCTCCAGCTGCCAGGGCGACGGGTCTGGTGCGACGAGGCCCATCCGCATGTGCTGGACGGTGACGTGTATTAGCGAGAAAGAGTGCGTAGTGTACGTTGAATGTTTGTTGCGGCTTGTGGAACGGTGAAGAATATGGATGTAAACATTGTCGTTCTTGAATATACTGGCTAGAACGTGGACCAAAAGATTCCCGGAGTATCCTTGGATGCCAACGTAACTTGAACATATAATTATCGACGCCTTGCCCCCGCTGCGCGCATATGGCAATGCGGCAGGGCGTCGCCCCACTGCATGAGTGTTCGTCCTAACTCGGTGCTATCCGCGATTAGGCCTCAGGCCTTGTGGGCGTAGCAGCGTAGGTGGTGGGGTGGTACATATGTGGCCGCGTAGGCCCCCCTGCTGCCCGCAGACTGTTGATTCAGGTGGGCACAGATGGCACGTGAATGAAAAGAGAAAAAATGAAATGTCCAGTGTAAGATACAGATGCGAGACCTAATAGTGCAACATGCGAGAGAAAGCAGCAGACGTTATCATCAGATGTCGTGAGCAGTAAGATAGTCATCGTGAATGGGTATCATGTCCTCGTCACTGTTTCCGCGGTGAGCTCACAGGCGAGCCCAGCAACGTGCTCGAGGGACGCTCCAGGCGTGCCCGCAGCCGTTCGAGCTCACGTTCGAGCGCGAGTGCCTTCTGCTTGAAGTCTGCGGCCTCCCGCTCGGCCCGGCGCTTCGCCAGTTGGAGGTTATTCTCCGAAGTTTGCTGGAGGCAGTGTCAGAAGCAGAGTGGTTAGAATAGCAGAGGATACGCACGAGTTGGTCCATGGTTTGACGCATGTTGACAATCTTCGACTCGTAGTTCTTCACCTCGTCCTCCAAGCGTGCCCGCTGACGCTCCGCCTCCAGGAGAGCCTTGTCGGTGGATACATGCATGCGCGAGCTCTCCTTGCTCGTTTGGGTAAGCTGGCTGGTAAGCTCCTCGATCCGAGACTCCAGCCGCCTGGATGTTGTGGGAGGACGAGGGCCAGGGTTGAGCGACTTCGTCTCTAGGTCAACGATCCGCAAGTTCAAGTCCTTGACTTGCTTCTCAAGGTTGGCCTTAGACACGGCATGAGTGAACGACTCATCACATGGCGCATAGCGGACTCACGTTCATCTTATCGAGCTCCGAGTTCTCGACGCGGATCTTGCCCAGCTCGACTTGACACTCATTCGCGTATCCTTCCGCCTTCTTCATTCGCTCGAAGGCCATCGCCACCCGATCGCCCTGCTCCTCGAGCGAACGCTCCAGATCTTGCTTGTCGAGGCGCAGACGCTGGAGCTCTGTGTCCGACGACATACGATTCGTGTCTGCGTGGTCTAGCTTGATCGCCTCCAGCTCTGCCTGAAGCGCACGACGGGCCTTCTGCAGGAGCGTACGGTCCGTCTCTGCGTCGTTGAGGACGCTCCTGAGCTCCCGAACTTGCGAATGGAGCGAGACGATCTGAGACTGTTGCTCTGCTTGGGCAGCGACAGACGCGTCGTACGCCTTGCTGAGATCCTGGATCTTGGTCTCGAGTCGCTCTTTGTCCTTCTTCCAGGACCCGCCATTGTAGACTTCGTCGTCGTAGCGGAGCTGCAGCTCGTCATACTCTGAGCGAAGCTTCCTACTCTCCTCACGAAGACGGCTCATGGTGTCTCGCTGCGATTGTAGTTCTATACGGCAGAGTCAGTCTCCAGTGTCATGACCGAGGGTGTCAGCGCATTCACCTTCGCTCAACTGAGCAAGCTCGGCTTGATACTTCTTGCGTGTCTGGTCAGCAAGGAAGTCACGTTCAGCGAGGTCCTGCTGGTGCTGCTTCCGCTCGTCCTCCATCTCTTCCGCAAGGCGCGAGCGAAGAAGTTCGAGGTCTGACGACTCGCGACCTTCCTCTTCAAGTTTGCGCTCCAACTCTTTCACACGCCCTTCTGCGACCTGCAACTTCTGCTCAATGGCTTGACGGTCAGTGGCGATATCCGCTTGAGCCTTCTCCGCATCAGCGAGCGCGCGACGAGCTGATAGGGACGGTCAGCCGGCGCCATGCCACTTGCACTCCTCTGTACTCACCGAAGGCTTCTGCACGGGCGGCCTTTGCGCGGTTGATCTCCGCCTGCTCGTAGCGCTTGAGGTACTCGTCCGTCTTCGTCTTGTAGGCGTCGATGGCTTCTTGCAGCTCTACACCTTAGGTAAGATACTGTCCCATCGTTGAAATACGAAAGGCTTACCGGAGTGGATGGTAGACGTCGCCGAAGAGGTGATTTCGAGCTCCTGCAAACGAGCTTGCAAACTCCGCTTGATAGCTGCAAGATGGTCAGAACGAGACACCATCACAAAACTGTGCCTTGAACTCACAAATCTCGTCGTTCTTGGAGAGAATCTCGGCATCGAGGCGCTCCTTGAGGCTGGTAACCTCCGCCTGCAACTGCTTCTTGGCAGTGCTGAGCTCCTGGACCTGGCGGCGCTGATCCTCCACCTCGATCTGAGCAGCACGTTGTTGCACGACCTGCCACAGATAGTGTTAGCCAAACAAACGCATCAGCGAGGGAAACTGACTGACCAAAGCTTTGCGCGACTCCTCCAAGCGGGTGTAGGCCTCCCGCTCCTGAGAGATGGTGGTCTGGAAACGATCCCACATCGCCTGGACGCCATCGAGTTGAGCGGCGTGGGCGGCGCGGCGCGCTTGCGCCTCCTCTTCGAGCAGTTCTGCAAGCTTCGCGTTCTCCTTCGCAAGTCGCACGCGGCAGGCCTCGATGGATTGCTTGGACCCATCGCTGTTCTGCAGCTCCTCGGTCACCTCCCGCAACGACGTCTCGAGGTACTGGCGGATACGCTGGGAGGCAGCCATCTGGAGCTCGAGAACTTGGACTTGCTGGCGGAGCTTGTCGACCTGAGCATGCCGTTCGGGTGTGCGTGGAATCTCGGTTGGGATATCCTTGAAGCGAACGGTGCCGTTCGAGCGTGACTTGGTGGGGGTAACGTTCGCCATCGTCTGCTCTCCGGTCCGGTGGCCAGTGAGGTGGCGGGTCTGCGCACGATGGGAAAGCTCGCGCTCCATCTCCTCATCGGCTAGCTGCAGCTCCCGCAATAGACGGTTACGGAACGAGTCGTCCTTCGGACCGCTGCTCATGATCAACCTACGAATCTCGGCGTGCTGGCGGTCGACGTGCTCCTTGATCCGCGCCGCCGCAGACTTGGACAGCTCAGACTCCTCAAGCTGTTGCTCAAGCTGACCGATCTTAGACTCGTACTGCCGCTGCAGTTTGGCGAAAGAGGACGGTCCTTCTGTGTCGTCCGCGAGCCTCGTTAGCTCGATCTCGAGGTTGTCCTTGGCCTTCTGGATGTTGAGCATACGCTGCTCAGCCTCAGCGACCTGCCCTTGCGAGTCCTTCAGCTCGTTCTGCAACCTGCGCACGTGCACCTCCGCGGCCTCGCGCATGCGGCGCTCGTTCTCGAAGTTGACAAGAGCCTGGGTCGCCTTGGCCTCCTGGTCGCGAGCCTTCTTCTCCTTCGCCCGCAACGCGACTTCCTCGTTCGCTTTCTCGCGCGCAAGGTCCTCAGCCTCCGTCGTCAACCGTGTCTTCGCCTTCTCAAGAGAGCGGATGTACGCCGCCTGCTTCTGGAGCTCAACTTGCGCCTCGGCGAGCTGGCGGTCGGTAACGCGCTTGGCCTCCTCGAGAACGTGGACATGCTCGACGATGGTCTTGTCTTGCTTGGCCTCGAGTTGCTTGACCTCCCACTCGCGGGCCTTCAGGTCGGTGAGCACCTTGTTGAGATCGCGCTCGAACTTGACATTGATGTCCTTCAGCCGGTTGGCCTCCGCTTTGTGCTTGTGCACCGTGTCCTCGAGCTTGCTGCGCTTGTTCGTCTCGGCCTCGAGCTGCTTCTTGAGCGTCTCGACTTGGCGATCGAGTGCCGCCTTGTCACGCTCGAGTTGGAGAACAGCATCCTCGAAGTCGGCATAGCGCGACTGAGTGCTCGAAAGCTGACGCTCGAGACTCTGCGACGAAGTTAGCGCTATAATACGTGCACGGCCATGATAAGCTCACCTCCTTCGCCTTCTGCACTTCCGCCAGCTGGTTGTCCGTGTCGATGGCACGAGAGCGAACGGATTGCAGCTCAGACTCCAGCGAGCGTTTCGCTTTCTCAGCCTCGGACAACGCCGCCTCTGTCTTCTTGAGTTGCGCCTGGCTCGTCTGCGCGCGATCCGAGAGCGACGTGTGGCTGTGCTGGATGTTCTTGTGCTCGCGCGAGAGCGTTTCCAGCTCGACCTTCAGCCTGTTCTGCGTCTCCGCCGCCACTCTCCGCGTCTCCGTCAGATCCGCAGACAACTTGGCGACCTGCGAGCGCAGATCCGCGAGCTCCTCCTCCTTACTCTTCGCGACCTCGCTGCGGCGCGTCTCCTCCGTGACCTTCGTCTCGAGCAGCGCGCGCAGCTCGTCCAGCTCCGCCTGCAGCTTGCTCTGCGAGCTCGCGTTGCGCTCCTTGTCCTTGCGCTCCGAGTCGAGTCCCGCCGCGAGCGTGTCGACGTTGGCCTGGAGCTGGGCGATCTCCCTGAGGAGCGCCTCACGTTCCGTCTTCGACTTCTCTACCTCCGTCGCGAGCCGCTCTGCCTGCTGCTCTTTAGCCTTGATCATGTTCGTGTACTCGTTCGCCGTGCGGCCCATCTCGGCGAGCTGCTCCTTCAGCTGGCGGACGTCCTTCTCAAGCCCGTCCGACTTCTCGCGGAGAGCGTCCCTATTATCGATGAGTACCTATAGTCAGGATAACGAAATGGTAACTCACTTGTTCCGCTGTTCCGCAACAAGCTTGGTGTCAAGGTCAGACATCGTGGACTCCATGCGCTCCTTCGCACGTGCGACGTCCTCATCGCGCTGCGCAACGACGTTCTTGAGCTCCTCCGCCTGCTTCTCCAGCATCTCCTTCTCCGCCGCCAGGATGTCCAGATCCTCCAGCGCCTCGTCCAGCTGCTTACTCAAGTCCTCCTCTCGCGCGTGCCACTCCTGCTGCTCGCCCTCGAGCCGCACAAGGTGCTCCGCGGCCTGGTCGAACGCCTGCTGCAGCGTCTTGTGCTTCTCCTCGCTCTCGCGCTGCAATTTCAACGCACGGTCGAGCTGCGAGTCGAGCGTGTCCAAATCCGCCTGCAGTGCCGTGACCTCCTCCTCGAGTTCGAGCTCGTGCTTCTTGCTGCGCTCGAGGAGCGAATCCTTGTCCACGCCGAGCGCACGCTCCGCCTCGAGATCGTCCTCGACCTTGCGCTTCTCCGCCTCCAGTCGCATCTTGAGACCTTCGAGGGCCTCACGCTCCTTCAGGTCGCGCTCGGCGCGTTCCTTCGCCAGGAGCAGCTCGGCCTCTTTCTTGCGCAGCTCGTCGTCGTTGCGCGTCGCAGCCAACAACGGGCGTACCTGCAGAGATCATTCAGTCACCCCGTCACGTACAAGCTTGCTATAGAGCTCACCTTCGTGTAGAGGTTCCACCATGGCCAATCCCGGAGCTCACCGTAGATACGCGCGTTACGTTGAATCGTGCGGATCGCCACCGCGCGGTTCAGGATCTTCTTCATCTGCCTCCGCGCCGTCCACATCCTCGCCACCGCCTGCAGCTTCGAGAAGATATCAAACAGCAGCGCGTCGCGGCGCTCCTCGAGCTCCGCGAGCACACCCGCCTTGAAGAAGATCTTCGATGTCCCGATGCGGAAAATAGACTTGTCGAGCTCGAGCGCATCCACCATGCGCAGGCACGCCTTGCGACCGTCCATGTACCCGGGCGGAATGATGCCCGGCGTGAGCACTTCATACCGCTGGCGGAACTCCACAAAGGGCAGCCGATTCGGGTACCCAAGGCGCGCGATACGGATGCCCTCGAGCACACCATTGCAGCGCAGCTGGTCGAGCACGAGCGGCACGTCGACGCGCCCGGGCTTCTTGAGCGTATTCGGCACAATACAGCGCACAAAGTGCGGCTGCGTCGCCTGCAGCTGGCCCATCAGGCTCGCAAGCTGCTCCTTGTGGCGCTGCGCGACCGTGCGGAACGCGCCCTTCTTCGGGCCGCGCTTCTTCCCGATCGTCATCGCGTACAGCGCGTTCCCCCCCGCGCTGCCGCCGGGCCCGGGCGCGTCGCTGTACTCGGCGAAGAGCGAGCCGATGTACCGCTCGGAGGACGCGGCGAGGACGCGCGTGAGATTGTCGTTCAGCGGGTCCTTGTTCTTCTCGAGCCAGCCGTCGGTGCGGTACTCGACGCGCCCCGCGTAGTGGTGCACGATGAAGCCCTGCTCGAACCGCGCGGGCTCGTACTTGAACGTGCCCGGGTGCGCCTCGTCGCCCGCCGGCGGTTCCCCGGCCCAGAGCGCGTGCAGCTTGTTCGTGAACGTAAGGTCCGTCGCCTTCGGCATGATGCACTCCTCGTCGAGCAGGCTGAGCACACCGATGGTGACGCCGCTTGTCTCGATGAGGTCGATCGTGGGCTGCAGGTCGAGGCCGAAGTTGACATAGTCCCACTCGATGCCCTCGCGCGCGTACTCCTCCTGCTCGAGCACGAACATGTGGTGGTTGAAGAACTGCTGCAGCTTCTCGTTGGTGTAGTTGATGAGCAGCTGCTCGTACCCGTTGATATCGAAGATCTCGAATCCGGCGATATCGAGCACACCGATGAAGGTGGACTTGGAAGAGGGACGGTCGAGCGCGCGGTTGACACGGTCGACCAGCATCCCGAAGGACTTCTCGTAGAGCGTCTTGCAAAGCGCAGAGAGTTCGTCAAGGGCCTGTTGCCGTGTGCGTGCCTGCGTGACCCATTCTCGTCCAGCCAACACCCGGGGTCGGAGGACACCCTTGGTAAACTCTGTGAGCGGGATGCCGAGCAAGTGACAAACCCTCTCGGCCTGCGATGGATCGGGCATGACAGCATCGTCGGACCGTGTGGAGGTGATGACGATGTTACCAATGTGCAGGATGGCGGCTACCACGCGGAAGAGATCAAGCTGTTCGGCCGCTGTGAAACCAACGGTATCGAGTGCGTTCTGACCACGAATGAGTATCGCCTTGAAGAGATTAGTGGCTCATCGCCCTTACCTTCAGAAGGTTCCACTCTTCCTGGTCGTCAATACCGTCGACTTCTCGTCGGCTCTTGTTGAGGTACTCGTAATCCTCAACCTCACCGTCCAGCAGTAGCGTCTCTGCTCTACGATTAGTATACACAACATTCTAGGGAGTGCTTGCAATTACCTTTGAGACTCCCGCCACCCTCCATAAGCTGGTAGAATACGTGGAAACTACGTTCGGCTTCACTTCGGACGACCACCCGACTCTTCTCGAGCAGGTACCAGTCAATGTTAGCACCAGCGATGCTTCCGTCTGGCGAGAAGCTGATACGGATGAACTTTCCGAACCGACTGGAGTTGTTATTCCTCTGCGTCTGTGCGTTACCGAAAGCTTCGAGGATGGGGTTGGCTTGCAGGATCTGCCTTTCGAGCAGTCCGAGGCGGCCCTTCGCGGTCAAGCTGAAGCCGGAGCCCGATTGGCTCATGGAGGCGCCCTTGGTGTGTTTGCGGAAGGAGCTACTACGGGGAAGACCCGTTGTGGGCACCACTGTGTTGAACGCGTTAGGTCCAGACAGAGAGGGCGACTGGGAATGTGAGGGTGTCGCAGGAGCATGCGCATCTGCAGCGATAGCAGCCAGATATTGGATGACTTTCTTGGTACTTTCCGTCTTGCCCGCACCGGACTCGCCGCTGGTGTGCTAGTGTTAAGCGTGCGTGGTGAACACGGCTGCAGTAGACTTACGTGATGAGAATACTCTGATTCTCGCGCTCCTCGCCCATGTTCACCCAGGCGCGTTCGGCGATGGCGAATATATGGGGCGGGTTCTCGTCGCGCCGCTTTCCGCGGTATTGATGGACAATCGCGTCGGAGTACAGAGGTAATGGTTGGTACGGGTTGATGGCCACCAAGAAGAGTCCGGAGTATGTCTATAAACGAGTACATGTAAGCTCACTGACATGTAAAGGCTAAGACGGCATGGAGACTGGGACGGGAGCATGCACGGCCTACGATCCATAATTCTTCTCGCACCAATAGCGTCAGACACAGAGGTACATTCACCCTACCTCTTGGCTGATTGGGCTTGCAACACAGGACAGGCACATAACAGGAGTCAATCAGCACGTTATAAACGCGTCAAGGCTACAGCGTGCACAAAGGACCTCTCATGCTAGCATAAGGCGTCTCGTACGCGTCGCATTCGTACCCGCAACAAAGTACGGCACCAGTGGAGGGCACAGAGGTATATAGGTACCGGCGGTGCCGCCAAAGCCACAAGCGAAATTGATGGGACATACGTAGATGGAACCTGAGCCATATCGCAGACGGAGATTGTGTACGACACTGGCTTCATTCAGGAAGGTAAGGTCCGCGATGTCGTCGACGCGATCGAACTTGGGTGGATTCATCTTGGAGAGCGCATAGAGGGGCAGCTTGCGGATCTAGTAACGGTCGGTGTTGGACGATGTATATTCGATAGAATATATAGACACGGACCTCTCCTCCAGCAGCCATAACCACTTCGCCCGTGTCATCTTCTTCCTTTACGACCCAGCCTGCGAGGTAGCCGTCTTTGTCGTCGGGGACCCAGACCCATTTCTTCTCGTTGAATTCGGCCTGAGCGGCAGCGGCGCGGGCGGCCTCTGCGCTCTGAGATGGCCTTGGAGCCGGCATGGCGAGTGCCGAGGACTCTGAGACGATGGGAGCGAGAGGGTGGAGAGGGATGAGGAGGGAGGTGAGTGGCAGGCGGCGGCGGAGGTTCGCTTGAGAGGGACGCGTCTGGGAGTTCCATATATGGCACTTTAGGCGACCATGCTACTTCCTAGGCGCCCATACCCATAACGCTCTCCATTTCTCTCATCCTTTCGTTCCAGGATGTGCAGAGCTTACGCAAGAGATTGTTAGATGCATACTGCTATTTTCTGTGTGTACGTGGAGAAGAAGAGATCGTTCGGGGAGGATCCTCAGGTATCGACTGGCCAAACCATCCTCGCATTTGGCCCCGAACATCGCGGTCCTGAATCGAAAGACGGGGGAGTTGTACGGATTGTGCATATGGGCATCGCACTACCCTCCGCTCTTCTCACTGTGCTCGAGCCGGCGGGAGTTGGGAGGAGGAAGGAGAGCGCCATCGACGCGACGCGACGCGACTGGGCCACGTGACGACCGCGAGGGCGCGAGGGAAAGAGACTTGGTCCTCCTCCTCGCCTCTTTCCGCGTCCCCCATCCATCCCCTCTCTCCCTCTCTCCTCTCCCCGCGCTGCTCGACTGCTGAGGCGCGTCGGCTAACACCTCTGTCCGTCTGCTGTCGACCTGGGATCGTGTCCTTCCGTGCCGACGTTCGTGAAGCTCCTGGCCCCCACAGAACATGGTAGACGAAGAAAGAATGAGCGTCTTCCAAGAACCAGAGAGCTCACAGCCGCCTGGATTCCAAGACATCCAACGCGACCTCCTCTCATCCGCGACGCGCGCTGAGCACGGCTGGGTCAAATACCATGACCCAAAGTTGCCTGACCTCTCCGCCATTGTTCCGCAAGCTCCGAGTGGTGCGTGCCCCTCCTTCTACCTACCTACCTACCTACTTCCACTCCTGTTCATCTGCTCAACACTCCTCTACTCAGAACCGCTGTCCAAGAACCTAACGCGCTCGTTTCGCCCCCTTCCTTCCGTAAACTCTGAGCGAAGGTCCGGAAATGCCGATCACCCTGCACATAAGCCGCGACACGTTCTCTGTCCCCCAGAGACGCAAGACCTTGCAGAGACTGAAGCACTTTGCCAATTCGGACAGTTAACTAAGCATACTGCCGACGGCGCCAACGAGAGGTCCAAACTCAAGGCCGCGCGAATCGATCTCTCGTTCAAGGAAAACCGTTCAGTGCACTCTGGGACGGCCCTCCGGCGCAGGCGCACCACGGAGGACGTCCCGGCTGGCTCACACGCGCCGCCAGCGAAAAAGCCCGCCCTTCGAATCCGGGCCACCGACTCGCGCCTGTGTTCCGGATACCCGCGCCGTATGCAGGACAGTCCGATGGAAGAGGACGAGCCGATAGCTGGCCCATCCAGACCACTGCTCCGGCGCCCGTCTTTAACATCCTATGTCAATGCTGCTGAGGACTCCGATGAGGAAGACGACGGCATGCCGTCCAGCACGCCTACCCCGCCTCCCAAACAACGCGCCCCACAGCGTCGCGTCGCGTCCTCTTCTTCGCCCTCATCGTCATCATTGTCGAAGGGCAAGTACGCGGCATTCTCGGAGTCTCCCACAAGCCTCAACCATGTCCCCCTCGCCCGACGACATTCCGAGGACCCATCCATCTCATATGACAGTGCGCCGGACGACTCTATTTCCCCCATCGAACAGCAATCCGGCTCTCAGAGGTCCACAGAGGAGGAGCCTCTCAGCCCCGTCGTCCCTTCCCCAGTTTCCCTGTCAAAGCATCCCGCAAACATCATGCCCCCACCTCCTGTCCCCGCGCAAGCGCGACCTTCAGAGCATCCCCCAGCATCTTCCTCCACCCACTCGCAAAGCTCATTCTCGCAGTCGTCCCGCCTCCCGCCCAACATGTACCAATCAACCGTCCTCTCCAAACAGTTCGCCGTGCCCTCCTCCTCTCAAGCGGCCGGCGCGTCCACCTCGCAGCGCGCCCGGTCGTCCCGCGCGCCGGAGCAGCCTCAGCGCGAGCTCGGAATGCGCCGACGTTACGGCGAAGCAGGCGGGGGCAAGTACCAGCCGCCGGCAGAACCCCCAAAAAAGACCAAGGGCTTCACGGCGCCGTCCTGGGTGTCGGCCGCAGCTGCTGGGGCGGGCTTAGCTGGGATCGCGGGCGTCGCTCGAGAGCCAAGTGCCGTCGCAGTGCAGAGTCAGGGGAGCCTCTCGCCTGTGGTTCCCGATCCGCCCTTCGCGATCGCGCGTGCGCAAGGTTTCGTGGGGAGCATCATGGCGAACGGGGGCGAGGCCCCGCAGCTCGAGATGTCAGCGCGCAGGGCGGAGCCGAGCGACGACATGGACCAGGACGAGACGGGGAAGGAGGCGGACTCGAGCTACGGGGATATCTCGTTTGATTTCGACCCGGAGGCGTTGGACGAGGCCATGAGTATGTACGATGCGTGATGTACGCGCTCGTGGGGTCAGGTTCCCATTTGCGCATCGGACTGGGACTTGGTGCTCTGTTCCTATGTTTTCCCTTTTGTTATCTCTTTCGCCGTTATTAGGTTATGACTCACGCATAATGTCCGCACTCGCATATGTACCATACCCATCGTTTCTCGCCCCTGCTGCAAAATGTACCCCGTACTCTGTACCGCGCATCTCCGGCTGCTTCCTCACTCGCACTTCTTCCGTCTACACGAACATTCGCACACACTATGACGACACGTACATTCCTGAACATAGCCAAGCACCTATGTCTCTGACTGCTCTGCGCAAGACCTACAAGAACCAATTTGTATAATACCCATTCACTGGTGCTAAGGGCAGTAGAAGCGCCCGCGCGTGCTTGACCAACCACCACCACGTGCGCAGCGGCGCCCACACAAGCCCACACGCTCGAGGCCGCAGTGTGCATATCTCACACCTGGGCTCCATGTCTGGTTTCTACGAAAGGCTATCGCAGGAGCAAGCAAAGGAGATCGACGCCCTGAAGACTCAAATTACCGGGTTGAACGCACAGGTCGCTTCGCTCACGGCGCAGGTCGCCGCTCAAAGAAGCCACATACGTCTTCTGGAGCAGCCTCGCGGCGAGCAGCCGTCCAGTAGCAATACCGACGACCGCAGGCTTCCAGCCGTGAAGCGGGAATGGATCGAAGACGGTCTCCCCGCCGAGGACTTCGCTGAGCCTGTCGCTGGTTTGGGCGCTGCACTGGTGAGCGACTCCCAGTATCTTCCACCCACGAACATCCAGGATGATGATGGTGTTTCCCTTCAGCACGGGCATAAAGTAGAAGACTTTGACATGACAGATGCTCAGGCCGTAGATGCGGTAGTATGGGAAGACATACCGGGAGACGTCGCCCGTGCCGCAGACGCTGTAGACCTGCCCAAAGCAACATCGAATGCGGCATCCACTGGCAGCGCAGAAATTGACGCAATTCTGACAGCGGAGAAACAAGACATCATAGAACTGGCAGGAACCAATGTACTCAAATCACACTGTGCTTCCGGGATAATCATCTCTGATTAGACCAACTTGCAATCTCTAGGACGCACACAAGATCCAGTGCGAACGTGGCAACGACGAGCGCAGCGCTTTGAAGAGGGCTAGGCTTCAGCCAGAGGTCTTGATATCACAGCCTAGAAAGAAGAACCGGCCGCCCGCCCATTCTCCCTCTAGGAGTTCATCTTCACCACACGCATCGGCTTCTACATCGACAGTCGCACTCCCGGACGTATCAGTCGCTGCTGTGAGTGACTCGCCCACAACAAAATCTCGAAATTGTGGTTGGTACTTACCACGTACGTCCACGCCCGCGCAGTCCGAATGGTACCCTCCAGAGTTCTGTCGCGAGCGTCTTCGCCACACGCCTGTCTTTTCCGTCTCCCTCGATCCGACGATCCGGGACATCACCATCCACCATGGCGCCATACAAAAGGCCTTCGGAGGAACATGGAATTCATCATGGGCGGTGTTCGGCGACCTAGACCGCCATCAACGCGGCCACAATTACATGCGTTTTCGTCTATCCGCCTCGCGCAGCTATCATATACCGCCGCGGGAGCCGGGTGGTCCGGGTGCCCTGCTTTTGACGTACAACCCATGGCCAGAAGGCCCGCACAAAGTCCTGGTCAAAACGGAGGACGACCTGTACAAGTATATGGGTGAATACGATCTCCTGGAGGCGGAACCAATAACTGTGGCAGAGTTCCAAACGTTACCGCACAGGGTGGGTGCCATTTCAGAGATTTTTTGGTGCGAGTGTTCTGTCACAGGCCTCACCATTGTCTGCCATATCTAAAGACTAGACGAGCATGGGGAGCGGGGCTTTGCAAGCTTCACAGTAACGGTAACTTCCTCGCGGCCATAGCGCTCCAGAAGCAATTCGGTCGCACCGCCACGGCGCAGGAGATTGCCGCCGTGCTTGCGGGCCAGAAACCAGAGGGTGAACTTGCGATGACGGCACAGGAAGTTCTGGAAGCCTTTGCAGATGGGCGTATGGTGGGTAACGTTGTCAGCGCGTTCGTCAGTCAGTGGCATCCATGTTAACGATGCCTCTGTTGTCGCAGATTTTGCGCGTGTGGGTGATGCAGTGTGTCGGGTATGACGAGGAATTCCAGCGCAAGATCGCAGGCCACGGCGGCGGGTCGAGCTGACATCGACAGCCCTGTCTTGCTACCCTAAGCCGTGCTCTCGGGGGCCCTGGTACAAGTCGCTCGGCCCCGCGTCCGCGTCATAGGAACCTGTTGTAGCGCCTCCCAAGCACTAGCACCCGTCACTTGCCTCGCGGCGGCCGCGGGGAAGCCAACCAGTGAGCTCGATGACATTTATTCCGTGGACCTGCTGGTGCGTTGGACTAGTGTTTCGAGCTCTTGGAAGTGTGGGCCGTGGGATGACTTATGGCGTTGGGGACAGGTGCGTCCGTCGTCATCGTGTAAACGTATGTGTTTCTGACACTCTCCGTCGGCGGTAGCGTAGTACTGATAGCTGCATTACGGGTCGTCTCAGTTGTTGCACTTGCCGCTGCCGCCACGCTGTCCCAGGGTGTAAGCCATGGTTCCAGAGGTACGGCCTGAACGCATAGAGGTACATATCATATATGACCTTTACGACTCTATCTTCTCGTCTCCATTGTACGTCGACCGGCTAGAAATGCCTTCTTCACCCTCTCGACGCCATCCTATCCGCCTGTGTCTGCCCTTGCGACATCACTTCCGAGTCCACATCTCGTGCGGATGCGGTACGTGTGGCGAACGCATTGTTCGAGCTCCCGACGTCGCCGTGCAGCACATGGGCCCTCTTGATGCAGATAGACGAATGTGCGCAGCGCGACTGCGGGTCACATCCGAAATCGAGAGTGGTTTGGCGTCGGGAAGGTATTCCAAGATGAGCGCGGCCGCAGAAAGTTCATTGTGGAACTTGAAGACCGAGGGTACCTATACGAATCTTCGTCGTTCTCGATTAGCAGAACGTTGTGGGCCTGCCGATTGATGGAAAGGAGGCGTCGGTTCCGTTCAACCCATACCAATGCGACACGGATCCGGAGGTGTGCGCCGGCCCAGCCATATCCTGGGAGGTTTGCGTACGCTCCCCGGAAGGAGCCGCGAATCGATGTACGCACAAGAGATGAGGGTTTTTTTCTGGAGAAACTTGCGTCCAGATCGCTTGAGATGCCGGCGGGCCAGGTATGGACGGTTCGTGGGCTGGCAGATTTGTATGCCTTGTACCGGTGTGCGTTACCGTGGCCGCGGTGAACAGGAGGCTGTTGCTTCCAAGCACTAGCGCGTACAAAGCGGACTCAGAGGAGACGATTGACGATGAAGAATGAATGGGGTATAATCCAGAGAGACCTGGATAAGGTAAATCAGACGACAGTAGGTGCAGGACAGTAATGCTACAGAATCCAGACGAGAACGAGACAGTAGGGGGTAGATGCGGCAAATGCGACACGGGATGCGCATGGTAAGCGATGTTCCGATAAGTAGATCCGTAGTAGATAGTAGACGCAATCATCTAGCATCTGAGACGAGAGACGGCAGTGGGATGATGGACCAGAACGAGATAAATCAGACATGGACGTTCAGGACAGCAAGAAGACTCGGTCATGACGAAAGCAAGGCGGCAGAGAGCAGATGCGGAAGGGTTACGGCACGAGGAGTGGGAATGGAGGTTTTATTGATGAGGGCACATGGACCGCACTCCGAAGGCGAGGGTGAATACCGACTAGTGGTGGGAGAAATCTCGGACAGTCGTCACGGAAGCGTACGCCGCCGAGAGGCGTCCGCAGGATGGAAAGACGCTAGTTGCCGGATGGCGCTGCGGACGATCTGGGCGACATGAGATACCGCGCCGGATTGGCGAGGGTCATCGAAGTGAGACGGAGGTGAAAAGGCTAGGGACGGAGTAGTGATACGCAAGCTCATGAAACGCATGCTAAGCGCTGAATCCTGGGGCTTGAATACGCGAGCGAGTGATGAACGGTTGGCCATAAGAGGAGCGATGAGGTCCAAGTTGACGCGAAGGAGTCGAGACGGGGGCCAGTCCGACGGTATCGATGAGCAGTGTCGAGGCCGCGCCCCAACGTCGTATACTCCAGGAACGAGCACCCGCTTGCTGTGCAGGGCAAGCGCGACATAGGATGAGGGAGAGTGATCTTCGCGACATGCTAGTAGGGCTGCGAACGGCATCGATCCGATGCAGAGAACAGGGAGGTGGCATTCAACCCCATAGTGGTCAAGCGGACCAATGCGTGGCAAGAACTTAGCTCCGTTCAGTTCAGCAGCAAATGGGAAACATGGTAAGGCTCACCGGATGCTCCGAATGTGAAGCGTCGCACAGGGGCTCCGTTTCTGCTAAGAATTCCTTCATATCTACGGCGACGATGCGGGACGCCCTCTTGAACGCTGCGGGTGAGGGTGCGAAGGGCCAAGGGAATGTATTGCGCGGGTCCGGGGTTTCGTCCCATGTGAGAAGTGTGTGATCGCAAATCTTCTGTAAGATCTCCTGCTGTAGCCTACAGAAGGCCATCTCTCCTTCGCCATAGCGGATGGACATGTGGATGTCGAAAAGGCCCATCAGGCAGTACGCCTTGTCCTCCGGACGGCGGGCGTCGCGACCCGAGCCCCATGAGAGACGGTGAGCAACGCTGAAGGCGGAGAGGGGGCGGTGGAAGGTGAGGACGTCGCGGTCGATGCCTGTGGTCTCCTCGAGCACGTCGGCGAGGTCGTGCTTTTCTCCGAGTACGGACCAGTCGGCGTAGAGGAAGACGACACGACGGGGGGCGAGGAGTTCTTGCAGTGTCCAGGCTCGTCGGAAATACGCGCTCCCGCGAAAGGCAGACTTGGGCGCCCGGATCAGATCCGGATCGGCTGGGCGCTCGACGTCGGCGAGATAGGCGAAGCAGATCGACGCCTTGGCGTACCAGCCGTGCATGGACCTGATCGCCTCCGAGAGCTCCGCGCTGTTGCGCTTGTCGATGCAGGGCGCGTCGATCCAAACCCAGGGGAGACCATAGGTCTGCGCAAGACGACAGCACTCGCGAGCTTTGATGCTCACCCGGGGGTCGTCGACCGTAGCATGTGCGTCTTCTAGCGCGGCCATTTCGTAGAAAGATTGCTCGACATCTTGCCAAACGTGCGAGAGAATGGCGTAGCCGCCGTCGACGGCACCTGGTCCATCGAACGAACTGAAGCGCACATACACATCTGTTGAAGAGAGCAGTCGCATGGCCGAGATAGTTGGGGAGCGACGTGTTGCCCTTATGATAGGCCGCTGTGCTCAGACTAGACAGCTGCCGTCAATGCGGGAGGACGTGGAGTGGGAGGGGATAAGATGGGGCGGATCGGCTTGCTTAACTTGATAGAGGAGAGACCTGTTGAAGTGGGGGTGTTTTATGTCATGACTGCCCATATATATATATATACATATATATACCCTGAGGCCGTCCACGCAAGCCGTTCGCAAGAATCCACTCGGTGGCCTTATCAATGTGCCAGTTGCCGCGCCTACCATTCTGAATGGGTTTGGGCCAATAGGCGATGCCTGAACGAGGTTTAGCGCTCGTCGCCTCTAAAATTTACCAAAACGGGAAGGGGAGGATTAGGCGATGAGTGGCCGGGGACATGGGGAGGGGGGGGGCGGTTCGGTTCATTCGATGCACGGGGACAAGCGCCCATATAGGCGATGCGATTGATCAGGCCCCGGGGACAGCGGACATCGCTTAACGTCTATAGATCTGGTGGGCACAGCATGTACCAAGATCGACTGTCATCTACTATAGTAACTATATAGTCAGCCACGGAGACTAGCACAGCATGTACAACGACGCTATCTGGCACCGGTCTGGCAGGGCAGATATGGCCAGGATACCTCCGTTCCCTAGCTAGTACCCCCCGTTCCCCTGCTCTCAGGCAGGCGAACTGGCCAATTCCGGTAGGATCTGGCATGCGCCAGAGAAAGCTGGCAACTTCTGGCATTCTCGCGGATACAGACAGGCCCCGCGCACCCCGTACGCCCGCGCGCTCTCCGCACCCTCCCGCGCCCCCCCGCGTCCACCCGTAGCTCTCCTGCGCCTCTCGCCCCACGCGCGCCCTCCTGCTCGTCTTGCCAGCCCCGTGCGCACCCCCCGCTCGTGTTGCCAGCCCCGCGTTCTTCGACCTCACGCGCGTGCCAGTACTCGTGCCGCTGCGTTTTGGGCTCTGTCCACGGACCCGACCCACTGCTCGCGCGGCCCCCGTACCTTACTTCGCCTTACCCTTACCCTTACGATCCTTCGGCGCAGCTTCTGCTTTGTAGTAGTTCTAGAGACAATATATCAGTGTTATACTATGTGGCCGGTTCGATTATGATGAGACTTACCTCGTGCTCCTCCTCGCCCAAGTTGCCCCAAGCCTCGGTAATCATATCGAGTGTGTCGTCGCCACATAGGAGCGCATATTCACGACTGTAGGTGGCGTAACGTTCCGGACCCGAGCCTGGGTGCTTTGCGCGTCGTGGTGGCTCTTCGGTGACATTCAGTGGCCAGCCTGTCCCCATGTAAGTTCGCAACGCAACGACAAGAGCCCGGCTTACGGAGGACATGTGCAAGGCAACACCACTACACTACCCGGCCATCAATCGTAGGATAGTATGTGAGGCCTCGGTGCGCGGCCCGGGAGTGGCATGAAGGCAGGACGTCGAAGCGGCCGAATAACGCTCGTGTCATTAAACTCAAATGGAGGACGAGATAAGATCAGGATATGATCTGTTGTAGCAAAATATAAGTTATAAGACGATTCAGACGGCGTCGCCTAGACTCTTTGGCAGTACCGGCAGCATGCGCTATGCGCTATGCGTGTGAAAGCAGCTGGTATAGGAGCACCATCCTAGACGCCTTCCAAACTAGGAGTGGCATTAGCGTCTAACAGCACAACAACAGTGACCCGGCAAATCCCGCAACTGTACAGTTTTCCGATCTGAATCTCAGCCACCGAGACAATGCCCGAGGGAGAGCAGCGACGGGCAAGGGCACCGACAGGGTGATCAAGACTTCCACGAAATGGTGCGCCCCGTCATGCTCGTCCGATCCACCAAAATGACCTGCTGACCTGCCGCACGACGCTCTGCAGCCCAAGGAAATCCGCGACATCAAGCAGTTCATCGACATCGCCCGGAGAAAGGATGCGAAGGGTGCGTCTCCCCCTACTTCTACCCTTCTTTCGTAGGCCATCCCACGTTAACACCGTCTGCTCTACGTGCAGAGGCACGCATAAAGAAGGTCGCGTCGCGGGTACCCGGTGGCAAGCTCAAGACCAAGTTCAAGATCCGGTGCACGCGCTACCTCTACACGCTCTCCCTCGACGACCCCGAGAAGGCGGAGAAGCTGAAGCAGAGCCTCCCCCCTGGTACGTACCCACTCCCCCTCTTTCTAGCCCCAGCGTATGTCTAAACCCCTCCCAGGTCTCAACGTCCAGGAGCTCGACGACACGCCCAAAAAGAAGTAAACGCTCTGGCCGTTTGACTTTCTCCGCCACTCTGCTGTCGCCGTTGCGCTACGGGCCGCTCTGCTATGCCGCGGACCGCCCTCGGGCGGCGCTGCCGTATGGATGTATGCTCCACCACGACTATTCTAATATGCATGCATGGCACCCCACTGTACCCATAGTCCTCTCTTACGGGTGTACCCCCTCGGGTCATATGACGGAATCAACGCGCTCTCGCATCACGCCCTGGCTTGCCGATTGTTGGAATAAGTTCGCGCGAGTTCACTCCGGATGTGCAGTTACAGGTATGTATTCACCAAACTAAGCACGATACACAGGCCCAGTAGCGCGAAAACACCGATGTGTACGGCCCTCCTAAGCCGCGTCCTCTTCTCTCGCCAATTTCGACCCTGCGCTGTTCGCGCTGGTACATCATCGCCGCGCTCTGCACCATCCATGCTGGTTAAGGGCATAAACTCACGCCCCTCAGAGGGGTGTGCTGCCCAGGCTTCGTACAAGGTGTCGTACAGTTGCCCGCCATCGAGGACCGGCAAAGGCAGGAGGTTGAAGAAGTACAGCGAGAGCGTCAGCATCTTCATATATCTGCATGGCTATGAGCAGAAGGCCATGCGTAATTTCGCACAGTACGCACGAGAAGAGCGTGCCCCACACAAACGGGAGCCCCATCGGTTGCCAACCGTAGCTCGGGAGCCAGTCCCCGAGGTCGACTGCGAGTCCACTTGAGCCCAACTCCAAACCAATAAGATATCAACAACTAACCTTCCTCCGCGACCTCCGACCTGTCGCCCTGCCACACGACCGTGCGCTCCGCATCCGCCTCGTTCGCGCGCATCCACGGCGGGAGACGCATCGTCAGCGTCACGAGCTCCTGGTCACCTCTTGGCCGTATGCACAGTTGGTCGTGCCCACACTCCGTCGCAGACGTGCACCGGAGCACGCTCTGCGTCTCCGCGGGCTGCAAGAAGCGCAGCGGGTCGACGCAGCGCTCAGTGTGCGCCTCGTCGAATGCGGCGAAGCACGACAGCGAGGACACAGCGGCGCGGCGCGCCGTGCAACAGGACGTGTCCTGCGCTGAAAGGGGGGGTCAGTTAGGTGCGCGTTACCTGCGGCATTCGTACCGGCACCTACAAGTAAACCACGCCTCTTCGGCGCACCACCCGAGACTGGGCTGGGACTTGCTTGGGGTGGCGGACATGAGCGTATCCCACCTATCCGCAGCGCCCTCCGGTGCGGCGAGCATTTCGTCGCCGACCTTGTAGATGACCGCCCCCACAGGCAAGTGCCCATATAGAGGCGACATCTGCGCCAGTCATCGCCCATCAGCCCAGACCCACACAAGCACACGAGCGCGGTACGCACATCATCGACCCCAACGACGACGCGTCCATACTGGCTCACGTCGTGGTACCCGAGTACCGGCCATACGAGCGCGGACGTCCCGAGCCGCGCGGCGAAGCCCAGCGCGAGCCAGAACGCGAGGTTGTGGAACGCTCCGGCAGAGATGAGGCGCGCACGAGAGCGCGGGGGAAGCGCCTCGGTCTCGTCCGACGGAAACGCCACGAATGCGGATGGGAGGATGACGGTGAGTCCGACGCCTGCGGAGGTAAGCGGGAGCGCATCACTGCAGGGCAGGCAGAGACACTGTGAGTGTTAGCGTAAACCAAAAGAGAGAGGGTCCTACATTGCCGCGGCGACTGCGTGTCCACATTCGTGGATGACTTGCGTGGTGAGGAGAGTGATTAGGAGGAGTGGGAGATGGTGCAAGGGCGTGGTGAGCCCTGGAATCTACGCGTACGCTGTGAGGACAGGTCTGAGCACAAAGGCGGTGAAGAGAGGGGACGCGTCCAAATAGCAGGATGTGGTCCACTCGCGAGCGTAATTGTAAACTTACGATCAGTTGTAGCGCGGGCGCCGAATGCGACTCAGAAGTCAGACCATCATCTTCAATAATATCCCTCTTGCGAACCCCACTGGCACCTGAGGCATGGGAGTACCCGGAGCGTGTATAGAGCGAACTAGACAGCTGCACAGTCGTCCATAGGAGCAGCAGCACTGACCCAAGCATACCCAGTACCCCGAGCACACTCCCAACGTCATAGGCAAGCTGCAGCACCCTCCTCCAGCCGCCCCGTTTCGCAAGCCGCGCTGTAGAGGACTGGTGCAGTGCATTCCACGCCGTAGACGAGTAGCGGAGGTGGCAAGTGTCCAGGGTGATCCGAGTGGCGGGAGACCTGAAGAGCTCCGTCGATGCTGGGCCGCGCGCCGAGGACGTCAGCGACGGGAGCGTCGAGAGGCGGCGCGCACGTGCGCGGCGGTGTCGCAAGGCATAGAGCGCAATCCAGAAGAGTGCGAGAGCGAAGACGAGGAGCTGGATGTCTCTTGCGTGCGAGACGGAGCTCATCGTCGTCGAGGAACAAGTTCAGCCACAGGCGCCACCCCGTACTCCCGGATTAGGCGTGGTTAGACGCCCGTCAGGAAGACGTCGGCCAGAGGTCGTAGGGAGAGGGACTTCAGTTGGCGAGGGTGCAACCAGACACGTCTACTAGACGAAGACCTGGTTGCAACCAATCACCCGGCATTAGTTACAAAATACATATTCCCAACGTACTTTACAATTAATGCCCCCGTCGGGAATTGAACTGTGCTTCTCGCCGTCGAGGACTACAGTGAGGCAGCGTGAACCACTGCACCATAGATGCTTACATATGTTACAGAATCATTGCAATACATTAAGTCTTTTTGGGCGAGAAGAAGACCCGCCATTCAGGCTCCCTCCCCTCCCTCGCTGCGCTCGGGGGGTCCCCCGAGCCGGGAGCCTTCAGGCGGGCACTCTAAAGCTTCGTTCTCGCGATTTCTACAGACCGGCTCCTCTCAGGGGAGGGGGGATGTCCATATATTGGGCTGCCTAACCCTAATTCCTAACCCTAAGCCGAACCCTAAGGTAGCACACAGTCCTAAGCCAAAGGAAGAAATGCAAGGCCTAATGGTGTAGCGGATTAGTGTGTCTCTTCTGATCAGGAGATTGCTAGTTCGATGCTGCCCCTGGGCAATTAGTTATTGTTCGGGGTTCCGGAAAGCGGTTGCAACCGCGTCTTCATCTAATAGACGAAGCTGGTTGCACCCCACGCCAACTGAACATACTGCGTAGGGAGGGGTTCGAGGAAAGCTTCATACGAAGTTCTACCATTTCCTTGGAATTTAAACCATGCTCTCTTCGAAGGCTAATAGAATCAGAATCCAGAGGAATACCAAAATTCACGGAATACTATTATATGAGCTCAAGTCGACGATCCGCGTTCGTACACCCACCGCAGGGGGGACAACATCCGCACTCCACGCTCGCCGATGCAAACAGCAGTGGCTTTGGAGCATAAAAATCTGGACAACTGGTATCGGTTACGTAGTACGTATTGGTTTGATATTCCTGATATTCCACCACAGCGACATACAGCTATAGGGAGGGGCGCCAAGTTAGTACACTCTGAAGCAAGCTGGACACTGTGCACCTCATCACGAACATCGGTCAGATCCCACCGAGCCACTATTATCGCCAATCTTTGACACGCGCAGCCCTAAACGTCGTGGGGGTGAGGCAGAGCGCACTCAATGCGCTGATCCGGCAACTGTGATTGAAGCAATATCAGCATATTGTTCAAACCCACCAAAAAGGACCCTGCACATACCATATAGCTGTAGAGCATGATCCAGATGTCCTGGAGCTCTTTACGGAAATCGCCCCGGACGAGCCGCTCTGGAGACAGTGAGAGATCCAGCGCATGGTCAAAGTCAACAACTACCACGCGGCCCGGATTCCCCTTGGCTACAAGGATATTCTTCGACTCGCTCGGCACATCCCCGTGCAACACGTACGCGCCATGGATGCGGGTGAACGCGCGCATCGCCGACGCCGCCAGCTCGTATGTGATGTTCCGCGCCTGCAGCACCTCCGCATCCGGGATGTACTCGAGCACCAGCGCCGCCGCCGGAGAGCCGTCGACAAAGATGGGATCGATAAACGGCGGCCGGTACCTCCATCCCGTGGACGAGAAGTCCTTGATCGTGGTAGCGATCAAGGTGTTCGCCTGTGCGATGTGAGCCTCGCTCATCTCCATCCAGCCGTAGCACACAGGGACCGCGCCCACATCACAGACGCCGTAGTGTACGAGGTGTGCGTATGCAGACTTCTCGATCTCGAAACGTTGCTGGGACGTCCTGTAAGCCAGGCTTGAAACGTAGGGTTCGTATGCGGCTATCTCGGGATCCCACCATCCCCCGCTGTACTGGATATCCCGGTTAGCTCACAGTGTACTCGTCATGCATAGTTCCGAACGAATGTATACTCACCGCTTTGAGGAGCCGTTCTTCCCCCCTCAGGCGCACCCGCAGCAAAGGGTGCGGACCCGTCTCACACAGGCATTCCAAGATTTCCATCGCTGGATCCATCGGGATCTGCGGGAGCGGCGGAGGTGCATCATAGTCCTCGAATGTAGTCCCGCTTTGCGCGAACCGCTGATGGTCCTGTAGAAGGATCGGACAGCGCCCGTGCCACTTGAAGAACAAATTATCATCCGTCCAGCGCCCCTGCCATTCCTGCGCTGCGGATAGAAGTTCAGCCGAATCGTACTTGTGGTCGTCCCTAGGTTCAGGAATGATGTTGTGTATGGGCGGGTTCCAGTCGAGTAAGTTCTTCTCCGGGCAAGCAGAAATGATAGCCTCGATCTCTGCCTCCACTGTCGCTTGCGGAACCCGTTGAAGAGAGCCTGCACCCGGCGAGAATCGGCTGGGGTCGGCAACTATTTTGCGCTTCCAGATCGTAGTTCCTACCGCACTATCGTCGTCGAAGCCGATGAAGGCATCCGGGAGCTATATAAACCTTTGTCAGACTTCACCGTTCTGTGAAAAGGGAAACCACTCACCAATTTCTCGTATAAGAGGCTCCACGTTTGCGCGAGCTCATGAAAGAGAGACTGTCGCGAGACAACCCCTTCGCCACAAGACGCACAACTGAAGCCGACCCAAACCACCCGTCCAGTCTCGGGACGAAGCATGACGCGCTGTCGAACGAGGTTGCCGTGCTGGACGAACGCGCTGTGCACTTTCGAAAGAGCCTTGAGCGCACTCGCCGCGACTGTCCCCGAGACGTTGTGGATGGACAACGGAGCGAACCCAGAGAGGTCCTCGAGGATGAGCCCCCTCCAGCAGTGCCCCGCAACAGACTGCATGGTATCGACCAGGAATGTGACGACTGGACTGAGTGGTGGACCTGAACGAGCCGCGAAAGACTGGACGTCGTCCAAGCTCAGGCTGAGCCATCCATAACATTTCGGAACAGCGCCCGACTCGCAAACGCCATAATGAACGAGATGAGTGTACGCATCAAGCTCGTGTCGGAAACCGCTGGAGCTGTCATTGGCGGTGTCCGATTCTTCTTCCGCCTCGAGAAACTGTGGACATTTTTTGTTAGCGTACGGACATTGAAGGACGATGATTTAAGCTGACCATCTTGAGAACACGCGGCTCACCGTCCAGCTTAGCGCGAAGTATACACCGACCGTCACCCGTGTAGAGTTCCTCCGGGTCAGAGATGAGCCCAGGAGATATACCGAAATACGGCAGAGTGCGCGGCACTTGGTAGCCTTTCAAAGGCAAAACCGCCTTTTCCAAGTCCCAGTTGTCGAGGAAGAACGGGTTGCTCGAGCACATGAAGTAGAAAGGGTTGACTCCGGTTCGCTGCGCTTGCGCAAGAGCCAGGACCTTCACTTGATCGTCCAATGGACATATAGTAGGTTGAAGTACTGCCAGCGGAGGATGCAGGTCTGTTACTCCTACAGTGTCCATGTCCCAAGGGCTTGTTTCGGGATAGGACTGCAGGAAAACCGAGGACATATTGAGCGTGGTGACATAAAGCTTGCGTGCCGGGATCGGCTCTACGTTGGCTTGGGCCCGTTGGGGCATTGTTTCCAGGCAAAGAGACGCAGGAAAGTCGTTGCGGTTCTCAGTGGGGGTGCTGAATGCACTCGCAGGAATGCATGCTTGACCTTGCTTGACCAGGCACGTTGTTTGACGTAAAACTCACCTGGTAGTCCAATCTGCTTCGAGCGCAGTGCTAGTTTACATATAGTAACAGACTCTGGGACCACCCATGTCGCTCTGTTTCCGTGCGAGGACGCACACCTCGGTCAAACCCGCTTTGGAAGGAGACGGAGCATATAAGGGTGCCCATTATTGAGCAGGTTGCGAACTCGAGCCGCGGGCACGGGGGATCAACTAAGGTGGTTGCGAGCTATTTGAAGGGTTGGAGAAAGTACCACAGAGCAGAACATACGAAAGCAATCCGCGTACAGTGCTGGTTAGAGAGGCAGCTGCGACATGGTCTTCACTATGTTCGAGAGAGACCTCGGCGGTGGTACGGAGCAAGAATGACAGAAGCAGCCGAAAGCAGCGTACCCATCGGCGTCTAGCCGCACTTGCCCTCTCCCTCCACTCGCCGGAACTCCCAATCATACTTCAGTTCAAGCAGTCGTCTCCTCCTCTCGCTTTTCTTAGAACATAACAATTCTACAAGGAACTCAGCTATGAAGGTCTTCTCTCTCGCGGTGGTGCTCGCCCCGCCGAACGGTACCTGCACCATCCTAACCAGCGCGTCCGACCTGTCCTCGTTCTCGTTCTACCAACGGGGCTCGGTTGCGGAGTTCATGTCCTTCTTCACCAAGACCATTTCAGAGCGCACACCCCAGGGCCAACGCCAGAGCGTCCAGGAGAACTCGTACACCGCACACGTCTACAACCGCGGCGGCGCGGAACAGCTAGCAGGTGCGTCTCCTCACAGGTGTACAACACTCCGGGCACATCTGAATGATTGCAGGCGTCATCATTACGGACCAGGAGTACCCCGTCCGGCCCGCATTCTCGCTCCTCACGAAGCTGCTAGACGACTTCATTGCGAAGGTGCCGCAGGCGTCGTTCAAAACCCCCGCGGCGATCTCGTTCCCGGAGATCAACACGTACCTGCAGAAGTACCAGGACCCGCGGCAGGCGGATGCGATCATGAAGGTCCAGCAGGAACTGGATGAGACCAAGATCATTCTGGTTGGTTTGCACTCCCATGGTTGTGTTCGAAGGCGTGCTGAAGCGACGTCATTGCTGTAGCACAAGACAATTGAGTCGGTCTTGCAGCGCGGAGAGAAGATCAACGACCTGGTGGACCGCTCGACTGCGCTCTCCGCGCAGAGCAAGATGTTCTACAAGACGGCCAAGAAGGTGAGCCCCATTGCCCTACGTGTCCCCGCCTCAGCTCATCGCGTCCTCAGCAAAACTCCTGCTGTGTTATTATGTAAAGCAGCGATGCCTCTTGCGCGCCGCGTCTTGCCGGCACACACTACGACGCTCACGACCAGTTACTGTACGACGTTTCCAACTGCACGTCATGTCCGGACGCGCGTCGGCCGTTTATTGCTTTTCTGTAGAGCTCTGCCTTTCACCTGTAGTAGTACGATCGCGTCCAGACTGGCCAGCGGGTTATATACCAATCTATTCACGGACTTCGGATATTTCTCGCGGTGCGCGGTTGCTCCTGCTGCCCGCCTTAGGCATGTGGGACGGCCTCTTTCCGCATGTAAGGCGCTGTGCCTGCCGCACCGTAAGAGGAGGAAGAGAAGAGAGCGAAGAGATTCGAGAAGGCAACGGCTAACGGGAGAGATTGCACTCGCTGCGCTACGCCAGGCCACGTGGAAAGCTGTACGAGAAATCTGGCGTGTTCCTGGCCCGACGTGGCTTACGCCTCCCCTCCACGTCCTCCTCATCCCCACTTCGTTCGCCACACGACCACCGCCGTTTTTGGCGTACGCTCACCATGTAAGCACAGAGGATATTCATGAGCGAATACATCGTCCTCACGCGCTGTTGCAGGAGCTCGGTCAAGGTCGAATCGTCCGAAATAGTGGGCGCGACCCTCCACATATCGCTGCCCCGGAAATACCACCTCTACACGACCCCCTTCCTCTGCCTCTACCCCGTTCTTGCGTACGCGTACTACGTCCGATACGACGACTGGGTCAAGAGCGAAGAGTGGACGTTCCTGGCATGCGTCTCTCTTGGTCTCGGGCACGCGCTTAGCTTCCTCGTCACCCGCTGGAATACTGGAGCGCGCGCATTCATCACTACTCGGAAGGTGAGTCCTAGCTGAGTTGTATCTGCTGGTCACCGTTTTATAACGCCACTGGGAAGGCGCGTTCCCTCGAGGACGCCGACTGTGTTCGTATCTTTCCCGCCAGCCACCGTGGCGAGGGCGAAATCGTTCCCCTCGAGAAGAAGGTCCCGTCAGACCCGACGACATACACGTTCAACTACCAGAGGGATGCCTACGTTGTCACCTCGTCCTCGCCCATCACGTTCTCCCGGCTGCCATACCCCTGCTCTTCTAGTCCCCCACTCGGCTCTTTCCTGTCGCCCCGCAGCTTGACCGAGACGGATACCAAGTCGCTCACCACCCTGTACGGTAAGAACGAGTACAACATCCCGATCCCGTCCTTCGTGGAGCTCTTCGGGGAGCACGCGACCGCGCCCTTCTTCGTCTTCCAGATCTTCTGCGTCGCGCTCTGGTGTCTGGACGAGTACTGGTACTACAGCCTGTTCACGCTGTTCATGCTCATCGTCTTCGAGTGCACTGTCGTCTGGCAACGCCTCCGCACCCTCACGGAGTTCCGCACGATGTCGATCGCGCCCTACCCGGTCTATGTCAAGCGCAGCGGAAAGTGGATACAGATCCAGAGCGACGACTTGCTTCCCGGCGACTTGATCTCGATTGGTACGTGAACGCAGACATGAGTGCGGCCGCATATCTGACCAAATTTGCACAGCGAGACAGCAGACGGAAACGAATGTCCCAGCGGACATCCTGCTCGTGCGCGGAACCTGCATTATGAACGAGGCCATGTTGTCGGGAGAGTCCACGCCCCTGCTCAAGGAGTCTATTGCGCTTCTGGAGGCGGATGAGGCCCTCGACGTCGATGGCGCGCACAAGAACGCCGTCCTCTTCGCAGGAACCAAGTTGCTCCAGGCGACGAACGGCGGGGACACGCCCGACGGCGGGTGCCTCGGGGTCGTGCTCCGCACTGGTTTCGGAACTGCTCAAGGCCAACTCGTGCGCACGATGATCTTCTCCACGGAACGCGTATCTGCAAACAACGCGGAGAGCTTCTTGTTCATTGGCTTCTTGCTCATATTCGCTATCGCTGCGAGTTGGTATGTGTGGACGAAAGGTTTGTGCGGATTCCTTGGGTGTTAAGCCCTAGATACTCACAGGGCGTGACAGGTATCGAGCGGGAACTCAAGAAATCGAAGCTGCTCCTCGACTGCATCTTGATCATCACAAGTGTCGTGCCTCCCGAGCTGCCGATGGAACTGTCTCTGGCCGTCAACGCATCTCTGGTTGCCTTGTCCAAATATGGTGGGTTGTTATTTGCGGCTTTGTTGGAACTGGTTCTCATATACCACCATAGCTATCTTCTGCACTGAACCCTTCCGCATCCCGTCCGCCGGGCGTGTGGACGTCTGCTGCTTCGACAAGACAGGCACAATCACCGCGGAGAACCTCGTCGTAGAGGGTGTTGTTGGTGTCGAGTAAGTGTTACATCTGCACACCGTCGCAGCGAGACTAACATAGTGCGCAGCCCCACGGACGCTCTCAAGCTCGTAGACGTCAAGGCTACTGGCCGCGAAACGACGCTCGCCCTGGCTGCCGCCCACGCGCTCGTGCGCCTCGACGACGGCACGATCGTCGGCGACCCTATGGAGCGCACGACGCTCGACGCACTCAACTGGCAGCTCTCCAAGGGCGACAGCATCGCCCCGATCGACGTGGCTGCGCCCCACCGCACGCACCTGACCGTCCGCCGCCGGTTCCAGTTCTCGTCCGCGCTGAAGCGCATGAGCACGGTGTCAAGCCTGCCGAACGGGCGCTGCATCGTTGCGGCGAAGGGCGCCCCGGAGACGATTAAGCGCATGCTTGCGGCGGTGCCGGAGGGATATGATGACACGTACAAGTGGTACACGCGGAGGGGCAGCCGCGTGCTCGCGCTCGGGTTTAAGGAGATGGACAGCTTGACTGTGGACAAGGTCAGCGACTCAGAGAATATCCGCTTGAGATGCGCTCACGCTGCTCCGACTTGTAGATCAACAAGCTTCCTCGTGACCAGGTCGAGTCTGAACTGCAGTTCGCCGGATTTTTGGTCTTCCACTGCCCGCTCAAGCCCGACGCCGTCGAGACTCTGAAAATGCTAGGCGACTCCTCACACCGCGTACGCTCTCACTATTCTAAGCAATCGTAGGCCGTGTCTGATGTTCTTGTAGTGCGTCATGATCACCGGCGACAACCCGCTCACTGCTGTTCACGTCGCTCGCGATGTGGAGATTGTCGACCGCGATGCCCTGATTCTGGACGTGCCCGAAGGCACCTCCGACTCTAGTGCGTTTGAGTACCTCATTCCTCCGTTCAACGCTGATCAGTCTCGCAGGCCTTGTGTGGCGTTCGGTGGACGAGACCGTGATCATCCCCGTCGACCCCACGAAGCCCCTCGACACGACCCTCTTCGACAAGTACGACATCTGCATCACCGGCGCAGCCATGAAGTTCTACCAGGCCCACCCCTCCTGGAACGACCTCGTGCAGAACACCTGGGTGTACGCGCGCGTCTCGCCCGCACAGAAGGAGTTCATCCTCACCTCGCTCAAGAGCCTCGGGTACGTGACGCTGATGGCGGGCGACGGCACGAACGACGTGGGCGCGCTGAAGCAGGCGCACATCGGCGTCGCGCTGCTGGACGGCACGGAGGAGGACCTGAAGAAGATCGCGGAGCACCAGCGCAACGAGCGCGTGAAGAAGGTGTACGAGAGCCAGCTGAAGATCTCTGCGCGCTTCGGTCAGGTGCCGCCGCCAGTCCCGCCGGTCATCGCGCACTTGTACCCGGAGGTCGTCGAGGCGCAGAAGAAGGCCGCCGCGGACCAGCAGAACGCGAAGAAGAAGAACCCGATGGAGAAGGTGCGTTCAGTCTACGTTGTTGTAAGACATGATTTTGACAGGGGGTGCAGTTCGATATCGCGACGATTACGGACAAGTTGGCGGAGATGGACGGCGAGGACGAGGTGCCGAAAATCAAGCTCGGCGACGCGTCCTGCGCAGCGCCGTTCACGTCGAAGTTGTCCAACGTCAGCGCAAGTGCGTAGTTCCAGTTGACCTGATGCAAGCCAGCGCTGACGTGTTCGTGTAGTTACGCACATCATCCGCCAGGGCCGCTGCACGCTGGTGGCGACGATCCAGATGTACAAGATCCTCGCGCTCAACTGCCTGATCACTGCGTACAGTCTGAGCGTGCAGTACCTCGATGGGATCAAGTTTGGCGACTACCAGGTCACAATTACGGGCATGCTCATGTCGGTCTGCTTCCTCTGCATCTCGCGGGCCAAGGTCAGTCGCTCTCTCATCTACCCACATCTTCTATCGCTCACATCCACTCTACAGCCCGTGGAAAAGCTCTCCAGGGAACGCCCACTCGGGAACATCTTCAACTTCTACGTGCTGCTCTCTGTCCTCCTGCAGTTCGCGCTGCACATCGCGACGCTCGTGTACATCACGCAGCTCACGCACGTGTACGAGTCGCGCGGCGCGATCGACCTCGAGGCGAAGTTCGAGCCGAACCTGCTGAACACAGCCATTTACCTTCTCGGGCTCTCGCAGCAGGTGTCCACATTCGCGATCAACTTTCAGGGACGGCCGTTCCGCGAGGGCATCCGCGAGAACTCGGCGCTGTACTACGGGCTGGTCGGCGCGAGCGCGGTCGCGTTCTCAGGCGCGACGGACCTCATGCCCGAGCTCAACCGCTGGCTGCAGATCGTCGAGATGCAGGACTCGGTGAGCCTTCCCATCTGGGTATGAAGACGCTAGGACCAGTGCTGACTAGTTGGGTTTGCAGTTCAAGTTCCGCCTGACCGCCTCGATGGTCATCGACTTTGCGGGGTGCTGGATCATCGAGAAGGTGTGCAAGGCGCTGTTCGCGAACCTGGAGCCGAAGCCGATGGTCACGCGTGGGCGCGAGCGGAGGGAGAAGCGGCGGGCGGAGGAGGCGTTGGCCAAGAAGACGGAGTGAGATGGATATTGTGTGCCCGTTGCTCTCGTTGTGTTGCATACTGTAATGTCTTGTCAAGTAGATTACGATCCTGCCAATACACCCCACTAGATGAGGTTAACCGAAGCATGACCAGGCTCACCGTTGAGCGGAAGAGCGATGAACTTGGACAATTGCCTGATACGGACAAAAGTGTGGGCGTCTATCTAATCCGGGGGACAATGGGGGAAATGGGAAATGAGTGGCGTGCAGCGCTTCACAGGTCTGTTCACGACCACCACCATCCCTCTCTCCGTTCTCGATTGCCCTCGATGTCGGAGCCTCGCTACTCGACGGGCATGCCCTCGGGTTCGTCCCACAAACGAACTTTCGATGCTATAAACCCCGACCCCGAAACAGACACTCAACATGCAGGCCGCAGCCGCAGGGACTCTCCCGTACCTTCCTCGAGCAGGGAGGAGGCCAACCGTGAGCGGAACAAGCGGGCTCGCAACGACAGCGACTCTTCATATACCAGCGAGCTCGACGACATCCTTGCTGCTGATCCGTTATCACCCTCCAGCAGCGGAGGCAGCAACTCCAGCTACCACTCCGCTCAGTCCACACTCCCCACCGCCGCTTCTCCTACCCTGCTTGACGAGAGCGAGGAAGACATGCACATGCTCATCGACCCTGCAGTCCCCGAGAGCCATACTCGCCCCACTTCTCCTATTGACGACCGGCCCACGTACTTCGAGTTGTTTCCCGGCCCACCGCGGCAGAGCCAGCCTGTAGCGCCTCAGCCAGGGCCGTACGAAGACATAGCGAGGTCTCTTGAACGGGCGAGTGCTTTTGATCGCGAGATAGCCCCCTTGCGTTCCTCGCCTGCCGTCCTTCCCACATCCTCTGCGCAAGGCGCCGGCCCGCTCCCTCCGGTCCGACTTCCACCTGGCCTGGACGACTTCTTTCCTGACCCTTACAGCACGCGAGACGACCCATTGAGCACTCGGGCGGAGGGCTTTGGTATGTTTGATGGTTCGTGGCTACCTTTCGAGCGGGACAACGGTTCGTGCTCTACTCCTACAGCGTGATGTGATTTGTTCAGAAGTTGTATTGCCTAGATGGTCCGGCGCTGCGGCATCGCCGCGCTGAGACCACGCCGTCTGCCCTCGACGCAAATAGCAATGGTCCATCTGGCTCGCGCAGACCTGGCGACGCTGAGGCGACCACACGGCCGCGTTCCCCACCTAGCCGATTCCTGGATCTAGACGGTACCCCTCTGACGAATGACCCGTGGTGGCGGCGTACCAGTGAGACGTCGCGGGCACGACGTCTCTTCACCAACTATCCCACCGCTTTCCCGTCCCCAGAACCAGATGCCCCTGGCAATGAACGACTAGGTCGATGGCCACGAGCTGCCGAATCTGGGAGCAGACCAGAAAATCTCCGACGAGAAGATCGGTTCTCCGAAGAGCCGTACTTCAGCCCTTATGGATTCCACATGAACCTGCTTGATGTAGTGAACATGCCGCCCAACCGTGACAGAGATGCAGCCACACAGTCATCTACGCGCTCTCCTCGGGTGTCTCCTTCATTTACGCCGCGACGGTTTTCAGATGGGTTGGAGGCTAGGACCATGGGTTCGCCCAGCAGCGTAGCCCGCACCACGCCTCAACCTATACAACCTCGTCCCTCACCCAGGATGTCGGTAAGGACTCCCCGGGATGTGCGCTCTGCACTTGATGACTTCGACAGCACCATGGAGCGTCGGTCGGACTACGTTGATCGCACGTTGCGGGAGGTCGAAGCGCATCGTCGACGCATCGCCGAGTTCCTCGCCGAGCCACTACCGCCTTTTCCTCCATACCCTGCTCCTTCAACGGCCGCAGCATCTCCACTGCCTACGAGCTCGTACTCCACGCTTCGGCATGCGCTAGACGATAATGTCTCAGCAGCAGCAGCAGCCGTCCGTCGTGCGCCCCCGCCGGTCCCAGAACCTACCCATGTCCGCGATTCTCTTACGCGCGAGCGCATCACCAGGCGCTTAGACGACGCTGCTCTGCTGGACGACTATTATGCCGACTTCTCGGAGTGGGACATGGCACAGCCTATCTCACCGAGCGCGTTCGGTCTGAACGCGCGTCGGCGAGGCCCCTATCGCATGCGAACCGTCGACGAGATGCGGAGTATGGGATCGAACTCCGTGCAGCCTCCAAGACCTGCGCGAGAGTCGCCTCCGCCCGCTGTAGACGTGGACGAGACCCTTCTGGACTACATACCATCGTATCTGGAGTTTAACAGTCGTGCTCGAGCGCAGGACCTCAGTGGCTTACGCCACCGTGCTCGTCCCCGTTCTCCATCTCCAGTGCAGCCCTCACCACCGCGCGTGCCGGAACCGAGGTTGTCGACTTGGACACCTCTAACAGGGATGATAGAAGAACACAACCAGGATTGGCTGTGGCACCACGATTCCTCGAATCCTGGCCTCGGCCACTATTATCCCTCACGCACTCCAGAGGATGACGCGATGCTGCAATCGTTCACGGAACGTTCCACGCAGCCAAGTCGCCGGACTGACGTCGAACTCAATACTATCACCAACAATGCTGCCCGTCCCGCAGAGGACACCTCGCGGCAGCCTCGCTCCGTCAATATCGATCTTGACGCCTTCCGCGATGGGCCCTTCCGTGCTACGTTGGCTCGATCGGTTGCTCTGCAGCATCGTTCCGCCACGGACCGTCCGGAGCCATCAGTGACCCGCACCGAGAGGAGAGAGGCCCCAGAGGCTCCAGCCACATCCCCTCTTCCCAACCCGTGGGTCAGGCGCAATGCCAGAGTGGAGGACGAGATCGCCACAGCCGTTTACAGGACGCGGCACATGCACACGGAGGCCACCCCCGAGCCGAGCGACCCGTGGACGTACGAGGCCATTCACCGTCGGATGAGGCAACGCCAGGCCGATACGCGCGCGGAGACCGGTTCGATCCGCGCTCGCAGTCCACTAGGCAACGAGACCCACCGTGCTCGTCCGCCCATGGAACCGGCCCCCCTGGATTACAGACAGGCTATGTCCACCCCTATGTACCCGGCCCGCCACCGCCCAACCGTACAGGAGGAAGTCCAACGGCGCCTGCGCCAGCGCACTCTACTAGACCGCGAGCACGCATCGAACCACGCTTACCCTCCCTCAGAGGACTCGTCCTCCCGCACGTCAGCACGTATAGAGCGCGTGCAGCGACAGCGCGAGCTCGTCCAGCGCATGATGGCACGAGACCGGAGAAGCGGCGAGGCTGCAGGGTCCGCTTCTGCCAGCGCGTCTTCTGCGCGCAGCGAAACGGAACCAGCGCGTGCTAGTGGCCAGCCATCAACGAGCAATCCGGCCGACGTGCATTCGTCAACATGGACCAGGCGGTACGCTCGTCTGGGCCAGGCGGCCGCGTTCAGGGATGGTCGGCCAGCTGAGGACCGCCCGGCGCCGCTGAACGGACGGTTTGCACGCCGCGGAACGTTTGGGCCGCACTTCCCGCCCGACATGGTCTGGGTGGATGTCCCGCCCGGCAGGCATTCTGCGTTCATGCGGAGGCGCAACTTTGGGGATTACGTTGTGAGTATCAGTTATGTCTCTCTCTATCCGTCAATGCTCACACGTCTGACCTTGCAGCGCGACGAGGATTTCGACGTCTCCTACGAAGGGCTGCTGTCACTCTCGTCCCTTCTGGGCGATGCGAAGCCTCGCGGGACTCCCGACGACATCATCGAGTCACTCCCGAGGGGAACGTATCGCGAATGGACACGACCAGGCGCCACCGAGGAGCGGTGCCCCATCTGTCTCGACGACGTACGTGATTCTCGCTCTCGCCTCTCCATTTCATCTCACCGAAACGCATTCAGTATCAACCAGACGACCCGTGCCTGCGCGTCTGCGGGTGCTCCCACTGGTTCCACGAGGGCTGTCTTCAGGTGCGTTGTCGCCCCTCCTTTCCCGCCACTCCCCGCAGACGCTCAAGTTCTGCTGTAGCAATGGCTCAAGACTGCGCGCACATGCCCCGTGTGCCGCGGGCGCGTCACCAGGCCACCACGTACTGAGGAGCCCCCAGCGCCCGTCGCAGGCCCGAGCGGGTCGAACGACCGCGACCGCGACGACGACTCAGACGCGGATGATCGCGCGGAGGAGCGACGGATGGCGGCGCGGCAATGGAATATGTTCCATCCGCCGTGGCGTCATGGCTGATTTGCGACTCGAGACAGGATGGATGCGCAGGCGATGTACGATGATATGAAGATGTTGGATTCACGCGCCCCGCGGGTTGGATACCTGGTGCTGTTCGCTGCTTGTACGTTGTGTATGTAGTGTTCTCGCGAGAGCTCACGGATGGATATGTAGTTTTGGGCTCGACGCCCTGATGTACGACGTGATTATGAACATGTTCTGGTTTTGGTTTCAATCCGCCCGGTTGCCTGACCAGGACATTTTTTCAATGGTACTCTGCAATGCCTCTTAGACACTGGCGACGTTAACAGGAAAGAGTTATGGTGCTGAGTTACATATATCCTGATATATCAAGACGTACTGTGCCACACCGTCCCGGATGTGGGGGACGCTAGAGAGTCCAAGCACATTGTACGTTCACCCTGTCCGACTCGTTCCCTCGTCATCAACGATAGTAGCATGCTCCCTCCGAGTAGGAGTGCTGCATTTGTGTTCGATCTCATCTGTGAGTTTACGACTCTGCCGAAGGAGAAAGGGGCCAGGCCGGACGAGCATCAGTCACGCATCCTCGCGCAGGATTCAGGATGTAGTACACCATGAGAGCGGTAGAACATAAGCTGCTCTTTTCAGCCGTATACTTACCTATTAACGCTTGACCGAATCGACCATCCAGAGTGCAAGTCGAAATGAGATGATAACACAACAAGCCAACAACGTACATTCCACCATTCCAAGACTTCTAGGCGCTGCTTCACACAGTACTCTCGTGATCTCGTGATTCGTCAATGCAACCGCTCGCAAACCACCCCGCGCGGCCGCAGCCCCGGCTATGCACGCGGTCGCTAGGCGTTGGCGTACTTCTCGGTCCACTCGCGGCTGACGCGCTGCGCGTCGACCTCGTTCTCCTTGTAGTGCTTCGCGACGTCCGTCGCGAGGGGGTCGTCCGGGTTCGGTGCGCTGAGGAGCGCCTGGACGGAGAGCAGGACGGTGCGGATCTGGAGCGCGGGCGACCACTTGTCTGCGGGGAATGGTCAGCCTGGATCGTTCAAAGAAAACGGTCTCTGAGGTTCAGAAGTGCATGGTAGCGGTATGAGGGGGAGGACTGAAAGAGGGTGGATGGGGTGGATTGATGTATTGCTGCGTATTGCCCTTCCGGGTACAGTGACCGGGTCAAAGGCGAGAGACGCACCTTTCAGGATATCCAGACAGATACGGCCAAGCTTGTCTGCACACATACAAGGCGTATCAGCCAACCAGTCCAAATGCAAGTGACAAAGGGCGGCGCACCGATATTAGGGTGGTAGATCTTGGTCAGGAAGCGAACCTTCGGAGGGCTCATGGGGTATTCTTCTGGCAGGAACAGCTCCAACCTAAACACTCCATCTACAGCAACGTAAAACGCAGATTACGTTTCGAGGTCAGAACATTGGGCGGGCGTAGGTTGGAGATAGACCGAAGACGCACTCTGGAAGGGGCTCCCATCGGGTCCTTGGATCGTGACATCGAAGTATCGGAGGTTGTCGTCATGCGGCGACGCAGTGATTCCAGGCGCGGGATCCGCTACGAGCCGTTCTGTCTCCTGCTCGGACGGCACCCAGTAGAGAGCAAGCCATCGCGCCGTGAGCGAAGTTGGTCGTGTGGCCGGCAGAGAGCACGACGCACCTTGATGATTCGCTATCCAGCGAGAACAGCACAGTTTCCAGGTGAGCAGCTGTAGCATCCGAGAGAGCAAGACGAGCTAGGTACCTTGGGGAGAGACATGTCTGCGGGCGGTGGCGGTGGAGTGGTTGCAGGTGAAAGAGGCTGAGAGAGCCAATCTCAATCTCGCCTATGACCCACGCGCGTCCAAATCCGGCAATTCACCCATCCGGGCCGCAGACCACGCGGCTGCAAGCGCCGAAACGCCGCGGAACGCGTTTGTGGCTGCAGCTGCGGGTGTGCTCCTGACCACCACCTACGCGTCTGGCCGTATATAAAGGGTAAAGGTCATCGAGTCCAACTAACGTTACGGAAGAACCGTATTCCTGTTCACGATGTCCGAAAACGCCGCCGCCAACGCCCAAGTACGTCGCTGTCTCAGCTTTCCTAGGACGCCTCTACATGTCCTATTGTTCACTCTTTTCATGCTCTTTCACCACCAGGCAGGCGATAACGACAAGGTGAACGAATGGGTCCGACTCACGAGCACAGACGGCTACGAGTTCCTCGTCAAGCGCAAAGTCGCGGCGTGCAGTGGCACCCTCCGGAATTCGCTCAGCGCCGAGAGTCAGTCTCTCTTCCATCTCAGGAACATGCATGACTGACACGGATATAGGCAGCTTCTCCGAGGCCTTGTCAAATACAGCCCATACCAACGAACGGTAAGCTCCGCCCGTCGGCGTATCCTAATCGCCGTCCCCTCTCCTCCCTAGACCCTGACCCGTGCCTGTCCCCGCACTCCAGAGCTGTCATCGTCGAGAAGCTGTGCGAGTACCTGTCTTACAAGTCTCTCTACGAGAGCGCGAAGAAGAACGAGGAGATCCCCGACTTTCAGGAACGCGTCTACCCGGAGATTTCCCTCGAGCTGTAAGCACCTATCCTCGTCGCTGCGTGCCTCGTGCCCGAGTACTGACTACGCCTCGAGGCTCGTCGCTGCGGATTATTACGATGGTCTGTGTCGTACTTCGCGTTTCATCGTATCGCAGCTGACGGCTTCTGCACAGCGTGATACGCCGCTGCCTGTCAGTGTGGACCCACTCGCGCCGCTGAGCCACTGTTCCGTAACTCATTTTACGTAGAACTGAAAGTCTGAGTCTATCACAATTCCCAACACTTGGTGTGATGGTACCTAGACCCTGAAATGTCTATGTCTGTATCGTTTCGCCGGTCCGAGCGGGTTAGATAAGTCATCTGGGACCGCGGCTAACCGCACATATGTGGATTACAGAAATATCCCTTGTGTAGCCACCGCATCACCCTAACTGAGTCTGCAAGATATTAAAGTCTACGGCTGTTCCTTACAGGTGATCGTGAGGCTTCGTACAGTCTGGCGTTCGGTGCCAGTGCAGATACTTACATTCCGCGTGACGCTGTGTCACATTCTACTCAACGCCGTGACCGCTCTGTCCCCAGATTGCCCGATTGCCGTGGCCGTAATTGCCTGACGCTATTGCTCAATCTTTGAAGCATCCCCGCGGTCAATATCATGAAACACACATCCATGAGCCTGGATGAGCAATGAGAAATAGCATGATAAACAATGACACGCATGTGGTACAACAACAACGACACAACAACATCCTGGTGGGGTATACACCACACATCCATCCATTCCCTCACGGCGCAGTCTCGAACCGCTTCAACGCCTTCGGCCTCGACGACTTCTTCCCCCTCGCGATCCGATCCGCCAGTCTCTCCACCATCCCGCCATCGCCCAGCCCCTCCTCCTCCAACGCCCTCTTAATCAGCTCCTCCATATTCCTCCTATTATCCGGGGGCGCCTCCTCCCCGACGTGCCCCTGCCCGCCACTGGCGAGCGCGAGCCCGGGCATGCGCATGCTCGGCACGGGCACGAGCGGCATCGAGCCCGACGCCGCGTAGTCGAACTGCGGCATGCGCTCGTTCGCGATGTCGGACGCGCGCGCGTCGCTGAACGTGCGTATCATGCGCCGCATGTTCGTGCCCGCGCCCAAAGCGTCCGGCGCGCCGCCCGTGGGGTGGAACCCGCCGGGCCATGCGGTGGGTGTGCCGGTGCCCGAGGGGAGGCCGCCGGGCATTGGGGCGGGCGTGAGCTCCGTCGCGTTCTCCGACTCCTCTCTGTTAGGTTATCATCAGCGAGTGAGATGGAATACGCAAGACAGGAATACGAACCGGAGGAGCTGGAAGATACGCTGCATACGCCCTACAGCCAAGATCTTGTTCTTGATCTCCTGCCTGCGCGCCGAGATCTCGTTCGGCGTGAGCGCAAGGTCCGCGACCGTGCGCGTATCGTCGCTGTCGGAATCGCTGTCGAGCGCACGCGAGCGCTCCGCGTCGTCCTCCTCGCTCGACGCGCTCTCGAGCTCCTGGTCCGAGCACACCGCGAGGATCGCGAGCAGCATCTCCGTGATCTTCTCGCCCACGAACGGCAGCGACCACGTGAACGCGTCCATGAAGTTCGGCAGCCAGTACGGGTGCGACGTCGCGTTGTACTGCCTGCAGAGATGCCGCGCTCAGCGTGACGATCGCGGGGGCGTTAGTGCGGGCGGGACACGCACCTGATGGTGATGTTCTTGTTCTTGTACTTGATCACGGCGCCGCGATTGTGGTACACGTCCAAGTAGTTCGGCGCGCTGAAGATCGTGATCACCGACGGGAATTTCTTCGTCGGTGTCTTGCGATGCATCGTATATCCCGCGTCCTGAGCCTCGTGGCCGCGGAATATACCCAGTAGCTGATTGCGTTCCAAGAACTTGCACGCCGCCTCGTATCTGCATATCCCGAGACATGTCAGCAAGTGGACGCGAAATGCAGGGAGTAGCTCTTGATAGGACTTACGTAAAGTAATAGCTACAGCCTCGAGTGTGGTTATCAATGAAGGGAACCCCGAGTGGCAACCCGTGTGGATTGTCGTATGTGGGTTCCGTCTATGAGGAAGAACCCCCGATGAACACGCGTATCCATCGAAGCTTGGAGTCTGGAGCGTACCTCATGTCCGAAGTTTGGGATCGGATCGGCCCAGAGTAGGTCGCACAGTAGCCCCTTGGAAGCAGGCTCCTCAAAACGGTTCATCTGTCGGAGGGGCGTAGGTTGTGTCAAAATGCGCGCAGCCAGGTACAGGGCCTGGGTTACGTACGCGCTCAAGATCCTTCAGCGTATCGAGCTCCGGGGAGATCCCGCCGTGCACGCAGAAGAACTTTCCGTCCACGAGCGCTGTTACGGGGAGCGCCTGGAAGGACCGGATACACGCATCGTATATCGCCGGCGAGTATTTGTGTAGACCTGTATGCTGTGTGAGCAGATACGTGCAAGCAGAACAAGCCGAGCTCACTGACATTCTCGTTTGAATGTAAAGTATTCCGTTAGGTGCCTGCACTCATGGTTTCCACGGAGCAGGAATAGTCGTCTGGGGTAACATAGTTTGAGAGCATAGAGATAGAGGAGGCACTTGAAAAGTGAAGCCATTAATCATGCGTTTTTCAAAGACAGGGCCTGGAAACCAGCACAGGACCAGCACAAAGCCACTGGATAAGTTCCAGTTTCCCGAGCAGAGTGCGCAGAGATCGGAAAGGCGTTACGTATCTATAGTTGAGATACAAGCGACGGATAGACCGCGTCCAAGCGATGCGCTTAAGGAACGCGATGCCGCGAAAGCCGTTTGCTCACCTCGATTCCAAAACAGCCTCGATCGACGTAATCTCCCAAGAACAAGTAGTTATTCTCGTCGAAGGTGCCGCCGATTTCAAATACTTTCATGAGGTCATACTGTAGGACGTCATCGAAGGTTAGGGTAGAGGAGAAGACTAGGACATACATACTGCCCGTGTATGTCTCCGCAGACTGTGGGATGGGGTGGTCGCGTGAGGCGCAGACAGAACATGAAGTAGACGGAGCACGGACCTATAACGGGGCCTGGCACTTGGAGCATGTTCGGTTCTCGACTCATGAGATCCGTAGTTTGGTCCAGGATGAACATGGCTTGCTCGTGGGATAGGCGACCTTCGCGAAAGAAGTGTTGCCTCAGGTACTCGACATTGGGGCGATCGCGACCGGTATGCGCATCGCGCACGTAGAAGTCGTCATCTGGTGGGATGTGCGCGGCCGGCGCAGGGACCTGTATAGCTCGTGAGGGTGAGATGGGTGCACAGTGAGTGCAAAGAGTGCAGAAAGACGTACGCCGGGCGCCTGGCGGTCCTGTAAGTTCCTGGTCGGAGACGGAGGACGATGATTGGGGATGACTACTGACTGTTTGGCCTGGATGTGGTGGAAAGCGTTTGAGTAGTACCCGTCGTCTCCCGGCATGCGTGCCATGGCTGGCCGGTGTGCGAGGGGGTTCGAGGAGAGGCGGGGACGAGGAGATGGGGGCGAGAGTGGAGAGCAACCGCAAGCGCGCTTGCCTCTCAGCGATCCGAGTCTTCTCTCCCACGTGAGCACTAGCCGCCCATTGCCTCCGTGTCGGTCGGGGGCCGCCCACGCCTCTCTCTCCGTCCCCCTCCATCTCGCCCCGCCCATCCGGTCTGGTGCTCGGACAGTTGACCCAAGCTGCGGCCCACAATACGAAGCATCCCGTAAAATGACTATACTCCAGAGTCCAGATATCCGTGTAGGTCGCGACTCACTCCATACTCCCCGGCTCGACTCGCACAGCAGAGCTCTCGGCCCACTCGAAGGTGTGTCAAGAAATCCGACCCACATCGCTTACTGTTGCTCTGGACTGCTCCGATCATCACCAGTACTCAGGTATTACCGCTGCTCATGACGCTGTAACTGTGGTAATACGATACGGTGAGCTCAATGTAAGTACCAGAACCGAATAATCGCTTAACTTAGCTCACAATGAGTGCAAGACTGCTATTGTCCAGCTGACGCACGCGTATTCGCGCATCTGGGATCGTGATGATGATTCGAACATCAACTGTGGAGGTGCGAAGACGAGTGCGAGCTCACACGTCAAGCAGAGTGCAGAGACAAGTAGCACAAGCGGCGCGACGGCGATGGACGAAGCATGCGCCGTCTAATATATCCTTTTGAAGTTATCTGTAACGCCTTCGGTGATCCTGTTATACGCCATGACCGGGGTCTAGATGGCACGATCCTAGGACAGCTATCCTCGTCACTGGGCCCAGATGGACCACTGCCTCGCTTGGTGGCTTCTACGCAACGCAGCTTGTGTCTCCGCATGTTCCTATCTGGAGTGACTTCTCGTCCTGCTGCTTCGCTCCCGACTCTGATAGAACGTATGGTGTCTTTGGCTTCCAAAGTCAGTGCTTGCACTCCGGTGATCGCTCTACCGGACGCTTATAATGCTCGAACGACCGCCAGTAACCACCAGCGACTTCCTCCCGCAGATCAGCCTTCTGATACACAACCCAGAACGCGATGTACCCCTTCTACCCAACCCCGTTCTTGGTCGGCTTCGTGCTGACGGCCGAAGCGCTGGCACTCCCACTTGCTTCTCCTGCTCTCGAAGAAGTTTACTCTGCGACTATGCCCCTGTCATCCATACCCACTTCGTCTGCCAGTACGAAGGAGATGCCCGACGATCCAGAGTACGTTATTCTGATAACGTCACCAGACAACGCTGACATTGTGAGCCGCCCCTTGCAGATCCGACACCATGTCATTTGACTTGCGTGGCATGCCTCTCGTCGCCAGTCCCGAGGACGCCGAAATGTCCGAACGGGCCTCAAGGCATCTTCCGAATCCTAGTACGATCCCTCTCCTCGGCCGTGGTGACGGTAAGCTCTCAATCAACCTAGCCGTCGATCCCACCTGATGACAGAATCCGCTGTCTAAGAAGATCCCTCCGCGAATTTGAGCAACGCGAGCACCGACTCGTGCCAAATCGCCGTGGGCCTTTTGCGAGAAGACTTCGCGGGACACGGACTACCACTCACAAGCCTGGTCATCGAATCGTCCACCTTACTACTGCTCGCCGGATATGTGCTCTACTTTCTATGTCGCACCAAGCTCCGGCGCCGGCCAATGGTCTATCTTTCCGCCGCTAATGTGAGCAACCTCCCTCTCTTCTCCTCACTCTCTCCGTCATCACACACGAGCGAGTCACTAACGCACCCCTCAGACTCCCGTTTCTTTCACCTTCCCGCACCGGGAATCCATCTTCAAGCACACGCCGCCCACCGCAGCTCAACCCAGCATCGCGTCGCTCTCGAAGATCGACGAGGACTCCCTCCCGCCCACGCCCACCCAGTCCGCGCCCGGGTTCTACTCGCACCTGGCCGCGCTGTCTCCGCTGCGCGGACCGCCCAGCAGCCCCGCCCGCGCTGTGTCGCGCGCTGCGTCCTTCTGCACGCGCTCGGGATCAAGCTCTACTGCCTGCGAAGGCGGCAGCCTCGAGAAGAAGTCGAGCTTTCTTTCGCTGAAGGGTTGAGCTTACCCCGACTCGGCCGAGCAACTTCCAAATCATGCGTTTGCAAGATTTGACTGATCCATAACATTCATTTCGCATCACTTGCCCAAGCCCTCATATCTTCAAGGTCTATATCACTCAAACACGTACCGACCGTCCACTCATTTATTCTCACCGCTCTACTTACTGTACATATCACATTGTCCATACCTTTCGTCTAGTAGTCCGATTGTCTCGATGGTAGTACTTAGTACCTGTCTGCCCGTCGACCGTTGCGTGGCCATCGTTTCAACGAACCTATAGCATAGCCAGATTCGTTGTATACATATCTCGTTGATTCTCATCGAAAGCGTGTTGAATCTCGCTCGCCATCGCATCCAGATGTAAGACGTGAATGAATAGAAAGTATTGACATAAGGTGCATAATTCGTGCAGACGTACACTATCATAACGGCCAGTAAGGCCAAAGTCCAAACGAGCTAGAACATACGGCATAGGTAGTGAGAATCAAAAGTCCAGTGTTCCTGAAAAGATGACCCATGAGGAGGAGGCAGAGATGCGAGCTGCTGGACGACCTTTTGATGCTTGAAGTGAACTACATCCTGCAGTTCTCGACGTGGCGCCACAGCATGTCCGATCGGGCCACATGCCGGCCACACCCCTTCGGGCACCACGCGCCGCGCAGTGGGATGTGCTTCGTCTCGACGTGTCGCTGCAGCCCGATGAACTGCAGTTCGCAGTCGCAGTCGCCCCAGCGGCACACGACCCGGTCGAACCACTGCGCGGTCTTCGTCTTCGAGCTCCGGACCAGCTCCACCTCCACGGGGACCTGCTCGTCGGTTTCCTCCACCTTCGTGAGCTTCGCCATGTGCTCCTCGAGCGCATCCAGAATAGCAGGATCAAGCTCCGCGTCCTCCAGAGCATCGTCCTGGCGATCCATATCCAGTATCTCGCCCTCCTCCAGCTCGGGGGCATCATAGTCCTCGTCGATCTCTCTCTTGAGCGGAATCTCCACCTTTGCCATGCCCTTCCTTCCCCCATTCCCCTTATACGTCTTCACCTTCACCCCGACGCGCACCGGGCGCCCGCTGTTGTGTTCCTCCTTGATGTGGTCCCAGATGAAGCGGGCGTCCTTGACGTTTGTTCCGCACCCATCCCAGTAGCAGATGCGGGACCCAACGGGCGGCGGGGCCGGGCGCTGCCCGCGTTTCTTGTGCGGGGTCGTCTTCGCCCACGGGGACTCGTGCGCGGGGCGCGAGGGCGCGGCTTTCTTCGGAGGGGGCAGAGGTGCGGCTTTGGTCGCGGGCTTGGTCTTGGGACGCGGCTTGCGCATGTGCATCTGGGTGAACGGGTTCCGAGGGTCGAACGGGCGCTGGTGCTGGATCTGGGGCTTTGACAGGTCTTTGGGCGTGGGCGGGGTGGTAGGCAGGGGCGTGGTCCGGGAAGAAGGCAGAGGCAGAGGCGTAGATGGTGTCTCGACAGTCGGGATGCTCGCCTTCCGTCCATCATAGATGGGCGGCATGGAGGTGTCCCTCTTCGAAGCGGCGACCTTGGCGGGTGTCATTTGCAACTCGAGTGCGTGAAGAAGCTTGAGCGGCACCTCGGGAGACGAGGGTATCTCTGGTGCGGGCTCCTCGTCCTCCGATTCCGGCTCGAAGCTGGATTCACTGTGGCCACAAAGGATGATTAGACGCTAGCCACCGCGTGTGGCTATACGACACTCACCGATCACAAGTTGCCTGTTTCTTTTTCGTCGACTCGGGCTGCATAAGACGGGCCTTCGGGGGGCTAGGATAGCACGCGCCTGTAGCGATGGTGGGCGTTTGAACGTCGGTAGAGGTCGGCAGAGCAGTCATGTTGAGTGAAGTAGCGAGTAAGTTGCGCGCAGCGGTGGCGATGAAATATCGAGTTTCAGTGGCGTGGTTGTGCAGGATACTTCGAGGTTTGTTAGAAGCAAAGATGCTTTGTAACTGTGAAGAGGTGAGGTTTATATACTCCCGCATGGATAATGGACACGTTGATCGTGGCTTAGCCAGCCTGGCGTGGCTTAGACCTCAGGAGCCCACGCCCTGGCAGCGCAGTCCAAGCGCTTTGCCAATGAGCCACTGAGACTTGTTCCGCAGGGCTAATGCGGGGCGGGGATAAAGGCGCACTATTGAGCTCATGGCCAGCCCATGCGCGCCAGCGTCTTGTCTCATTGTGCTGCCGATGTTCGCTGGGAGCTTTGCTTGCGGGGAGCCATTTGGCTAAGACATTCATGCACGGCCGCGTACCCACCCCGGGCGGGGCTTGGACAGATGATGGCGGTTGGGGTTGCTGGCCAAGAACAAAGACCCGGACGGGCTGTAGAACATGTCGATTTAAGTGTGGTATGTTACCTTGTACAAAGCATAAAATAACAAACAGGAAAGCATCATACCGAGTATACAGACGAGAAACACAGACGAGAACAAACAGCGAGGACCAGCGCTGGAAAACCTACACTGAAAGCAGAACTGACGGGCGGTCAGAATCATCACCTAGTTGGAGTTCAATCAAGAGCACTCACCTTTAACGATACGCCAGAACATCGGCATGCTCCTCAGCTTGATGCTCCTTGAGCTCGTCCCGTCCATCGAAAAATTCATCGCACATGTCGCAGAAAGGGAGGTCTTTCACGAAATGGCTCTTCCGCAAGTGTGCCTCCATCAACGCGTGCGTGTTCTCGCGTATTTCGCACCCCGGCCATTTGCATTTCCACCACCCGCCGTTCTTGACACCCTGGCGCGTCAAATGATGTACATATTCATTCATATGACCTTGCCACAGCACCCGCGGGATGACCTGGTGGCAGCCGTCCCAATGGCACCGCACGTTGTGCGGGTCTTCAACATCGAGCTCGCCTAGGTGGATAGCGAACGTCTTGACAGTTGTGGGCTTGCTGGAAGCTGCTCGCGGCCGCTTGGCGCATGCCTTGACGGGCGAGGGTGGCCTCTGTGCCGGAGTAGGCGCGGGGGGAGCGACGGCTGGGGGATGCCGGATGGGCTCAAACGAGGCCTCCGTGTTCTCGTTCGCTGCGATAGCCTTCCCCTTCGCGCGCTTCTTGCGGGGAAGATCTTCTTGAAGATCGTCGTCGTAGGACGGCGTGCTGGGCGCCACACCCAGGATATCTGCGGTCTTGACCCCAATGCTGCCCGGGAGTAAATACTCTGGACACGGCCCAGAGAAACGATGCAACGCACGAGCCATGCCATGGAATCGACAACGTCCACTGGTTGGTAATGTCTTGCAGCTGCCTCTCATGATCGGCGAATTTTCTATACCCAACCGGGACAGTCAGATAATATGTCTCACAGCCGACATACAAACGACGTACCTCATGTAGTCATAATCCAGAGACGTCCGCGAGGGGCCTTCGGAGGTACCCGTCCAGGTACTGTGGGGCCGGTGCCACAAGGCAGCGAAGGTAAGTGATCGACGAGACAGTATAATGGCAAGACATACCTGCTCGGAAGGGTGGGCCCGAGAGACGAGCGCTCCACAGGGTATTCGAAAGTAAACGAACCAAAGTTCATAGCGATGGATGGACGCGGAGGGTTGAGATGACTTGAAGGAGGAGGAAATGGCAAGGACCACAGGGGGAGGGAAGTGAACGTTGACAGACGAGTACGCTGCAATAAATACGCCTCGCGCTTGGACAGACATCCCACGGTACGAAGCCGTGTGCAAAGAGTTGAAAGAACCGAAAGCGCCCAGGGCGGGGGGCCCGCCCCAGGACAATGCCGTCGCGAAGGTACGGTTGATGCGTTCCCAAAAACGGACCGCCAGGGCGGGCTCGCAACGTTGCCCCATTGACGAATGGATATCGGAGTTGGACAACGGGTCCCTTTGTACATCCAGCTGCGGATGCGTGACCTGGTCGGCGGAACTTGCGAGGGGGATTCTTGCCGGGCGGTGCACGGTCATGGTGTGGCTCTCTTCCCTACGCCTCTTAACGCATGAGCGAAGCTGAAGGGATAGGCGCAGAGGAACTGGCACTCTCCTGCCCCAGAAGATACAGCAGTCACTGAAGAGGTCCAGTGCGGAGGGTCGGAGCCATGCGAGCTCGTTTGATCGGTCAAGTTGCGATGAGGCTCCGTGGTGCGGAGATCAAGGTGACGGAACGCATGATCCAATGTGAGACGGTCTTTTTTGCCGCTCGTAGCGAACAATAGCGGCCCTGGGTGGATAGGGGCGCCGCGGGTGCAAACCCTCGTAGTCTGGGGCAAAGGATGCGTGAGTGGGCGTTTCGATAATTTCAAGGTCTGCGACGGAAGCCTACTCATCGCTCACGGCGTGAAACTCTGGCTGGATTGGCCGCGGCAGCGCATATTACGAGCTATCCAGAGTGACGAGTTCGGGCCAGCAGGAACATTGGGCCGACATCGCGAACGTCGGGGCCAAGTGCACCAACTCTCACCAACTCCGCAATCCAAACAACAATATTTGCCACGTGGCCGTTTATGTGTAGGCGCTTATCACCTTCCGCTGGTTCACCGTACCGCCACCACCAGCCGTAGCGTCAAGTTCCCGTTCCAGAAGATTCATTCACATGCTGTCGCCTAAGAGTACGTCCCTAATGCCTGCGTTCCGACATATTCGAGAGCAGATTCACCCTCCTAGGCTTTCACATAGGTAAATATTCGGTTTAGATTAACGACAACTGCCATAAACACCGTGATGCTACAGAGGATCTCGAAAACATAAGAACGTAACAGCATAGACATAGAGGCACCGCAGAAAAGTATGTACGCGAGATGATGATACACGAGGACGACGACGACCCGCGTCGAAATACACCCAACCAAGAACCCAATCCAACCGCCCGTCAGCCATCCAAGTCCCGCCGCTTCCCCTTCGCCGCCCCACACGACTTCTTCTCCACATGCCGGTTCCGCGAATCGCTCCTCGAGAACGCGTCCCCGCACGACTCACACACATGCACCCGCTTCAAGAAGTGCTTCGTCTTCAGGTGCCGCACCATGCTCGCATGGCTCCCCGTGTCCGAGCGGCACCCCGTAAATTGGCAGTGCCACCGCCCTGCGTGCCCGGGGCCTTGGGTGCGCAACCGGTGCGCACTGTCCATATGCGCCTGCCAGTGGACGCGCTCGATGAGCTCCTTGCAGCCGTTCCAGCGGCACCGCACGTGGCGCAGGCCGGGAATGGCGCGGTCGTCCGAGGGGGCGGTGTGCGCGGCGGGGGTGTAGGTAGAGTCGGCGTCCTCGGACTCGGGAGCGGAGCGAGGCCGCTTGCCGCGCGACTTTTGCGACGCGGGTAGTTGTGAGGTTGAGGCGGACGAAGGGGTGGGGGGAGCGACGTAGTAGTCGACGGGCGGGAATGCGTCGTCGATGTAGTCCTCGTCTTCCCAAACCTTTGTCTTCCTGCGCTTCGGGGCTGGGGGGTGGTTTTCGATATCGTCCTCAGGCAGCGGCACGCTGGGCGGCGCGAGGCCGAAGATATCCTTGGGGTTTACCCCAATCCTGTTGAATTCGCATGAGCGTTTCGTGGTAGCCACAATATCACGGGCGAGGACGTACGAGTTCGACCATGGAATCGGGAGGTTCCACTGGCTCTCTATTTCGCGCAAATAGTGTTGATTATGTGCGACCTTCCTATACGCGATTGAGAACGGTCAAATTTATATCGCATATATGGATGCAAAGACGACTTACTTCGTCAACACCTCGTCGCACGGCGGGTTGACATGTTCGTCTACCCCTAACTGTGGCCAGCTGCGAGGAAAATATGGTCAAGGTAAATTATCGGCGACGCTGGAACAAAGGGGAAACTCACCCATAAGGTGCGGTCGTACTAGGGCCAGCGTGGCTACCGTCGAAGGGGAATTCGAACGTAAAGGTCGGCGAGTAGAAGGTGTTCATGTCGACAGAGGGGGGGGAGAGCAAACGTAGGTGATAAGATGCGGATGTATGTAAATACGCTGAGCGAGTGCGGAGTGTGAGCGATGACAAGCGGGCACATCCAGATATATAGCCCACGCGTTTGAGCTCTGAGCGCACAATGCGGCGAAGGCTGCCTACGTGAAACGCGACGTGCCATGCCCAAAGACCTCAAAGCCCCGAACGCACTTAGACTCGCGGCTATTGTCCCCCGTCCGCTATGGCTGATGCGTCGCGCGAGGACAAAGCTACGGTCGGCTAGCCGCACGTCCAGCACCTTCCGCGGAGTGCGCCTGCCCAATACCCTCAACCCTCCGGCGCGGCGTCTGGGCTGGATATCTCGCCCCCCATCAACCGAAGCTTGAAGCTCGTGGGGGGCATGGCGTACCGTTTGTCAACACAATCCGGGATCCAGACAATGAGCGCCTTTGTGAGCCTCGGGGGAAGGGCAGCGGTCCCAGGTGCGTAGCGTTGGAACCGATCGAGCATGCTTGCCGAGCGACATACCGGGGCGGTGGCCTTGCGTGGCTATGTTTAGCCACTGCAGGGCCAAAACGACGGACAGCGTTTCCCCGCAGCCAGAGGGTACCGGCACACGGGCCTCGAGCTTGAAGACAAAGGAGCCTTTGTCGTAGCCGAGCCCCGAAGCCAATATACCTGAGGAATGTGTCTAGGCTGATGCAATAAGCAGGCTTGCGGTGGAAAACCTATGCTTCCAAATCTCCGACGACATGTGCCGACGGAGCGACTTAGGAGTTTCTCAACGCGAGTTTCGCTCGCGTGTTTGCCTGTGCCGACGGACGAGTTATCCTGGGCTGGTACCAGCATACATACCACCGAGGTGCTGTATATCGCGTAAGTATACACTCGTTTGTGAGAGGCAGGAAGACTCACCGTGTGCTGTGGCCAGACAGATATGCCAACGTCAAGTATGAAACTTGAACTTCTTGTGGCACCTGGCCGATGCTCGCAGCCACAACGCCACGGCTCATGGCCCCGTGCTATAACACGAGCACTTATGTGGAGACACCAGTGCTTCAGATACCGTAGATTCAAAGCTGCGAGGGTCAGAGCAGATGGACATTGATAACGTCAAAAACACAGTCAATCGTCGACTAAGTCACGGAATAAGATATTCGCCACGTGGCGGCGTTTGCCATCTGAGCGCTCCTCTGGCGCTTAACGGACTACGTACTGCCACCATCTGTGCTCTTGCTTGCTTCACTCAGCGGTCCTTTGCCGTGCTGCTTGCCGGAAATATAACCTTACTAGCTCCCTCGCAAAAGGTCACCTGCGAGAAACGTAAGGGACGACACACCTCGCTAGAATCGGCAACCGTCATCCCAAACGCCGCCATAACTTGTGCCGCGGCCTTTGAACGTACTACTCGGTTACACGGCCGCGGGGTTCACACACTCTACGCTTAACGTGGCCGTTCTCGTAAAGCGCGAAGGTGGTCGCGGTTAAGCTTGTGTACCCCGAAGAGGATGAGTTAGTGTATTATCAAGCCCTATTCAAGTTGTGAGCACCTCTAATCAGTGCCTCTTGGGTAGACTTAAGAACCTGTGCTTCGAACGTGCACACACTCGCGTTTTCATACGCGGTAAAGCAGTCGCGGCCGCTGCTCTATACCTTCTAAAGCCAAAATGTGCCATGTACGGGCGGTCTTCACTCAATGAGAGTCTCGATATCCAGGTCGAGTCCACCGCCAGTACACGGCTCCTCTCAACGATGAATCGATGACGCGTTGACGACCTCAACATACGCATATCCAATAACACCCTCCGCTCTCCCGGAACTTCAGGAAGCAATCCAGCAAGCCCCTGCACGCCGCATCTCACACCCGCATACCCAATCTCACCCATATACCTTCTCCCAGCATCCAGATGAACCCAGATGCAGCCCAAATCTCCCGCCCGCCCGCCACATCTCGCCCCCCGCCCCGGCCGGCGGCGCTCGCCCTCCCCTCCGCCTTCGAAATCGCCCGTTTCACACCCCACGCGTACGATAGCCGCCGGCCGACGCACGACGACGCTTCGCGGACGCGGATCCCGCGCGCCGCCACCTGATAGAGTGTGGCAGGTATATCTCTGGCGGGCATCGCGCGACGCCGCGCCGGGTTGCGCTTGTGGCTTCTTCGTGCCCGACTGGGCGTTCATGTTTTCGTCGTGGTGGCTGGGTCGTCGGACGGAGAAGAGGACTTCTACCAAAGCTTTGCTTCCCAACACCGCGCCTCGCGCTCTATACAGGTCCTCTCGCGGCCTGCTATGTACACGCATATGTACACCAGTACACGAACCCCGTCTCTCAACCAAAAATCCGAGTCCAGGGGCCCACTCCACGCACCGCCACAACCACCGCAATACATACACCCATCCCGCTCGCCGGACGCTAAAACACCCACGGGACGAGCCGCCACCTCACGCGCGCCGCCCACTCCTCCCACTGCGCGCCAAACACGCGATGCAGCTCCGCGTCCTCCGTGCCCACGCGCCGATTCGTGCTCCGCAGCGCATACACCACCTTCACCCCCCAGAACGCGACGAACACCCACGCCAGCCCTACACCCACCAGCCCGCCCATTCCTCCCCCCGTCCCTGCCTCCCCTCCTCTCACTGAATGCCAGAGTGCACGTAGGCTCGGATCGAGCCACGCCTCGCGCAGCCACGCGCTCGGGCTCAACATAACCGCGGACGCGCCCAGGAGCACCGCGTACACGCCCGCATAGCTCGGGTGGCGCACGCACGCGTACGGGCCGTCCGTCACGAGCGTGTGCGTCGGGGAGATCGTGAGCTCGAACGTGAAGAGCGTGCCGAGCGCGCGGAAGCACGCGAGCCGCAGCACCGCGCCGCCCACCGCCATTGCCGCGCCCAGGAGGAGGAACGCGTGCGGGGTCGTGAGCGCTGCTGATAGAGATACAGGGGATGAGGGCGGCGGCAGCGAGGATATTGATGAGGGGGGTTGTGAGGGGGGGAGGAAGGCGGAGGGGAGGAGGACGGACGCGAGGGGGCGCGTGAGGGGGTTCGGCGCGGCGAGGTGCAGCGTCGCGAGCGCGTCGCACAGGACGATCGCCCAGGTCAGCATCTGTCATGCATAGCAGCGTGTCAGCTCTCTCCCATTACACATGCCCCAGACAAAGTTAGCGACCGCACCCTTGCGCGGGGCCGTGCGCGGGGAACGCGGGACAAGAACAGAAGCGAAGAAGAGAAGGCAGGGGGGGTGGGAAGCCCGCGTGTGCGCGAGCCCAGAAAGGGGCTGCGGGAAGGAGAGAGCGAGACGCGCGACGAACCTTGCTGCAGAACGTGACATGGCGGATCGCGCGCTCGAACAGGGTGCGGTTGTCGATGCACGTTTTGGGCGCGGGCGGCGGGTTCGGGGGCGACAGCGCGCGGTGCACCGCGTACCCCGTCGCGAGCAGCGCGGCGATCTTGAGCAGCGGCAGGAGCAGCGCGGGGTGGTCCGTGGTCGTTGTCGCGAGCATGGTAGAGGCGAGAGGGATGGATATAGCAGCAGCAGCGCGTCGCCGCAGCTGATGTTCTGTGCCTGAGTTATTTTGCGAGGCGTGACGCGAGGCCGTAAAGTGTCGTTCGTCAGAGGAGCACGCGCGGCCGGGGGCGACGGTGGTGCAGGGGCTACGGCTCGCTGGGTGCGTGGATGCGGAGGGGGAAGAGAGACCGGGCGTGGCTCAGGACGGCTTGGTCAGGGGAGGGGAGAAATAGGCTCTGTGTGGGAGGGAAGGCCGTCCGCGATAGAGCGTGGTTTATATGGGCCGGGGGAAGCAGCATGCGTCCTTCTCGACGCGAACGCGCCTCTGCGTCTGCGCGGGCTGATTGGCCCCGCGGCCAATCGAACGCATCCGTTCAATTAACCCCCCTCCCCTTCTTCGCACTCTGCGCGTCGCGTGGCACATCGTGATATCCATATCCACGCCCATGTCCATATCCATATGCGGCGGCAGGCGCGGTGATTGGCAGCGGCGGCGCCGGCGGCGAAGGTGACTGCAAGGAGCGCGAAGCGCCGCGGGCGGGCTTCGACGGGCAGACGTATACGTACGCGTGCCGGGCCTGCTCCTGCTCGGATGCGCGGCCGCCCCAGGACAGGCAGCTCGCAGCCTGAACCGGGCTCGGCGCAGATGGCGCGGCGGATGCCTCCGCGTCTTTCCTTCTTCGACGTCCGCCGTCGCGAGGACGAGGGGAGAACACGCGGTGCCCGAGGAACCACAGAACGGCGAAGGCGTCGCTGCAGACACCGGCTACGCAAACTACTGATGGCACACTGAAGAGTGAGAGCGGGCGAGGGGCCGGTAGAGAGGCCGACGTCAGGACGCGTGCAGCCCTGCACGGCACGCTGCGCCTTCTCTCCCACCCAGCGACCTTGGCGTCGCACGGCTGTCTGCGCACGCACGCGATGGAATTCGAATCAATGCAGGCCTCTGATGCCTCTGAGGAGGAGGACACTGCGATTAGACGCGTCCCCGCCCAGATCCCATGGAGATCGCCCTCGGACGCCACAACGGACGCGCGATCGATCACCCTGCTTGTCTTCCTGCCTCGCCCCTCGCCTGTCCATATCTGGATACGCCCTTCCCTCACGGCTAGCCGCGCATCGTCCGTCGAGGCCCGTCGCGCTGCAGGTCCTCCGCTATCGACGTCCTTCACTCGCTCGTTCGCTGCTCGCAAAGCGGACGATCTCGCGCATCGCAAGCGAGAGACGTCTACACCCACTGCTCCTGATCTTCGCACATTCCGCGCCGAGCCGCCCGCCCGGTCTCTTTCCGTCGGCTAACGCTCCCCCTTCAATATTCAATTGCCCGCGCCCGAGGCCGCAGCTCGCCCGACTTACCTGTCCCGGCGCGCCCGTCCCGCGACCCTATTACCCTACCCTCCCATTCAGCTCCCTGCGCTTCCACGTCCAGGCATAACCTCCCACACACCCAGGCAGACTGCTCCCGTCGGCGAATTAGAGCTCTTCGCACACGTCGCCGCCCGCCCGTCCATCCATCCATCTGTCCACGGAGTGCCCCTCGGCGCGCCCGTGTGAGCGAACAGCACCCCGGCAATTTTCTCGCCTCGGGCGCAGTGGCGTGTCCCCGCCGGCCTCTTCTCGCTCTTCGCCTGCCAGGGCCCATCTCCGTCACCGTCACCATCTCTGCGTTCTGTTCTTGTTCATCTTGTTCATCACATCACCGTCCGCACGCGCGTCGGCCACTTGCTGTTCGCCCTTGAGCCATTGGACTGGAGCCAATGATAGTTACCGGTATGTCGCCGGCAACACAAACCATACTGCACCGCTCGCCGCCCACAATCACACATCATGGGGTCGCCTGCAGGGCCCGCGGGGTAATGAAGTCCGGTTGTTAGCCGCGAGCGTATCAAAAACACGGATACCCGCGACCTCGCCTCGCCTCGATCCGGCCATCAAGCAGAGTGCACAGGTTTGCGGACAAGCAGCAAATTGAAACCCGCGCGATGCACGCCGCAAACCCGCGGCCAGGAGACGACATTGACATGAGCCGCAGACGCGGACGCGCACAACGTACGCAACCTCATATACAGACGCGGACTGCCGAAATGCATAACGCCAGTGACAGACGGCCTCCGCGTGCAAGTAGGCCTTTGGGCGGGCTTCGCGCGTCCAGCCGACCCGGCACCCCAACCCTCCTCACCTCTCCCAAACATCTATCCGGAAACGCAACGCCCGCTCGCTCCTGATAATCACTGCTGGCCCCTGGAGTCCCCGGAGGCCGAGGCGCACCATTAGAGCACGCTTCGCACGGGGCCAATATCGCGATAGAGCACCCTTCGCCTTCGCCTTCCCCTGCGCCTTCCCCAACTGCGCCTTCGCCTTCCCTGCGGTCCGACACGTAACGGCGCGCCCGGGTCCACAGCGCCCCGCGGAAGCACGACAGCCTCCCAGAGCTGTTCATTGCGCGGTTTAGAGCTCGCGCGTCATTAACCGCGTTCCCACCCAGCCGCGCCCCAGCGTCGAAGGGTGCCGCGCACCGTGTAAGGCGTCCTGCCATTCCGGCGCAGGAAGGGTTCCTTTCTGCCTTCCACCGGGGAGCTCCCCGAGCGAGACGTTACGACGCTTACAGCAGCGGAGCATGTGCTGCGCGTACGCGGCGCAGCACCTCCCATCCCGGACGCCCCGTCCACATGGCAGCCGCGACGCTGACACTGACAGCGGACAAAGTGGCGAGGACCGCCGGGGAATGGATGCAGGGCCCGCGCGCGGCGGGAAAGCAGCGCGCGGAAGGTTTGCTCGCCTGCCAGCTGGGTCTGATGTGGAATATCAGACGGAGATGCTGCCGTACAAGTCGGGCAAGCCCGATGGTCGTGTTACTAGCTGTTCGGGGCGTTCCGAGGGAGAGGGGGTGCTGCGGCCCTCGCCAGTGACAGGTGCAGCATAGATGAGGGTAGTACACTCCTCTGAAGTGGATGAGACGATTCGCCTGGCCCGCGCCCGAGCTGCAAGACGTGAAGAAGACTGTTTTGCTTCCTGCAGGCCTCCCCTGATACCTCATACCGCACCGTTTCTGACGCATTCTTCATGCGCCCGAAGTACGTGAAGCTTGAAGTGCGAGATCGACCCCGGGTCCGCCAGTAGCGAAAATGGTCCACGTTAACGTGGACTGCGGTACCCGCGGCGCCGGGATTTGGTCGAGCGCCAACCACAGGAATTTGAGTCCAGCGTCCGCCACTGCACGCGTGTCTGAACGTGAATTCGATATGCTCCACCCCTACTGCGTCCCGGCGAGAGAATCAGGGCGCGGGCACCCGGCAAAAAACTGGAAGATCTAGTAGGGAAGACGCAGGGAGCCACATCCCCACCTTCAGTGCAAGACCCAATAAGGGTTGCTGACCTCGGCGGCCCTTAAGGTTGACCAGTTGACCTCAGTACCACGCTTCAGCGCCATCGCACGTCGAAGCCGCGGAGTGTCGCCGTCGCGCTCTACCCTCGCTCGACACAACCCGGCCTCCTCGCCGCCGGGCCACGACCCGCGACGCACCCCGCGAAGCAGCCGCCACCGCCGACCACGAGATCGCACCGCGGCGGCGCACGCGCATGATCTCGCACGTCATTCAGCCTCTGCACATCCAGATGACGAAGTGAAGACTCGGGACGGAGATTACACCTGCACATCGCAGCGGCGATGCCGCGAAGCCTGCAACCTAGAGCCATGGGGCAGGAAGCTTCAGGCGTCGCACCCGCTGGGACAGGCGGAATGGCACGATGTGGCAGCGTACGAGGCGGCCCGAGCCTAAGTGACACCCCGCGCGCCGCTGTGCGTCATGCACACGGCGATGCACGCACGACTCGAATATCCCTCGTAGCGGACATCGACGTGCGACGCTCATCTCCGCGTGTGCCTCGTCCGCTCTCCGTCCCGAACCTGCGTCAGATTGACAACGCTCAGATACCCTTGGCCGAAGAGACTGGCGAAGCGCACAGCGCTCCGCTGGATGCACGCCACGCCGAAAGCGGGAGAGGATGATCGGCGGGCGGCGCCACACGCCACGAAGGCGCCACAGTGGGTGGCAGGCCCCGAGCGCGGGCGTTGTGGCGCATCAGGAAGCGCGCTGAAACGGGGAAGACACCGCACTCCACAACGAACGTCCGGGTACTGGGCTCGGGTCCCTGTGCGAGCGGATCAGGGCGCACTCCAGCTGCGCAGGCTTGGGTGCACGTCTATCGGTCCAGAGACGTGCGCTGCAGTGTCTGCCTCACTGCAGCGAGACCACGACGACTAGCAAGAGAGGTGATGTGTATATACCCCTCATGTATGCAAGTTGGGCTTACTTAGGTCATATGCAAATGCTCGTCATAATTAACGATTCCCCATTCCGGACAAATCGCCAATCTATCTCCCAATTAATCGTTCTCGAGGTAACGTAACTCCCCAACGGCCCAGCAGCATATGCGTACTCATTGAACGTTGACTACGCCCAGTGAGCACACGCGCATACCACTTGCGCGACCCGGTGTTCAAAGCACCGTACACGCGCCACAGCGCCATTGCATCACCAGCCCATCTCCGCCGGTCTTTGGCCTGCACTCCTTCTCCAGCAGCATCTCTCCGCGAAGCCACTCTCGCAGCCCCACCGCGGCCGTCCGCGCTCTTAACGGGAGCCCGTCCCACGTCCCTTCGCCAGCCTCTGCTTCCGCTTCCGGGCCAGAACGCATCTCCCGGCATCCTCGCAGCCAGCCCCAGTCCCAAAACGCCCCCGGGAACGCCACGAAGGGCACGGAAGAGGGGAAGAGGGGGTGCCACGAAGCCCGCGAACGCGCGGGTCGGGCGACAGACCGGCCCGAGCGCACGGGCTTCGCACGTCGAGGAATGGGCGCACGGTGACGAAGTCAATCAAGCGCGCCCCTAATGCGGGGCGAGAAGCGCAGGCTCAGCTCGCAGCGGGCCAAATAGCCACTGAGCTTGTTTTGTTTTCCCTCGTGTAAAGCCTCCGCGCGGCCGGTGATAGCGCATAGCGTAATGTGCACTGCAAGGACAGGACCCTTGGGCAGATCTGCACTAGCACGTCACGGCGTAGGAGCAACGCCTCTCCGCACGCGCTCCACGCCTCCGTTGTGGACGCTAACGCGTGCGGAGGGCGAGGGACGCAGACTGGACGCGCGGAACGCATGTGTCGCGCAGCCGACGTGCCGCAGGGCTCCCGTTCTCAGGGCCTGGGCCTGTGCGGGGGGAGACCGCGGCACCGCGCGGCCATACGAGGACATCCGCACATCCCGTGGCTGGGCCGTCTCAATGGGAGAAGGGAAGGTGCGCTGGCGCACTCACCTGTGCTTCGCGCTTCGCATGCAGACGCATATAGCGCTCCTTGGCCTCGTCCCCGGAGGCGTTTCATAGCTCGTCGCGTGAGAGGCGCAAGAGCGAACTCTGTGTCGGGGCGGGCAGCAGATGACCTGTGCGCGGACACGCGTGTCGTCAGGGGTGGCAGCGAGCTTGGAGAGGGGGCGATTGGGTTAGGAAGCAGATTGCGCCCGGGGATGCGTGCCTGATAGGGGTGATAGAGCTGAGGTCGCAGCGCTGTCTGCGACGTCGATGTCATCGAAGAAGCCCCAGTGCGGTTCAGGCTTCGCGCATATGAAACGCCGGGGCGTGCACCGACGCTAGAAGAACTGTAACTATAGCTTGTATTGAACACGCGGGGGGCGAGGCGTACCAACGTGCTCGGTGTTCAACGTTTGGAACGCGTCCATGGCGTGGACAGCAGTACTGGGAAGCGAAGTGAGATCGAGGCCGCGATAAATGAGGTAGCCGAGATTTTCGGACACGATGCTCAGGAGACCGTCTGCGAGATTGTGTACCTGCCTCAGTGATCTGACCGAGGACAGCAGGGAGACCATGCACGACGGGAGGCTGCCGTTGGAACGATCTGCGACGTGCACTGGCAATTCAGTTCAACCGAGCAGACGCTTCCCAGAAGCCTCATGGCGGATTACAGAGTTATAGACGTCCCGAGGGAGGGCTTCCCAACTAAAACGTTGCAGGCACAGGAGACACGAGGTAACTCTGCAAGGCAGGACTCATTCCGAAAGCCACGAACGTCTTGTTCGCCAGCCTGTACACGGAGCGGTACGGAACATTGCCTGACCTAACGAACATGTGCATGCAATGCGCGAACTCAAGATCGACCTCTTAGGTCTCAATACGTCATCCTAATCGGCTGTGTGCACAGAGATAGTAGGATTAGCAGTAGCGATCGCTAGAGGCGCAAACAGGCCATGGACTTCGATAGGGACCATGTCCCGTCTGAGAACTCCGCCGCGTCTGCCCTGGACCGAGGAAAAAACGAATACTCACATCGTGTATGAATATATGAACCCTCGCGTATCTTGTGGATGCCATGACGCGAGGCCTTCCCGAGAATGTGGTTTGGCCTGTTGAGGTACGCGAGCGCGGCAATGTCGCAAGACTTGTGTGCAACAAGCCAGAGACAGGGTGTCGCTCTAGTTCATGAAAATAATAAACCATTATTCACACCACCAAGCAATAGTACAAGCAAGATAGCCCGTCGGATAGCGCGGATTGAAACTGACAAGAGAGACGAAGGTGGTCGAGTCCCGAGATGTGGCTCAGTCCAAGTACGCAAGCGCGCAAGGCGTGGGAGGCGAATGACCACTCTCGGCTTCTGCCGGCTCGTCGTTGAGCGCCTAAACACGTACGCGCACTTCTCCTCGAACCCCCGCCGCATTACAGAATCCGAAAGTTTCAAACCATCTTCCCTAGAGGCGTTTCTTGTGTCGCAACGACTCGCATTCTGGTAGAAACAAGCAAAATTGGCTGACGGCTTAAAGGCTCTGATCATACAGCTAGAGTAAGCACAGTATTTCCGTCATAACTTGTACTGTTCGAACTACTTACGCTGCTCGGTTAGTGGCACTGTCTGACGACCTCCTCGCCAGACGTTCAGAAACGATGCTATTTTCCCCATTGGACAAGATTGGGGAAAAATTTATGCTCCGTGTGCGATGCGCATTGTTGTCATTGGCCACTTGGCCATCGTCTAAGTTCGCGTTAGTCCTTTTCAGTCCAATGCTTCGAGAGCTCGGAGAGCCGCTGATGTCTTCTAAGTGAGTTGAAATGGACACAGAATGGCCTTGGTATATGGCTGATCCATCTCATAGGCATCCACTCCGCTCGTTATCACTGCCAGCACGTAGTGCTCGTACGCGGGCTACTTGCTGTGCGGTCAATGGCTAGGCGTAAGCGTACTACGCTGTGTTGCACTCCCGGCAGCCCGCACGCGCATAGCGACCATTGCTTCCATGCGTCGGTGCCAGTGGTACCGCACGGTCCGAGGCGCGTGGCTTAGACGTCGCCCTTCACGCTTAGCCAGACTTGACCTCGCGGCATCGCCTTACTTGGTGCAACACTAAACGTACGCTCTTTGTTTGGCTCCTCGCGATTGTCCTGCCTTCCTTTAGCGCTCCTGGATATCCACTTGGCTATCCACAAGGAGGCTTAAAACTCCAGCAGCGGACGAGCCACAACGCTTGATCCCTGCACATTCGCGAGGTACTTCGCCAAATCCCCGTTACTTCACCCCGGCCTTCCCGCCCTCTCTTTCCCTCATTTTACACTTGGCCTCTGCTGCAATGGAAGGCGCATCGACCTCAGCCACCGCAAACACGGAACTTCAGGACCTCGCCGCCCTCCTTTGGGCGTCCAACGAGAAGGGCGACATCCACCTTCCGCCCTCCGAAGCCGGGGCACTCGCAAGATATCTTGGTCTTGAACGCATTCGTCAAGAAGTCTCCCAGGACGCTGAGTACGATTGTGCTCTACGCCGAGCCTCGCCGCATTGCTCACTAACCTACGTCCCAGGCTCGCGGCGGACATGCAGATGAAGGGCTTCGCCGCCGCGGCGCTCATGTTGGTTGCAGAAAAGGAACTCGCGGACAAGGCACTTGCTGAGCAGACCGCCAGACGGAACCCCAAACGCAAAGCGAAAAAGAACGCGAAACGGAACGCCAAAGCGGACGCTGACCGGGACACCAAGCCGCTCAGCACGGATATCCCCACAATCCAGGGGCTGCACCAAACCACGCTCGAGACCATCGCTTGCACCATGGCGGATATTCCTCTGTTGTGAGTGCCGCCTGCACTTCGGCCAGCTGCTGCACGGCACTGACGTCTTGTCTTGCAGGGACCCCACAGAAGAGCTGCCTGACTTGACTGATCCAGAGGTCGCGAAACGGTACGTACATGTCTTCGTCGTTATGGATTCGAAGCTCATTTCGTGTCATTCCGCCATAGCTACGCCATCTCTGCCTCCGACATCATAATGAGGCTGGTCTGTCAGCAGCAGCAGATGTAACAGCCTGTCTACGACGGAGCCCAACCGTACGCGTCAGGCCACGCGGGCGTCCTCGGAGAAATGAGCAACCTACATGTAACGCCAAGTCTATTTGCACTAATTTCGCCCTCATGCATCCCGCTCAATACTTGCGTTTAGCCACCACCTACGTAATCCCTCCCACCTGTCTAGTATAGCCCCCTCCCACATCGACCTAGACCTTTGTGACCACTGCATCCGTAGTGTGTCTGCTCAGTGTCTGCTTCCCATGCCATAGCAACTCAGACGATGTGTATTGAATATGCGCACAGGTAATGCTACTCGTCTTCGCAGGTACGGGATCTGTGGGCTTGGTCCGATATTCCCTGCGGCAGACTCTCTACGACGTAGAGGCGCTGTCGGCGGGATTCGCCCAGATAGTTATCCCATGCGATCGGGCTTCATTCCACATCAAGATGCCCCCAGTTATCTCGCGTACTCGGGGGGCACCTTACGTACTCCACGCGACTGAGGAATGTGATCCGAGATACTGCGGTAGAGGAGAACGTCGATCTCGGAAGTCGCATCGGCGCGCCCTCCAGACCTTGCCCTTGCCGAGGACGGGCGTCTAGGGAGAAGGTTCGTGCCAACGTTGACACTTCCTCCCCTCCCCTCCTCCCCCTTGCACCTGCTGCGGAGTGGATTCCATGTCGGTAAGTGTTTGTATAGATTTCTTTGGCTGTTCCTAACTCACCTTGACGACGACAGAGGGACAAAGAAAGGCGATGCCGGAAATTAACTCCGCGTCGCGGACCAGCAGCACTGCTGGCAGCATGGATCGATATGGACCTCCCCCTTCGGGCTCAACCCAATGAGGTTTGTCGGTCGGCGGCCATTGTATGTGCGCACCAGCGTATACCTGCTCACATGTGCGGAGGTAGGCCCGCTGCCAGGAGCCGAGGCCACAGACAATCGCTCGCCAGGGCACCTTCGTCTGGCGCACCAGATGCGGAAAATACTTCATGATTGGCTGGGCAAAGAACTTGCGCGCGTCTTATGCTCAGCGCCCTTGCTGCTCACGACGATCGACAAATTCGCGGGTCCCGCATCGGTTGAACCGCACCCCCCGCTGGCGCGGTCCAGCCCTATCGGTGAGCAGGAGAACCTGAAACCACCAGCACTAATGCCTTCCTAATTTGTACACAGATGAAACGCGGTTATACGTGGGGGGACAATGGGGAACCCGCCGTTCCGACTGTTCGGACTGCGGAGAAGTTGAACCGTCCACCGCCGTTTGTTCAGATCGCAATCAACTCTTCCGCCATGCGTAACCCCGCCCGCGCGCTTCATGGCTCTGTGTCTAAACGGAAGAACCAATCACTGCCCAGGGCAACCGGGAACCCAGACGACTCTGACGAAGGTCCGTGCCCTCGCCTCGCCTCGCTTGCCAGGATAGGGAATACGCTCTTGCCGTTTTGGTATTGGGCCATCGGTCCCTTCCTCTTTGTACACCGCAGGCCTTTCCGCCTGCGCTCACATGGCGTACGTGTCGCGCTCGCGTAATGGGTGAGTCCCTGGGGTGGGATTCTCGCTTTCCAGTGTGCAGTCGTCGTCGAGGGTATAAAACATAGGCCGTAGCGTTCCTCTCCTCCCCATATCTCCCTCTGCTCTCCATATCTCCCGCTGCACTCGTCACTCGCCACATCCCCAATATCTCCACCACGACCTTCAAAATGAGCTCTTCCATCCCGTCCATCACATACGACAACGACTTCGACGTCGCTGCCCTGTTGTTTGCCGTGGGGGCGCTCGACGTTCCCGGAATCGCCGTCGCTGCAGCCGACCTGGATCGACTGGGAAAATACCTCGGTACAACCGGGAAACTATACGCAATATGTGCACATGCGAAGTACGTCTCCATGCGCTGCTCATTGTGGGAGGGGGTTGTGGCTAACATGCATGCGTCCATCAGCGCACTCCTCGATCCCGCTCCGGATGCCCCGCTCGCACCTCCGGCGGAACCTTCATCGTCGGCTCCAGCGCCCGCCCTCCCCGTCCACGTCTCCGCCTTGCCCATCCCCGCCCTTCCCGTCCCCGCCTCCCCCGTTCCTGCCTCCCCCGCCCCGGCCCTCCCCCTCCCCGCCCCCTCCGCCCTGGCCTTCCCCAGCCCCAGCCCTTTTTCTGCGCTGCCCTTGCCCCCGGCGCAGTACATGCCGGCGTCGGGCGTGTGGGGACACCCGGCTCAGCCCACCGTGTTCCTGCCATGGCCACCGGTACCATGCCCCAGCCAATTCGCGCCCGCGCTCAACGCTCATCCTGTTGCGCGCTACTCCGCCGCGCCCCACCCTTACCACGCCGCCCGAACCCACACCCCTGCATATGCCCCCGCGACGACAGTCGCGCCAATTTCACACACGCTCGCTGCGACACAACCTGTCGCCTCGTCCTCGTCTTCGTCTTCGTCTCTGTCCGCGCCGCATCCCCCGTCTGCCAAGACGCTAGGGAAGCGCAAGGCTGCGGCAGAGCCAGACGCGCCCGCCCCCCAGGACAAGAAGTCGCGCACGACGCCGGCGCGCGTGGAGGATGAGGTGAAGTGCCAGTGGGAGGGCTGCAACACTGGAATTGTGGCCGGTGATTACCGCAAGCACCTTCTCGCGAAACACTGGCCGGACGTCACGGCGGTGGACCACGTGAAGGGGCGGCAGGTGTGCAAGTGGGTGGGGGACTGCAAGGCTAGGCAGGACCCGAAGACGAAGGACGGCTTATCTGATCTAACCGGCCTGTTCAAGCACTTGATGGACAGCCATTTCGGGGCCAGGAATCAACCGTGCGGAACCTGTAATAAGAGGATGCGGCCCGATGCTCTGAAGAAACACGAGGCGATATGTGGCAAGAAGTCATAACGCAATCCTAGTGTATATGCTCGGTACCTGGGGAGAGCGACTCGAAACGGTCGGTGTATGGTGAAGCTCTTGGCTTTGATGTTTACCAGGATATTGTACGACTAGGCGCTGCTGTTCTGTATAGTACTATTTGGAAGATTGTAATCATGATAACCACTTGCGTTATAGGGTGTGTTGACGGATCACTACTTCATGCCATATCTCAGTGCCTTCCCAAGCTCGCACCTAAGCATCCGCGACACCGGATGTGCACTAGATGACATCATGTGTCGGGCCTTCAGAAGCGACCCGTATCGTAACTGAGGCTTTTGTGAACGGGTCCATCACGATGGATGCCTGTGCTCCGAGTCGGGACGGACTTCTTGCCTAGCGGAGTCCTTGCCAGTGAAGGAGCCAGCCCACGCACAGGCGAACCACTCCGCGCCTCGAGCCTCGAGCGGAGCACCGCTTTTACCAAACAAAAGTGCACGCGGCCTCATTCGGCCATTTCGGCTGCCGCTGAATTCTCTCTCCCAAAGAGTCGGCGTCTCCTCGTTCTGGGACCGGTCTGTTTTTGCCTGCTGCGGCATATCGACAAACTGACTATACAAGCTGGTGCGCCGAATAGCAGTCCTTTTAGAAGGCGAGCGGGCAGCATCAGCATTCGCCCCGGGTCGCCCTGGATACAACGGTGGGTACACTCGGCGACCCGTCACGGTGTTTCCACACGCAGCATGCGTTCTGGCAGAAAGGCGGGAGGCTACCGCTCACAATGGAGCGGTTGTAACTCACAAATTAGGGCATTCAGAAGGGCGCCTTTGATGGGGCGTTGCGTTCGAGTCATTGGAAGGTGGGTTTTTTTTGAATAACACCTGCAGCATGCTCACGTCATCGGCAGGTTTCCTGCCAGCAGTCTCTGTGGCTGGGGATGGAATAAAGTTGATTTGGATTTCTTTGTCTGGCCGCGCTCACCTTTTCCCGCGGGAGAATGGAGCCGTCACGCAGCACTCGTCCAGATCACATATCGAGACCTGGGGCCCACCTCATTTCAGCCAGGCGGCGACCGACGGCGGAGGGTTCGCGAGCTTGCCAAAGAAGCACCGATCGACACTGGGGCCCGCTGCAGCACCTCTGAGACCAGCATCGGCCGGACGGCACACGTTCCCCCGCCAACGGGCGTGTTGCTCATTGTGCCCGATTTTCCTAATCCGACAATCAATAACGCGCGTCCCCGTGTACGCACTCTTGTCTTTCGTATCAGCACTCCACTTGCAAGTCTACCAGATCTCAGCAGCGCTCACGTGATGTTTTCGCTGTTCAACGCGTCGCGGTACGTCGCGTAGTTGGCGCGCCATAGAATGAGCGGCAGGACCGCCTCTGTCTCCCCCAACACAGTCCTCCCCACGCCCTCGACGCATCTCCACTCTCTCCGCATACTTCTGCACTCTCTGTCCTCTCCTACAAATGGCGTCTTCGACCTCTTCCTCTTCTTCGACATCGACATCCCCTTCTTCCTCAACTCCTCCTTCCTCGTCGCCGGTCCCACTGTCGGGCACACCCCATCCCGCTGGGAATTCCGCCGCCGAGCCGACCCTTGGGCACCCCATGTGAGTAGTTCGTCCACTTGCGAGCATTCAGCACGACTGTCGAAGCTGCGCTGACTCTCCGGGCGCGTTTAGCACCTCACATGGGGAGTTCAACAGCGAGCGTCTTGCGGTGGTGGAGGACGACTGGGAGCTGTTCCGCCAACGCGCTCTCCGGTACGTCTGTAGTGCTCGTCTTCATATCCACCGAACTCAACTATGACCTCAGCACGGGCATCCGTATGTCCGACGTTGAGGGATCACCTTCCTCTCCCCTCGTGTCGGACCTGTCTACCTCCTCCTCTGCTTCCTCCTCCTCCTCCTCCTCCTCCTCCTCCTCCTCCTCCTCCTCCTCCTCCTCGTCGTCGTCGGACGGCTCGTCCCCACCTGCGGCCCCTTCCCCAGCCATCCAAGCCCATCGGCCCGTTCGCGCGCTCCCACCCAAGCCTGCGGCTGCGCCCTCCCCCCCTCCAGCCGCACCCGCCCCTGGGCTCTCGCGCCGTACGACGCGCGCGCGCTCGGCACCGCGCGCTCCATCCCCCGGACCCTCGCGCCCACGCAAGCGCGGCCGCTCCCCCTCACCCACCCTGCAGGCCTCGTCCTCTACCCGCCCTCCGAAGCGCAGCGCGCGACGCGCTCCCCTGGGCGCCGCCAGCGGGTCCTCCAACGCTAACAACAAGGCGGCGCCTGCGCGCAAGGCACCCGCGCCCGCGCTAGAGCCTACGGGGGAGCCTCCTGTGGGACGTCGTGCCCCAAACGCGCAGAATGACGTGCCGTTCACCTGCGGCTGGGAGGGTTGCTCACTGAGGGTGGAAGACCGGAAGGCCTGGAAGGCCCATATGGCGGCTAAGCACGGGGTCGATGCGACGCGGGCGCCTGATGGACGCCGCTGCAAGCACACCGCTTGCCAGGGGAAGGCAGGGCCGTATGGGGACATGGCCGCGCTGGTGAAACATAACACCCGGAAGCACCAGTCCCCAAACAAGCACGCGTGCCAGGTACTGGGATGCGAGGCCTCCTACGACAACGCCGACTCCCTGAGGCGGCACGTTCAGGCGAAGCACTCGGGGAAGGCCCCTGCTCCACGCAAGGGTACAAAGAAGGCGTCCGCGGCGAACAAGGAGAACGAGGAGCCGGTCGCGGGCCCCAGCGGTCACCGCCACTCTTCTGCGGAGGAGTCGTCGGACGACGAGGACGGCGAGGGCGCGGATGACGAAGATGAAGACGAGAGCGACGAGGGACCGAGCCCTCACGATGTGAAGGACAAGGGCAAGGGTCGCGCTTATGACTACGACGACTACGACGACGACGGTGAGCTCGAGTACGTGTAATGTTGCGATACCTCCATGCGTCGGCGGTCTATGCCCTGTGCATGCCCCTTTTTCTCGAACACCCATATACCCTAATACCTTCGCTTCATTGCCATCGTCCCTCCTCACTGCGTACCCTCTTCACCCTTTCACCATCCCGCATACCCATTCACGCTATACCCATCCTCTTCGGACTGTACTACCACACTGTGCTATTGCATGTGCTCTGTGCTATTGCATGTGCTACATTTTCCCTTACTGTGATACCTGCTACACTCCTGCCGCTCTATCCTGCTGTACCTCACTATCCACTGCTACTCGTGTCGCTCTCAACCACATGTACCTACTCTACGCTCTCCAATCCATCCTCCAATGTACCTCTCTATCCGCAGTCACGGTCTGCCACCCCCTCGGTGGCCCCACCGCCCACTCGACACCCCTCTGAGCCCCTCTGTGACCACCCGGACACCCTCGATCACCGCGTCCCCCATCCTACCCCATCCGTCGCTTCCTTTGTCCCGCATATAGCGTTTACGCCCCCGCACACGAGCGCCGCTCACACACGCTCCCACAACGTTCCACAAGCACAAGACGTCCGATGCTCGGCGCGCCAATCGCGTCAGCGGGATTACGAGGTACAGCAACGACCAGGTCGAGTGCGTGAGGGTGATCCTCCGAGTCCAGTGTCGCGTTGAACGGGATGCAGAGCAAAAGGCTACAGTACAGCGAACGAAAGCATTGCGATGGTACTACAGGTGAAGGTGTACAGCTGCGCGCGGCGCGGGTGCCCATACGAACACCAGTGCCCAATAAATAGACAGCCAGCCTGGCAAAGACGAAGGAGACAGCTACCGATGCACTGAGATAAATAACGTAGGAGTACACCGTCCGACCGATTCCATCAAGAGCACCGCGGATAGTACACCAAGACCGGCTAAATCCCGATACGCACACGCCTCTCCGAGTCCACAACGTACATACGACTCGAGTTTCCCTTGGGTGAGCCTATCCTGAGAAGGAGGCCTACTCGTCCGAGTCGCGCTCGATCCTCTCGACGCGGCCAGCGTCCCTTGCCCGCCCAGAGTGCACCTCTACATGCACACGCGCCAGCCCCAGCTGAGAGCGCGAGCGCATCTTCCGGAGGCTCGTCACGGCCGCGCTCCCTCCATCATCCCTCGCGTCCTCACCCGGCCTACGCGCCATCTCGGGGGTCAAGCCTCCGTAGGATTTGGCGTGTGGAATAGGCAGAACGGGAGGCATAGGTGGAAGCGGCGGTACAGGCGGCACAGCATGAGGCGAGGATCCACCGCCGAGCGCGGCAGAGCGCAGACTTGCGACCGAGGCCTTGCTGAACTCGAACACCTGGCTCGCCTTCTTCCTGAGCGACGTGCGGCTCGACATCGTTCGCAGTCTCGGTGGCGCCGGCTCGAGCGCGGGGAGAAGCATCGGGGAGGAGTCGGGTTCGGGCAGCAGCGCGCCCTGCAGTACCACGGTCTCGTGCGCAATCTTCGTGTGATCCGGGGTCGTCTCCGGGGAAGAGAATGCCGTCCTGTCCGAGTCGTGCGCGGAGAGGCGGACCATGGACGCCGTCCGCACTGGCGGCGAGCGGAGTGCAGAACGGAGGTACGTAGGAGGCCCGGGAGAACTTGTCACGATCGCGAGCTTTGGGCGGCCCTTCTGCGCGCGCAGGCCGTACGCGGGACTTTCGGGTGTGGTAGGCTTCCCGGTCTTGGACGTCTGTGAATCCTTCCTGCCTCGCCACCATGAAATCAGCGGCTTTCTGTCGCGTCGCGTCGGCTTGCGAATGGCTTCCTCCGTAGGCAAATGGGACAGCGTTCCGAAAGTCTCTCCTCTGCGAACCGTATCAGAGGCGCTTGCAACGGACCCTGACCGCGTGCGTGTGCCACCACCTGTGGATCCGTTCTTAGTAGACTCAAATGGTATCGAATGAAAGACCATCGTACTTGCGGATGGGACCTCAGGTGCGATGACAGGGGGCTCCAGCAACGCAAGAGATGCTTCCGGGATCTCGACCGGAATCGCAGTCATATGGCCAAACAGAGACCCCTCGGCGTGAACGACGTCGATGATCTTCCACCCTGCTGTGAGGGTGAGGGCAGCCATCTCGCGCAAGGTACGTTCCTGGGCATTGAATGTTGCGCGCATCTATTACAACAGCGAACATGATAGTCAGCTGCTGTCGTTCGCACGACCCGATATGCAATTAGATATGGCGAACATACCGTGAGGTCTAGCCAATACGCGTTCGCGTTAGCCTTGCCAAGGTTTGGAAGCAGCAAGGAACCTTCAGGGGCGAGGGAAGGAAGCGCTCCAGGAAGATGGTCGCGTCCAAACTCATCCTCCGAGTCTTCGTCGACGCATGCCAGTGGAAGTATGTGGTCCGCAAGTAGTAGCTTGGTGTCGGGACCCGCGGCGAGACGAAGGTTCAAAAGGATTCTGCCCACGGAGCATAAGCAAAGTCGCAAAGCTGAAAGCTAAACAGGACCTACTTAGTCACGAACGTGTCCGGCCAGTCATGCGTGATTACCCTCAACACATAAACAGAAGGAACAACCGCATTAGTGGATCCGGGGAGAAGCAGGGGAGGCTGCGGCTGGAAGAAGTCGTGGGCCAGGAACATGGCACGTCCGGTGTCGAGCATTTCCGGGCAGCGCTCCCGCCACGCCTGACAGGGTATGAATGTTAGTGCACATATACGGAACGCTTCGACACAGGCTATGCGTACCGTAACACCATGATCGGCTACTTGCGGCCTGTCCTGGACGACAAACCTGAGATGCGGAAAAGTATGTGCGAGGAGCATGGACGTTGAGCCAATCCCCCCTCCTACGTCAACTACCAAGGCACCTTCGTCCAAATCCTGCCAAGGAAACCCTGCGCCACGCAATAACCGTCAGAACCTTGTATTGAGGGAAAGCATTAAGACTGACCAGCGATGATGGCGCCAGGGACTTCCCAAGCAGCGGTACCGGTCATAGCCGGACCAAAGCGTCGCAGCCTTGATTCATTCCCGGGCTGCTCAAGCCACTCGAAGTAAGGGATCGTTGTGTTGAACGCGAGGTTGAAAGGCGCATGCATGGGGTTCTCGTCCTCCCCGGACTTCCGTGAGGATGAAGGCAAATAGCAATCTGCGAGATATGCCGAAGACTTGAAGAGCTCGTCGGTGCTATCGATGCAGCATAAGTCGAGAGAAGGACATGGCGAGACAATAATTAAGTACCAGAGGTTCATGAACGCCGCTATTCCGTTTGTGGTCTCGTACTTTTCGTGCGGACTGTGACAGGTATGATAAGTTTTGTCAAGTGGGGGAGATTAGTTTTATGTTACGAACGCGCGTCTCAAATCTTCGGGGGAGCGACCCGAGTCCATGATCGCTGATATCCGGTTATTGGCGAAGACATTGGGGCGAACTTCTCGGGTAATATGGTGCGTGGCGAGCAGACGAAGTATATGACCTAAGTACGCGGCAAGATGGTCAGATGCGGTAGCAGAATAATTACGAAGACTAACTCAATTTCCCTTCCTCAACGCCGAGCTGTCGACCCAAGTCGCGAACATGCATCCCATCCGGACCAGCAGTCCGGAGAATCTCGACGGTATGTGACGCCTCGAGGAATCGCAAACATGCCGGGAGATGATACTGAAAATGGGTTTAGCGAATCATCTGACGGAAAAGGAAAGATACGCACGCCCATGGCGGCATCGCACAACGTCAAGAACGGTCGATGAACGGTAGCGCCTATTTGCCCGCAAGCGGCCACGATCCGGTTTGTGGCTGCAATGACATCAGGATGCGATGCAAGGGACTCTGCGGCGTCCTCTTCCTGGGCATGCCCTTCGGTTGGGTAATAAGGATTGTCGAGAGCAGGGAAGTCGAGCAGCTGGAAGTCGGTTGATGAACCCGCGCCGCGATGCCCCCGCCGAGGCGTCTTCGGAGGACGGCCCACGGGGAAGTGAATCGGGCCTGTCTCGTCCTCTTCCAGGGAGCTGCGAGTACGATGGCGCCGATAGGGCGTCGTCGGCGAGGCGAGGACGTCGTAGGGCGTGGCAGGGGTTGCGGGCGGGGCATCGAATGACGCGTCCTGGTAGACACGCTCGATATCATCGAGGGCGTCGCCGATCAGGGCGTAAAGCGAGCGAAGAGCGGCAAAGGTCATGGCTCGGGACCCTGTAAGGCGATGAGGAGGCTGCAGTGGGCGTGCTACTCGATGGCCTCGTCGTTGCCGAGCACGATGGCGAGGAGGGTGGAGGAGAGAGGGGGGCGAGACGGGGAGGTGAGGTATGTCGTGGCATGATATGAGCGATCGCGAGCGAGACGGGGGATGTCGGACAAACTCAAGCTCTGTCTCTTTCGCCTGTCATCCGTCCGAGCAAGAGCCCAAGGATCGCCATCCTTCTCTTCCACAACTTGCCTAATCCGGCCTTACAACGCGTCCTGTCACGATCGTTCCCCCAACCCGTCACGCGTCCGGCGTCCTAGACGCCCGTCTTCGCGGCTTCGCTGGTCGGGTCCGGAGCGCTAATCCTTCTCTTCCCCCGCCACACGCCTTCCAATATTCCTTCGTTTGGTCGCCTCGCCCTCTCTGGCTGGCGTACAAGACGGGGCGACGACGACTCCGTCCATGCGGGAGTCGCACACCTCCCCGTACGTGCCAGCGAGCCGTCATGCTGCTACCCTCCATTTGCGCCCTCGACAACCAATACTCCTCGGGTGTATCCCATGTTGGAGCTAACCAAGATTCGGTATGTTCTTAATCAGTGGATCATGGCATAGAGTGTCAATGAAAGCTACCCGGCATGTGCTAGTGAGCGGCGAGTCCGAGTCGGTCCCTTTGGAGCAGATTGTCTCCTTAAGTGCTGCCCGCCGCCGCCGCCGCAGACACGACCTTGCGCTTAAGGGGCGTATGTGCGGGGGAGAAGCGGCACCATCGTGCATTCGGCTTGCTGGTAGTCCTGATACGGTCCTATTATCGTTCCGAGTTAACGTTGAAGGCTTATTCAAACCAGCTATCAAGCGAAACTCTGAGCTCCGTATTGATAGCGATATGCTGTTCTCCTCCTGGCCTGAACGAGCCGCTGGCCATGTGCGCACAGAACGTCAAGGACGCTCACCGCCACAGAGAGACCCCGCAACCAGACTCCCTTCCAGAGGCGAATCGGTCGAGGCACCCTCATTCCTACGATGGCAGCAGACGCTCCGCTCCGCTATCGTCGCCCCCTGCTCAACGTCGGCCACCATGCAGCTGGCAGCGGCGTCCGAAATCCCGTCCGGAGGTATCTCCCTCGTCAACGCCAGCCCCACCGGCCCCGGCGACCGCGCAGATGACCCATCCCCCACATGCGCCCCCCTTGCGGCGCTTCGTACACCGTCCCGAACGGCGCGCGCGTTCGATCGTGTTTCTTCGCGGCCGCAGCGCCCTTCTGACCTGCGGCACCGAACGCAATCGCCGCCCTAAGCACTCCATCGCGTTGCCGTCGCACATCTGCGGCGGTCGCCGCGCAGCGGATGGAGGATGGACTTCTCTTCGCGGCTTCCGAGTTCCTACCGATACGAGTGCTTGACAGGGGAGTGGAAGCGCAGACCCTTCCACTGCCAGGTCTCGTGCCTGAGCTATACGTGGATCCGGGCGGTAAGCTGGCAGTAGGAACTGGATTTCGAAGGCGCGCTATAATCGCACTGCTGTGCAGCGCAAGACAGCACAAATGAGAACGTTCTTTTCTCGATGGTGAACGATGTCCAATTTGAATGGGTGGATGGGGACTAAAGCCCGGGATCAGGCCTCCGGCACGGCGGATGAGCCGGCCGTGCCAGTCCAAAGCTGGGCGCGATGCAGGTGCCTCTCATTGCGCACTTCAAGCCTCTTGCCATGCCAGCAACACCGACCTGCGCGATAATCATGCGGATCAAGGTCCAGCGGTCAGTTCAAAGTACTAGTAGTCAATCACGGGTTACTGACCGGTCTGACAGGGCGGCAGTGACACCGCTGCTAGAAGCGGGCGCCGATGGGCCCGTCAGCTGTACGGACTCACACCCAACCCCGCCCCGGTTCCAACAAAACCACCATCGTGGCGTGGACTCCGACGGAGAACCGCCGCAGACCATTTCACTGAGCCCCCGCGCGGCCTTGGTGCAGAAATGCTGTAAGGGCTGCCCACAGGCCACGAGGGGGTCGTGGATGGTATCGAGAGTGTCAATTTTTTTGGCACTAGGAATTCGAGGTGCGCAACTGGGATGGCTAAGGCTACGTCGGCGCGGGCGTCACGGCCGCCGGCGCGATGTAGTGCCTCTTTCTTACTTCTGTCGGGGAGGCGCAGGATAATTTCTCACATCTCTCACAAGCGGCGTCGTCAGATGAAACATCCTAAAGGCGGATTTCGCAGCGTGCGGCGGAAGGACTGGGGCTCCCTGAATCTGATCATGAGCAAGCCGCACGGGATATTAGCGCCCTGGGACGCTGCTACGTGGCCACGGTCGCGGTGCTGAAATTCGCTTGACAAGCCACTAGCGCCATGCTTTCCTTCCCTCAGCAAGTTCAACGAGCATTCCTTCGCCAAAACTCTACTGCATGGGTCCAAAAGTGTGCTGTGATTCCGGCTACAAAAGTCGTCGTACACAGTTCAGATCATCTTTCTGCCGGAGATAATGTCTGCAGGCACTACAAATACAAGACTCGTCCCGTCTCGTGAGTACCGGTGAGTGATGGCAATGACCAGTACACTGATGAAACATGCTTAGCGGTACGAGTTCCTTTTCAAGCAACTATAATGAATAGCATAGAACGATCCGCAAGAACTGTTCCTTTAGTTGGTGGCCATTCGGCCGACAGGATGTTACGCACGGATGCGATCAAGCCCCTGGCGAGACGCATACACAAGGTTGTCTCTTACTCCCACTGCGGGCGCCATCATCTGATATCTTTGTTGACACACAGTGCCACGGTCACACCGGGTCGGCGCCGAAGAACCACCCGGCCCGAGCCAGCATCTGTACTGCGACGCTGAGCACGATCAAGCCTAGGCTCAGGGGTTTCAGACCGCATGACTTTGGGACATCGTGGATATGTCGGTGGCAGAGGCCAGCAGGCTACCATCCGTCGATCAGGTTGCCAAGCAGTGATTGACCGGAGAAGCCTTTAGCGTAATATACCCCAGGAGAATCCGACGTCGGGAGTTGCATAACTGCCTTCTCACGTATAGATGGCGCGGTCCTCGGCATAACCTCGTATAGTCAAAAGGACGTCCGTCCTTAGTCAAGGTTGGATTCGCGCACAAGTTGTACTCACGGGTGTCACTCTCGCTCTTGCCTCACACAAACCCGACATCGCATCTCTCTCCCCTACCCACCCTTGTCAGTACTCACCCACCATGTCCAACGACCATCTAGCCACCCCCAACCCCGAGCTCGCACCCATACTTGCGGTTCTCCCAGCTCCTGCGGCGTCAATGCTCCCGGACATCGACGCTGCCCGACGCTGGTTTGCGGAGGGCCCTGCAGCTATTTCACGCAGCGGTCAGGAACCGCACCTACCCCCAGGTATATGACGCGTTACCGCGAATTCCCGTCAATTATACCAATTCAACAATTTATCCAGCGACAGCATATACGTCGACAGACCATAAGCTCGCTGTTGAGGACGGCGAGATCACTGTGCGCAGCTACGTGCCGACGTCTTCGACGAACGACACGCGCTTCCCGCTTCTATTCTGGACGCACGGTGGAGGTACGCCGGCGCCGCAGGTCCGCTCTGTTGCTGTTCTGCACTGATACTTTGCGCTATAGGGTGGGTCATCGGTGACCTGGAAATGGACGATTACTACTTGAAGATCCTCAGCGCCGAACTCCAGCTTGTGATTGTCCACGTTGATTACAGGTTAGCCCACTCGCGCATATTGTGAGACGATTGCGTGCGCTCAACATCCTCAGGCTTGCCCCGGAGTATTCGTTCCCGACGGGCCTAAACGATTCGTACACGGCACTGAAATGGGTAGGCCTACGTAACGTAGCCGCACGTATGTTGTATCTGAAACGGGTACCACCAGGCCAAGCAGAACGCCGGTAGCTTCAACGCAGACCTCTCCAAAGGTTTCCTCGTCGGGGGCGCATCCGCAGGCGGGAACCTCGCCGCCGTCCTCGCCCATCGCACGAAGGCGGACCCGGAATTCACCCAGCACCCGCTCACTGGGCAAGTCCTCCAGTACCCAGTAACTGTGCATCCGGATGTAGTGCCCGAGGAGTAGGACCGAATTCCATTCTTCGATATCGCACGGATGCGCTAATCTAGGCCGCGCTCAGGTACAAGGAGCGCTTCACTGCATATGGACAGATGACGGACGGGAAGATTCTTCCCTCTCGTCACATGTACGAGTTCTTCCGTGCGTCTCGCCATACATCACCTTTGAGACGTTCTCTGAAGTCAACTAATGCGCCATCTCGCAGAACTCCTGGGAGGGTCACCCTCAAACCCGGAGATTTCGCCGCTCCTGTACCCCTCCTTTGAGGGCCTACCTCCCGCGCTCGTGCAGGTGTGCGGGATGGACCCGCTCCGCGACGACGGGCTGCTCTACGTGGAGAAGCTGAAGCAGGCTGCGGTGCCCACAAGGTTGCACGTGTGAGTACCTAGCGCTCCCGGGCTCGCGATGCACACTCATCAACGGCGTGGGGCAGATATCCGGGTGCGCCGCACGGGTTCCATCTCGGCTTCGCGCAGACGAACATTGCACAGAAGTTCGAGGAAGAGCTGAAGGCGGCGCTGCGTTGGTTGCTTGCGGGTGCGCCGAGCGACGGACAGCAAGTGGCGCGGATGTGACCGACATTATCGTTGTATCCGAGTACCCGAAAGGCTGGAATTGGTAGCCCGAGCGTATGTCTCGTGACAATCGAAAACAGAGCTGATACAAGAACGCAATCGCTGTTCCTTCGAGTGTTACACTCCCCTGGAGTCATCTGCAGACGGTTTCCCCGGGTCTGGGGCGATGCGCCTCTCGAAGTTACTGACATTTCACGTCCCAGTCCCGATCGAAATCCTCATCATGCGCGGTTGTCAGTGCAAAACGACTTTCAAGGACAGATGCCAGCCTCGCCAGCCTCCCTTTGCCAGCCTCCCCTGGTAAAGAGGGAGCCCTTGTACTTTCACTGATCTTGTCGTCCACCACCACTCCTAGCTGCCAACAAGCCGTACAAGCCACTCAAGCGCAACACCCCAGCCCGCCACCGCCCTCCCCGTGCAACTCGCCAGCCTATCCAAGCTCCTCCAGCGCAACCCGCCAGCTCCTGCAGCTCCTCCGGCGCAACTCGCTAGCTTGCCGAAGCTCTCCCAGCGGTGCAACAAACCAGCTGCCTCCGTGCGACACGTCAACTTCCAGCGGCTCCTCCAGCGTAACCCGCCAGCTCCTCTGGTGCAACTCGCCATCCGGCGCAACCAGCCAGCCTGATCAAGCCCTCTCCTCGTCGTAACGCACCAGTTCCTCACGTGCGACACGCCAGCCTGTTCAAGCTCTCGCCCCGCAACTCGTTGGGTTCCCCAGTCTTTCCAGCGAGACACGCCAGCTTCCTCGGCGCCGCCCACGAGCACCCCCCAGACAACTTGCCAGCCGCCTCCAGTTTCTCCGTCGCAATGCCCTTCAAGAACATCTTCGCCTTCGCCAGCCCCACGATGGCCAGTCCTTCCGACAAGAAGGTTGGGCTCACTGTAAGTTTCCAATCATCTCATTTTACTGTCAGCCGAGTCTGACGTCGGGATTAGTCGGAGAAGTGTGCTATGCAAGCCGTCATGGTCGAGGACATCAAGGATCTTCCGACGAGTGTGGACGTACACGTGCGGATGGAGTTCGACGAGAGCGGCAATTTGGTATGTCAGCCTCGCGTTCTCCTCCCATCACTCTGCTCAATTCATACAGGTCATTCGTGAGGTCGAACACCTCCGCGACAACGAGGTATCGCCCACGCCCTCGGATGACATGACTCTCGTCGGCACCCCAAGCATCCTTACGGACAAGCCCGGGTCGGTCGATGCGCACACGGTCACCGACTCGCCAGAGCTTATGGATCCTATCGCTGCAAGCCCGCCTCCTCCGTCTAGCCCGCATCTCGCTGCCTCATGCTCATCCGAGGTCGAGTTCAAGATCGAGATTGTCGATGTGGATGAGAGCACGTCTACCGCGGTACGCACCGTCACCTCGGACGACTTCCAGGTGGTCGGCGAACTCGGGGAGGGAGGACAAGCATCTGTGTACCTTGTCCAAGAACGCGCGACCGAGCGGCTCTATGCGCTCAAGGCTGCCGAGAAGAGCGAGTACCCGGAGATGAACGAGCTCATGTTCCGGGAGCAAGCAGTACTGGAGAGCATCGCCGGAAGCCCGTGGTTCCTCTCTTTGAAGGCCAGCTTCGAGGACGACGAGTACTTCTTCCTCCTCACTGTGAGTCCAGATTACACTTTTATGTCGTCGCGAGTATGCCCTGACATGTCTTTCAGGATGTGTGCATGGGCGGTAGCCTGGAGAGTCGTATCCAGCGGAGCAATGGAGGGAAATTGGCGGATGGGACAGCGCGCCGCTACTGTGCGCAGATCGTATGTCGCTTACAATGTCCGAATTTCCTCGTACATGCGCTGACATCCCCTCAGATCCTCGCAATGGAAGACCTGCACAAGCGCAGGGTCATCCACCGCGACATCAAACCCGCCAATATCCTCCTGAACAACAAGGACGAAGTCGTGATCGCCGACTTCGGGTTCGCCCGCCCCTTCGCACTCGGAGACACCGTGGAGGACGCCAGTGGCAACGGGCTCGGGATCCAGCTCGACATCACGAGCGAGAAGTGCGGCACACCACAGTACATGGCGCCCGAGATCTGGAAGGAGGAGCCGTACTCGTACGCGGTCGACGTGTATTCGTTTGGCGTGATGATGTACGAGATGCTCAACGGCAAGGTGCGTCTTTGCATTTCTTCACCACTCATCTACTGGGCTGACCCCACCGCCGTTTTCTAGCTCCCATTCAACCTGGACGAGATCAGCGACGACGACAACCTGACCGTGGAGGATATCGGAGACGCCGTGTGCATGCCCCAGCCTGGGTTGGAAGTCGAAGACGACATCGACGATGATGCTTTCGACTTGCTTGTCTCGGTATGTTCTTCATATATTGTATCTTGTGGAGTTGTGGCTGACACTGGCTGGCTGGCAGATCCTGGACCAGGACCCGGACAGGCGACCATCCTGGGAGCAGATCAAGGAGCATCCCTGGTTCGATGGCGTGTGAGTACCTCTTCTCGGGTTCTTCGTCAGCTTGCGTGCTCACTCTTCCATGACAGTAACTGGACCCAATTGTCCTGCCGCACCCCAGTCCCAGCTGTAGTCCCTCCGAAGGGCTCTATTTCTGTACGTTCCTTGACCTTCACACTGTCCAAGATTTTGACTCAATGTCGCTTCTAGGATGATTCGGACGAGGAGTCCCCGTTCGGTATGCCGTACCAGACGGGCGACGAACCCCATCCATTCTTCCAATGGACCTCCCCAGAGCTTCAACCCCAGCCAGCCACGGCACCCGAGGCCTCTCCCCAAGGCAGCAACCCGCCGCCGCCGTCCCGTAACAACCCCGAAGTCGCCACACCGCCCCAAGAAGCGCCCCCTCCCCAGAAGTGCACTACGTTCCCCAACAGTCACGAGGCAGCCGACGCCCCATCCGCATCTGCAACACGCTCCACCCCCCACGCATCCCCATCTGTACCTCTCCCCGGTCATCAAGACCAAGCCAACGTCCCCGCCCCAACTCCATCCCCGAGTCCCCTCGCGCCCCGCCAAGCACGCGACTCGTCAGTAGTATTGGCCTCTGGCCAACGAGCAACCCACCCCCCTATGCGCGCTGCACCCACTTCCGAGTGGAGTGCACACGTAGAAGAGGTGGCCCCAGCTCCTGACGACAAGCACGCCGCCGCGGGTGCAGACGTTGACGACGTCAGCGCGTCCGTGGCACGGGCGCAGGACGACGATTCGGGACATGGCCCCGCGCCGACCGGACCCTCTCAAGCAGGGATGGTCGGCCTGGGAAGGGGCCTCGGCTTGGGCGTCGTGTTCGCTGCGACGACCCTGGCCGGGGACCGGTACGATGTGGATGCTGTCAGATCCTGGACGCAGGATCTGGACGCGAGCGCGTTGTGCGACGATGCACACGCTGGCCCCGTGGACGCCCCCCTCTCCGCGTTCTCCCCCGAGTTCCCCAGCACGCCTGTGCCGGGACACGGGGGAGATCTGTGGGGGAATGTCTGCACTTCTCTGGACGCTTCTGGCAAGTCGCCGGTGTCCTTCAATTGTTACGTTTCGGCTGCGGTGGCCACGACCGCCGCTCCCAGCGCCGCTCTTGCGCTGGGCGATGGTTCTGCCGCCGACGCCTCGCCGGACGCGAGTACCTCTGACCTCGAGGTGCTCGCGCTGTCGGCTGCGCTCGCCATCCCTGACGCGTTCTTGTCGTCGGGGATGTGCTCGCGCCCACTGGAAGTCAAGAACCCGGATGCAAGCCTTTCGTTGTTCACTTCCTCAAGTTCACTCTCATCCAACCTCTCGGACTGCAGCGTCGGCTCCTCCGTCTGTTCATACGACGGCGATGCCAGCTCGACAAGCGACACTGCTCCACCAAGGACCCAATTACCATCGCTGGACCCCAAGGTGCGGCCGAACTGGCTCGTACGGATCTGGCGGTGGTTCTTCCTTCTCGGGAAACAGACTACGTGAATGGGTGGGCGGAGAGACCTGCTCATATGAGTGAGGTTTAGGTCGCCCTTAAAGTTGCCCTTAACGTGGTCTCAATACTCCGCCGGGCCTTGAGCCTCCACCCCGCTCTTGGTTCCGTTCTCGGCTTGAACCTGAGTGCTTAACTGCTCTTTGGGTTCTCGCCGATCCCTTGCTGCTTTCCCTCTGCTCTATCTGCTTTCTTTTTGTTCTCTCTCTGCTCTCTGTCTCGCTCTGGTCTTGCTCTCGTTCTCAAAAACGTCTAAACACTACAAAGCGAACCCCCGAAACTGTAAACCACACAAAGCGAACCGTCTCTAGTCACCCTTACTGTACAATCTCCTTCCTCGTCCTGTTCTCGCTCTGTTTTGCTCTAGCGTTCCGTGGTACTATACCCATGTTGGCTGTCTTCTGGCAACTGACAAAAATACCCGGAATACGATTCGCTCTCTGCCGCTTTCATGCCCTTCGGCGTTCGTCTGCCTCGCCCTATGCCTGTTGCTGCCTGTTCTATCGAGGCCTTAATGCTCGATACTTATCACGTAGTAAAGTATTGTGCGTCTTCCCGTCGTCACACTACTTACCTGGCGTCGATTATCTCCCACTACTCCCGCAACAGCTGGCTGCGCGCGCATCGGGCGTCTTCTTGGCGTACGATGTCGCCATTCTTCCTCCGTATTTCAAACATCATTGCGATGAGATGTGCTAGCAGCACTTGCACAGGGAGAGCGTCAGACCCAGGGTCGACATCGCGCCTGCGTGCATTCAACGTCATGACTGTGGTTAGGGTTGGCGTTAGTGAAGCGCCCAGTGAGGGTGGCCGACGCTTTCCATCTAGCGACCACCACCCTTTCCACGACGTATACTTGGTAATACTGTTCATTGCCACTAGAAATTTCCATATGTGCTAGGTCTCCTTCCACTATGCCGCAACCTCAAAACAAGTCCCTGTTAATATCTCTTCCTGAACTGCTACGCTCATCGCGCCAGCGATCTCAGGCTGCACCCGCCGTCGAGTTCCCGATGACCTCGCTCGCCGTGCAAAGCACCTAAATGAGCCATGAAAACGGTGAGCACATCTTGACACGAGACATTGTATCGGAGCACGCACCTCTCCGACACCGATGTTGGTGCACTGCGCGTTGACGTTCGGGTTGTTCGCCAGCAGAATGTCCAGCGTAGTCTTCGCCTCCTGCGCAATCACGCCGCAGCTGTCTCCGGGCTGGACAACGTGCGTGATGTCGCAGTCCTGGCCGATTATGCCAAGGCACAGCGGCTGAGAGAAAACCCTGGTCAGCGGCTGCGTCATAAAATAGCCGGGAAGAAGTTGACCTCGCCGACGGCCAGATTGTCGCATGCGGCGTCGATCTTGTCTGCGTTCACCGTCTCGAGCTGGAAGCTGTCAACGCTCTCGTGAGTCCTTCATCACGACCAGATACTGGTGCAGGGCACTGACGTGGGCGTGTTCGTCTTCGCCGCGATGCCGTCGCAGGTGTCGCCAGGCACGACCGTGTAGTTACGCGCACAGTTGGGCTCCTGAGCGGACACTGTCGAACACCAATCATTCGTCAGTGTCCGTCGCCGTACACATGCAGCTCGCGGTCACTCTCACCTCCGCCAACGAGGGCAACGGCGACGACAACAGCAACAGCGAATGCAGAGCGGGCGAACATGTCGACTGGTGGATAGAGGTGCGTTAGAAGGAAATGCTCGAGAGGATGAGAGCAGTGAGGTTCAGCCCCCTCCTCGCGCCCTTCTTATACGTGTCGAGGAGGGCGCCATGCGTATACCGCCCGCCCGCCACGGCTGCTGCGTTCGTCCAGAATGACTCGCCGTGGGCTGTATCTGTATTGCGGATGCGCACACGTCCTTGGTTCTCTCGGCCAACGTGACTGCGAGCAGCACAACAACGTCCGAGCGCGGTGATGAACCACGTCGGACGATGGCTGTGCAAGGGGCGGCGATCCCGTTTGGGACCGCCGCGCCCGCTGGACAGACTCTAGGCGCTGATGGAGACGTCCGCAAAAAGGCCCGCAGCGCCAGTCGGCGGGACCGAGGCTATTCATGGCCAGGGCCGCGTTCTGTGTTTCGGCGGCTTGTCTACACGAGGGCTTGTTATGCCGCTGCATGCAGTGCCGAGTCATTTGGCGGCGGTGTGTCCTGACAGCTGCGGTGCTGGATACTTCATACAGGTCGTTCATAAAACTCGACTCAACCGTCCTGCATAGGACGATGCGGCGCTTTCAGCCGGAGCCACCTGAAGAACCCCAATTGGGAGTGCGTGCATATTTGTCGCAGACAAGGTACGATTTTGCGAATTTCTCCATCGAGCTGATGTGTCTGAATGCATATGGTGACTCGCGAGTCAGGAAGACGGCTACTACTGGCATGCTCAAAAGGATGCAGAGTACCGAGTCAGATAGCAGCAGTGAGGATGGCCTGTTCTGACATATACGAACTGTTTGCGGGACCCCGCTGAACTGTCTTCCGCAGGCCGACATGACTTTTTTTTTACCAGCCCCATCGGGTGAACGTCCAATCGAGCGCAAATGCGGAAGCGTGTCCCAGGAATTTGCGGTGGGTTTGTTATACCACCTCCTTTGCCGGGTCATATCCAATTTACCAAGGCTAGAATCAGGCAGGCAGGCAGGCACCACGCTCAGAACGGTGACTCCAAGGGACATCCTTGACGCTTAACCCCCTTCCCTATCGGCGTGTAATCCGTCGTACCATTTGTGGTGCTAAATGTACGGATGCTTCTGTAAACAATACGATAGGATGCGAAACTGCCACAACGTGCCCGGGGTCACGACTACACGAGGGGTACACGTGTTGGAGCATTATCGCACCCTCTAATTCCAGGCGGCAGTCTCAATATCGAGATATCAAGGTATATTCGACTCATGATCATGCGCTTCTCGCTGAAGTTTGTGAGCGGCACAGACAAGGATTTCTCGTTGTGCGTTAGCGGGATCTGCGTTTTCGTGAAGTGGTGTTTGTTGAGATATACAATGTGAGCCGCCCGTTGTAGATATCCTGCTGCGTATCCCTGACATGTACAGTCGTATATCCAGCGGCAATCGTTTCTTCCCGTACACGCCCAGGATGACTAACTTCAGACCTACGAAGGATGGCGATATCTACCTATTCAACCATGCAGCCCCCGCCCGTGCTGGATATCATATGAGGCTCAGGGGTGGTATATAGAACCTGGCCGTGATGCGCTTGAAGTTGCACATCATCCCCCTCCTCCAACAGAAACTCATAGCGCAATGGCCATCCCACAAGATCGCGCGCAGCTCGAGATCTTCAGTCCTGAGCCCCGCCTGTTCCTAGTAAGTACTTCGCCAACGTCTCGTCTGTACGGAGGCTTACGGCTTCAAACGCACAGGACGATGACTCCGCGTTCCCCGAGGGAACCGTCATAACGGAAGGCGAAGGAAGCACCATACATACTACCTACGTCAAGCAAATCGACGGGCACTGGATTGTTCAATCCCCCGGCAACCAAAACCAGGGGATGACGAACCTCCACCTCGCAGTACGTACAGTGTTCTTTCAGCAACGTAGCATACACGTCTGGTTTGCTCACGGGGGTGAATGTCAGGACATCCAGTTGCAGGTTGGCGCAATCGCCACGATTTTCGACATGAACTCGGGCAGGATGATCGAGTACATGATGGGCTTGGACGGCATATGGAAGCTCGCCCCCGCGTACAACTTGAACGCTGCGTTGGACGGCGCGAACCCCGGTCCAGGCCCGGGCGGCCCTCCCAGAGTCGAGGTAAATGCCCTGCATAATACATCTCCCAGCACGAAGACGGTGCTCACATGTGTACCTGGTTGTAGGTTCTCAGCAGAGACGCATACCAGACTCAACAGCCGATAGAATGCGTTCCTGTAGTCAAGTATCAGTGCACGAGCCTGTCTGAGGTCCTGCGAAGCAAGGGGGCCTGCGTCAACGACGCAGAACGCGCCGCATATGACGGCGAGAAGGTGACGCGCGACAAAATGTCTTTGCGCCTCGAGGTGCGTACGCAGGTGTCATGAGCGCAGGGAAGGCGATGCTAACGCTCTCTTGCGCACCAGCTCCCGAATCTGAAGTACAGCGGCGCCCAGTTGACGGTAAAGTCCGGGTCGGTCATAACGCGTGGACAACTCGCCTTGTACATCGCCCAGCAGATATTCATCCTTATGGTAACGCGTACGCCCTTTTTCTGGTGTCCACATCACTGACATCGGGATTGGGCCGGCAGGAGAATGCCCTCAAGCTCGAGCGCAAGCATTTGACCCTTCAGGATCGAATGACCAGGGTCCATTTTGAGCAGCTGGTGCTGATGGACGTCGTCCTCACCTCGAAGGACAGCTGCCAGCCGACGATTGGGGTGCTTTGCGGGTAGTGGGTTTTTCCAGTTTAATATTTTGCTGTTGTATGATATTACGCTTGTCGAGTCGTGGCGTAGCGATTGGAGCTTTGCTTTCCGTGTGAAAAACGACGCCCTGCAGCAACGCGTGACATGCCATTGATTGCGAACCCAGGCTGCTTTACAGACCAGCATCACCGTCCGCCGCTCAGCACTTTCCACCATCCTTATGAAAGAAAAGACCCGACAAGCCCACTGCACCGCCAAAAAAGGCAGCACACATCACCCCGCCACGCGCAATGCGACGGCAAACACGTACTAGTAGGCGTGCTCTCAGCGAATCCCCCAAAAGCGACCACATCCGAGCAGATGAACGGCGTGCCCTCGGTCGCCCTATTCCCGTTCCCGAACGGCTAACAGGTATCCGAGTCCCGCGTCAGCACAAGACGCAGTCGGACTGAAGAGCCGACTTACCCCAACGGTGCGCGTGGTCCCCTTCGCGGTGTCGAAGATGACGAAGCCGATGTTGTTCACCATCTCGCGCTGGTAGTAGCTCTGCCGACCCGCGCGCCCGAGCACGCTCGCGAGGACCTCGTCCGCTGTGCACCCAAGTGAGGCGTATCAGCGACATCTGCCTGTACCCCTGGATGCAGCACGCACCGTTGAAGTCGATGGCGGTCGCGGCACTGCCGAACTGGCTGCCGTGCTCGAGCGTCGCGGTCTTGCCGTCGCTGAGGTTGTACGTGATGGAGATACCGTCGATCTGGCGGCGCGTACAATTCAGTATCAGGATCGCCACGGTGAAAGGACTGAGGGAGGGGGCGTACGATCCATCCGCAGGAGACGGTGATGCGCTTGATAGGGCGGGCCATGTTGAGCTTGTCCTTCTCTGTGACGCCATATATTAGTGATGTTTATCAGTCTCATGCAAAATTCCTCTGGGACACGCTGGAGTCGTTTATGACGATGTTTCCTGCGACAGTACAAGGTGTGAGTACATGGGCGCCCCGTACGGCAGACCGTTCTACGGGTGTGTGCTCAGGGTCGGCGCCGCACATGTACACATCTTGGAAGACTTGGCCTTGAACACCGCCAACAGGGGAGGTAGTGGAGAAGCTTTGCATAGTGGAAAAGGCGGTGGAAGGGGGCGATGGGCTGAGGTTGAGAGGGGCTTTGAGGGTTCGTTGTTGCGCCGGTCATACCTCTTATAAGCGGCGTCCCCGAGGCTCACAGAGGCCTGTCGACTTCTGCCGAGTGATACGACCCCAGGACACAGGTCACGGGACACCCATGAGCACATACGCAGCGCACGAATTTCCTCCAGAGTGTTTTCCATGAATGCTTGCTCCAACAAGTGCCGCGGTAGACGGCCGCGGTATGTAATCGAATGTCGGCATACGTCTGGAAACTGAAGGTGGACACGTAACTGGGCGGTCTCGTGCTTTGTCTTCAGGGGGAAGACGGTTGAGCTGTCCAGCGGCGAAGCACGATTTGGTGCTTTATGGGAGACCGCGTGGATGGACGCCGCCGTGCGGGCTTTACTTGCAAGTGCGAGTGTTGACGCGGTGCCCTGGGCGACCAGGTCGACGGGGTCTGCAGAGCGCGGGTCCTGCGGAGTAACGTTGACGCATCTACTCGAATTGTCGCTCATGTGATTAAGCGATGTAACTGGCGGCGTAACGGCGAATTCCAACGATGTTTCCGTCACTGTAGAGATGACTCTCAACATATGGGATTGACAGGATGAATGCAGAGAAACTGTCAACGTACTGGTATTGGAGTCAACAATTTCGCTGTGAGCAAAACGGCTACCACCGCTCGCGAGCTTGGGCAGGACTTGCCTCGAGTCGTTGACGGAGCATTCATTAGAGAACCGAACTCGATATTCACGAGGTCACGGGTATGTTCTCCGCACACTGGCAGGGCGTGCAGTCCCAATGCATACCGAGTCTTGCCAACATGCGCACTCCGTAATGGCGGGATGAGACGTAATCCTGAGTGTACGCAAGTACCCTAGCGGCGTACATATCATACTGGGGCCATTCGTCCTCGAATCGTGCGGTTATCAGGGAAAGGGGGCTCTGCAGCGAGCTCGGTCAGTAGCAGGTGAACAGGACGAGAAATCTGAAAGAGCCTGCGGCCGCACGAATGCAACGATAAGCGCTTGCGTGGCCGCTGGCACAACGCGTGACATGCCGTTCACGTGCTTTGGACACGCGTCTCGTCACACGAGCCGGATCGCGTCATTGAGTGAGGGTTTCGTCTTGACTCACGCCGTGCAAACGTCTTTGCGGTCTCTCTGGCGGTGTACCTTGTAAGTGCGTTAATATTTTCCGCTTCTCCCTCTCAAATGCTCTCCTTAGACACTCGCGCACACGGCGGCGGCCTGCGGTACTCAGGAGGACTTTTTTCCGCTCCAAACGATCCGACAAGTCGGACAACCCGCTCACTCTGTCAGGGACTCTGCAACCGTGTCCTCTCCGAAGGGAATCAGTCGAGACACTCCCCTTACAATAACACCAGACGTACCGCTCCTATGGCGTCGCTCCCCACTGTACGCCGACCACCTGGCAGCGCCGTGCGGCCTCTAAGCCAGAAGTATATCCCTCGTCGATATCGGCTCCACCGGCTCCGCCCAGATGGCCCGCACCCCTCGCTGCCTTTCAATCCTCTTGCCGCGCTTCGTATACCGTCCCGAGGGGCGTGCGTTCAATCGTAATTCCCGAACGCCGTGGACCCCTTGTGACCTGCAGCACCAACCGCAATCACCGCATTACGCACGCCATCGCGCTGCCCTCGCACATCCGCGGCGTTGACCGTACATATGACAGCAGCGGGCGCAGGGTAGGAAGTTCTCTTCGCGGAACTTCCTACCCTGCCGATGTAGTACGCGACAGCTTGAACAGGGTGGAAGCGTCTACATTCATATTGGGTCCTATGTTTGGTTCGTAGATGGTCCCGGACCGAATCATAATAGTAGTAAGGCTAAATCATCGTGAGAGTGAATACATATTGTTATAGATGTACTACTTTCTATCCTATCGGGCCCTGAACGTGGACAGAGAAGCCGTTTCCCGCGCAGGAGCCCCGCCTTCGGTGAACAACCCTCTTACATATACAAGTCGATACTGGAGGCTTGATCCTGCGGATATCGGGTTCGCACTTCGAGCCGCGCCCTCCCTTTACGGGGGTCCTAGGCCCCAGAAGGTTGAGGTCTTGCAGACTCAACGCCGTGAGTGACTCGAGGGCTTGCTTTCCGGGTGTTGCGCGCCGCTAGTACGCGATCGCGGTGATGTCGGTCAATTGACGAATACGATACCTAGACACCATTTTTCTCCAGTGTGTTGCGCCACGGTCGGACTCCGAAATAACGACTAGCAGTAGGATGTGAGGAATACGGGTGAGAGCGTGATATCGAAGTTACGCCACAGGCCTCTGAGATATCCGAAGACTACCGTAGCGGGCTCCGGGCTGACTCGGAAGCCTCCCTGTCTTCACGAGCGATGCGAGCGTGCGTGGGGGGGATTCTGGGGGAGATGAAGCTGGAAGTGGGTGGGAATGGAAGTGGAGGGGATGTGTCCCTGGGCGCTGTCTGCACGTGAATGCCAGAAGAATTCACGAAGCCTTCCGCGCAAAGTCGCCGGCGGTGTCGACACCTGCTCCGCAGTCGTAAAGAAGCGCCAAGGACCACTGTGAGTGGACTCCGCAGCGGCGGTGGCGAAGAAGCTCTTCGCTATGATAGCTCGTAAGGTGAGCACCGATGGGATCCCGGGGTGGTAGGATGACGTTACAAGATCCAGAGGTCGGACACTCCCAAGCACCGTGGCTTGTAGCACCGGGACAGCCTGCTCCATGCGGGGTGGGGTATATGGGGGTTGCCACAAATGAACCGTACATGCGCGGGGCAAGCTCTGCCGCCGTCCGAAAGGAGGCGCCAAGTTGCATATGCTCGAGCTCTTCCTCGACGCCGTAGCAGTCGTATGCACCGTCCTTGTCCTTGTCCTCGAAACCGTGAGAGCGCGATCCCTCGCCGTCCTGTGGAGCCGCCTTCTTGTTTCATCGACCCCGTGCTTAGCTGCCATATGATCCTTCGAGGCCTTCCGGTCTTCCACTCTCAACGAGCAGCCCTCCCACCTGCAGGTGAACGGCACGTCGTTCTGCGCGTTTGGGGCACGACGTCTCACAGGAGGCTTCACCGTGGGTTCCGGCTGGGTGTGGCGCGCGTGCGCGTCGTACAGCGCGAGGGCCCAGGGGCGGGGGTGGCTGAAGGGGGGGAGCACACGGTTGCAGGCGAGCGAGGGAGCGTGGGAGCGCGCGGACGTGCCGGGATGGCTGGGGAGGAGGCCGTAGGCGGGAACGAGGCGTCCGACGAGGAGGAGAAGGAGAAGGAGGATAGGTCCGAGACGGCGGGAGAGGAAGGTGGTCCCTCAACGTCGGACATACGGATGTCCGTGCTGAGGTCATAGTTGAGCTCGGTGGATACGAAGATGAGCACCGCAGACGTACCGGAGAGCGCTTTGGTGGAACAGCTCCCAATCGTCCTCCACCACCGCAAGACGCCCGCTGCTGAACTCCCCATCGAAGGTGCTATACGCGCCTGAGAGTCAGCACAGCGTCGACAATCGTGTTGAAGGTCCGCAAGTGGACGAACAACTCACAGGGGGCGCCAAGAGCCTGATAGCGCACGCCCACAATGAGCAGCGCATGGGGACACACTTGGAGTGGGCACATCGCATACAGCTTTCCCGTGGTACCAAGGTACTCTTCGAGTCACTCCAGGTTGGCGGAGGTGATGGCGATTCCGGGAACCACGACTGTCTTCCTGCACACATCAAGTGTTTGAACAGGGCGGTGAGGTCAGAGAAGCCGTCCTTCGTCTTCGGGTCCCGCCTAGCCTTGCAGTCCCCCACCCACTTGCACACCTGGCGCCCCTTCACATGGTCCACTGCCGTGACGTCCGGCCAGTGTTTCGCGAGAAGGTGCTTGCGGTAATCACCGGCCACAATTCCAGTGTCGCAGCCCTCCCACTCCGCCTCGTTCTCCACGCGTGCCGGCGTCGCACGCGACTTCTTCTCCTTGGTGGCAAGCGCGTCTGGCTCAGGCGCAGCCTTACGCTTCCCTAGCGCCTTGGCAGACGTGGAATGTAGCGCAGTAGGTAATAGGTCATTCATGTTTTCCAGAGCGCACTGGAGATAAGGTGGCTCCCCATGGAGAAGTACGAGTGCGGCAGCGAGGGAGCACAAGATTCTGCATGACGGCATGGTCGATTGCCTGTTCTCGGAGGTAGGATACTGGCCAAAAATTGATGGGGGATGATGATGCAGGGGATGTAAGTGCAGAGTTAGTCCTCGCCAGAGGCAGTACTTATAGGAGTCTCACCTGCAAAGAGTGGATATGAGATGTCACCACCGGGGTTTCAAACCCCTTGGTGACACGGAGAACGACGCGTAGAATCAAGTGTTTGTCCCCCTGGTTGCGTTTCCTGTGAACTCAAGAAAGTAAACATGCGCTTTGAAGTGAAGCGCAAAGATGAAATATTCTCGTTGCGCAAGCGTCTGATTTTGAGCACACCATCGTGGACGTCGTCATTCAAGTTTTAAGAGCGATTGGGAGCTGTGCTCAAAGAGCGATGGTGTGATGCATCACACCCGTATCGGAAGGTCTTTGGGGCTAGAAAGTGTTCTTGACAGCATTTGCATGACTCCGTTTCCCTACGCACCAGGGGCGTAATCAAGGAAACAAGATCGTCCTGGTGCCGTACATATTTCCGCAGACGCGGACTGATCGGGCGGCTCCGACTCGTCTTGGTGCCGCCTTGCGGCACCGGCATAAGGACAACAAAAGGTCATAACGGAATATCTATGACATGAATTGCATCAGTTTAGAGTGCCAAGAGTTAGCCGTACCACGAGATTGAGCGTACCTTCGCTGTCGAGGTTGAAGCACGATGAGTGCACCGACCAACCCCCAATATTAGCGCCCAATGCGTCTATTTCCCGCCACCACTCCCACGTGGCTACCTTCGCGGCGCTAGCTAAGCTTTGCCACTTCGTCTTGCCATCGTGCGCTGCTCTACATACCGCCAGAAGTACGAAGGTACATTTTCCAGGGCATTTTCCCATCAGTGATACTATCTTAACTCCTATTGATAATTTATATGATGTCTAGAATGCAAGACCATTCGACAGTTTGCCCCTACTCAGAACTCGCCTCGAATCTCGATGAGCGTCGGCGAGAGACTCCAAGGATGACTAGTGCAGAGATGTTTTAGACTTGGCGGCGCACTCAATCCTGGACCGATTTGAGGCAGTAAGGAAGATCTGCCCCTCGCATACCAGCCATTCGACCCACGCGATGCCCAGCGTAGATGGAATCGAGCTCCTGACGAAGCGCAAACACAAGGTTGTCTCTCATTCCCAGTGCAGCCCCCATCATCTGATATCCTTCTCATACACAGTTCCACGCTCGCACTCGGTCAGCGTCGAAAAAATCTTCGGTCGAAGGCAGTATCTGTCCCATGACGAGGTGGATTGCCAAGTTTGAGTCCAGGGGTCGCAGACCGCATGACTTCAGGACATCGTGGTCAGAGGCAAGCAAGTTGCCGACCGTAGATGATTGGAACAAGAGATGCCTTTCTATTCGTGCTGACGCCCCTGAGGACTACCACATCGGGAGTCGCACTAGCCTCTCACGTATGGAACGCGCAGCCTCGACATAACTTTCTTAGTCAAGAGAAGTCAGAGAACCCATCCTTAGTCAAAGTTGAGTTCGCACGCAAGTTCTACTCACGGATGTCATTTTGTCTCAGGATCAGGGCTCAGTGGTACGTATAAAAGCGATGTCTCATACCTTCCCCGCCGTTGTCAGCATCCACCGACTATGCCGAACGACCACCTGCCAGTAACCAACCCCGGTGCTGAGCTGGCACCCCTCCTCGCGGCTGTTCCGCCCGCCATGGAGTCGATGCTCCCCGACGTCAACGCTACGCGAGCTTGGTTCGACGTCAATCTCATAGACGCCATACACCGTGACCAAAAACCGCACCTACCTCCCGGTATGTGAGGTGCACATGTGAGCGTATGCCGCGCCTGCTAAACTTCGCATTGCCTTCAGAGACGGCCTACACCTCGAAGGACCACACGTTGGCTGTCGAGGGCAGCGAGATCACCGTGCGCAGCTACGTGCCTGCGTCGGCTACGGACGACACATGCTTCCCAATGCTGTTTTGGACACATGGCGGAGGTAAACGCCGCCGTCGCATTTGTCATCTCACTGCGCTAAGAATCTGCACTATAGGTTGGGTTATCGGTAACCTCGAGATGGACGATTATTACCTCAAGATCCTCAGCGTCGAGCTGCAGCTGGTGATAGTTAGTCCTGACTACAGGTTAGTCCGATCGCGTGCGCCGCGCCGCATTGGTCACGTATACTCATCCTACCGAGACTCGCCCCGGAATACCCTTTCCCGACGGGCGTAGACGATGCGTTCGCGGCCTTAAAATGGGTGAGTTTTTATAACAGCGCTATGTACACCTACTCTAACATACTACCAGGCCAAGCAGAACGCTGAAACCTTCAACGCCGACCTCCGCAAGGGCTTCCTCGTAGGAGGGCCATCTGCAGGAGGGAACCTCGCCGCCGTCCTCGCTCATCGCGCCAAGGACGACCCGGAGCTCGCCCAATACCCACTGACTGGACAGATTATGCAGTACCCAGCCACAGTGCACCCCGATGCGGTTCCCGAAGAGTACCGCTACGATCTGTTCTTCGATATCGCATGGCTACGCTAATCTAAGCAATGCATAGGTACAAGGAGAAGTACACCGCATATGGGGAAATGACGGACGTCAACATCCTCCCCACGCGTTTCATGCACGAGTTCTTCCGTGCGTCTCCCCATCTACGTCGACCGGCTCGATCAATCCGACTGACAATCTCAGTAGAGCTGCTGCAGGGCCCTCCTACAGACCCAGACGTATCGCCACTCCTGAATGCTTCCTTTAAGGGTCTTCCACCCGCCCTGGTGCAAGTATGCGGCATGGACCCGCTCCGCGACGACGGGCTTCTCTATGCAGAGAGGCTGACGAAGGCCGGCGTGCCCACAAGGCTGCACGTGTGAGTACCAGCATGCGCATGCGACGCGGCCCGCTCATGAACTTGAACGGTGTGCGGCAGTTATCCGGACGCGCCGCACGGATTCCACCTTATCTTCCAACATACGAAGATTGCGCAGACATTTGAAGAAGACTTGAAGGCTGCACTGCGCTGGATGCTGGCGGGTGCGCCGAGCGACGGACAAGAAGCGGCGCCGATGCGACCGACATAGTTCCATATTTTTGAGTATCCGAAAGGCTGAAATTCGCAGCCGTATGAGATACCCCGCAACAGGCATCCCCAGTTGTTTGCTTTCTTCGTCTCCTTCCCAGTACATGAATGAATCATCGATACAGATCTCACTGGCATACCAACTAGTCCAGCTGCGAGTACCATGCGCGCCCCGTCGCTCACCAGCCATGGCCCTCCAACCACCCACGCAAGGCATCATTCACCTCGTCAGCGCGTTCGAGATGAGGCCAGTGGCCGCTCTCTACGTCATAGTACTCGACCTCCGCCCCGTACTTCTCCATGAAAGTTTTTGCCGCCTGAGGCGTGCACACATAGTCTTTCAGCGCGAGGAAGACAACTGAAGGCGCTTTCAGCTTCCATGCCTCTTTGGGAATTCCTGGGATTACGACCACCGTGAGAGACCGCTATGCTTGATGAGAGCAAGCCATACGTACTGAGACTATCCTGCAGGTTGACATTCTCCACCTGTGCGCGGTACCAATTTACGGAGGACTGGATCCCGTTCGCGAGTAGTGCGTCGCGGAGAGCTGTGTATTCCTGCGGAGATGTCTGAGCACAACCTGACGGCATATCGCATGAAAGGGAGATCACTCAGACCTGGTACTCGAGGTAGGACGGTCGTCCAAGCTGCACGTTCCCTTCAACGAATTCCGCAAACTTTCCGCGCTGCACCAGGTAGATACGCCAGTTCTCCGCGTCCTCCGTATACGCGATCTGGAGGAAGCTGTCGACCTATATGGCTGTTACTCATTTGCATGGACCCATCGGTGAAGCCCGACTTACGTGCTTCTGAACGACGCTGCTGGCATTGTCCCTTAACAGGAACTGCCAGTACGCGAAAGCTTCGTACCCGAGCACCTCTTTAGTACGCGCCAGCTCTTTCTCGAGATCGAAGTGAGTGGTGATGGGCTCCGAGAACGCGACCGCGAGCCACCCATGCGCGAGGAACGCATCGGGGTAAAGGACAGCAAGGCGGGAATGGAGCGGCGAGCCCCTGGGCCATGTTAGAGTCAGTCCGGACGTGCAGACATACGGTATGTAGATAGACTCACCAATCGTGGCTTATTCCGACCACCTTGTCGACTCCTTCGACCGCAAGGATGTCCATGATGTCGCGCGCCATGGCGTTCATTCTAAACGCTTGAGCATCCAAGGGCTTGGCGGTACCTCCGGCTCCCAAGAGGTCTGGAGCTAAAATACCGTATCCCAGCGGTTGGAAGTAGGCGACCTGCTTGTGCCAGTCGTAGGCGGTCGACGGAAAGCCGTGCAAGAGGAGCAGAGCGGGCTTTCCTAGGGCCGGTGGAGACCAGTAGTACCGGTATGTGAGGCCTCGTTGGACGAGTACTTCTTTGTATAGGGTCAGATTCATGGTTGGAGCGTGGACTGGGAACCTGTATTCTAAGGAACAACGCTGCCGGTGTTATATGGTGTCGCTTGAGACTGCATCTGCGACGATGAGGTAAATGCGGGATTACGGGTCGTGCTGTCATATACGCGCTGTCAGAACATCGTAAACGAGAGATCGTGAAAGCTTCGGGCTTCGGGCTCAGCTGGTTGGCTTGACTGTTGAGAATTCTTGGTATGCGACGCTATGAGTGTACGAGGTCTCGCCAATTGCATGGAAATCACGGCGATGATGACACTCCGCCTCTTGCGGCCAGATCAATTCTCACGACGGTAGCCTGCGCCAGTCGAGCGTGGATAACGGCCAGGCAGACCGGAAGGTGGGCGCCGCCACTTAGTAGCGCTGCATGACTTCAAAGCAATCAGTGACCGAGCCCGAGCCTGCAAGTACAGAAGACAACACTTACCAAATTTCTCCAAGTCCCATCATCCCGTATACACGTCAGCTTCGGTGGATCTCTGGGATGCCTCGGCCATGATGATTGGCCATTGGCATAGGATATCGTACCCTCGCTCAATATATGACCTCGCGCAGCGGTAATAACATGCCGACCCTCCTTCTCGATTCAAGATATGGTCCGAGTCGTACGTCATGTCCTGGTACACCAGTATCTTGAGGACCCACATCACAGTTCCTCCCTCGCCAGCCACCGGTTCGCAAGAGCCAACGAACGGACCGGCTGGTCGTATGGCGCCTACATAACGTCAAGATCCAGGTTAGCACAAGGGGACTACTCATACTCGCGTGTTTATCATGAGGACGCACCAGATGCCCAGCGTCCGCGATCGTCGCGAAGGTCAACCCACCACCGCTCCTAGTCAACCCCGCCGCCACCCCATCGACAAACCACTCCCGTAGCGGCTGCGCCCTGAACGCCCCGTTCCCGGTCCACTCCAGACTGCGCGTCATGCGGTCGTTTCCAATCTAGCCGAACGTCGGTGAGCACCCAGATACCCGAGTCATTCAACAACATTCCCCGGACGCACCCAGTTAGCGACCCAGTCGTTCGAGCCGACGTACACGAGCACGCGCACGCCGCGCTCGAGGAGCGCCGCGAGGTAGTGGTCCGCGCGGTAGCTGTACAAGTCGAGGCCTGCGATGAACTCGAGGCTCACGCGCCAGGAGTTGATGCTGAAGTTGCCGCGCACGGCAGGGTCGACGCCGATCGCATCTTGCACGGCCGGGAGGCTTAGGTAGCTCTGAATGTCGCTGGAGGTAGGACTTAGATAGGCTAAAAGGGGTGCGCGGGGGTGCTGCGAACCTGATTTCGGGGTAACAGCCGTCAGGAGCGCCGGAGCTGCAAGAGGTGATAGTGCGTCAGGAACCATTTCCTGAAGGCTAAGGGCGAGCGTTGTTGCGCCACTCACCATGGTCGTGCACGGTCGTACGGGTTACGCGTGGGGTTCTCGCCTAAGGTTTCGTCAGCGGGCTACTAGCAGAAGCTGGGAGAATTTCTGGTACTCACCCACATACACGTCCCCAAGCTGCCAACAGAAATTGGAGGCCGCGGCACAGTCGATTCTGTCAAACTGATCGATGCAAGCCGCCTGCATACGCTTCTGGCATCGAGGGACCTGCGAGGCGTGATCAGTTGACGTGTTCAGACTGAGAGACATGGGCTAGTGCTAACGAGTTGCTTCAGGTATACGCAAGTGCTGAGGGCACGGTAAATTAGAGTTGAGAGTCACTGTAGTGATATAGCAACGACTTACGCGATATCGTCGACGGGAGGATAGATGGGGTCGGCGCATCGTGCGTCGTACCACGAAAGTATTAAAGACAACCACTCTGTCCCTCCATTTCCTATCGCGGTATAACGAAAGAAGTCAGACTCTGGTAGTGGAAAGTATGAACGAGTGAATTATGGCTTACCGATCATGACGGACGAGAGGTTCACGGGGGCTACTCCGCGCTCCACTAGCTTTGCGTTTTGGTCGTAGATCGCAGACGCATATACAGGCAGGTAACGACCCTGAGATTCTGTTGTAAGTGACTTTGCGCACAGGGACACATTGATAAAGACAGACCGCGTAAGACTCTCCTGCGAGATGAAGTGGCCTTCCCTTGAATTTCGTGAAGTGTTCGAAGAAGATGGCGATGAAGGCCGCGATGTCTTTAGATGCGTCGATGGTGTTGTCCTATTTTCTTGACGCATTAGTAACCACAGAATATAGCCTCCCGTACGGAGCGCCGCGGAGGAGGGAAGAGACACTCACGACGCTCTCCCCGTACTCCGCGTAGGAGAAGCCCACGCCAACGGGCTGGTCGATGAAGAACACGTTCGCGTGCTTGGTCCAGGAGTACTCAAACGGAACGGTGGCGTTTGGACCGTTTATCCTACACGGGCCTAGGTGATGTCAGTCAGTTTTATTCTATGCCTTCACGTATCGGAGTAAAGCTTCGTACCGAGTTCCATGAAGAGTCCATATGAAGACGATGAACCCGGACCGCCATTGGTCCAAAACACGACATCATCGGTGTCGGGGTCCCCTCTGCTCTCAAAGAAGTAGAAGAACAGATGGCGCGCTTCCACATCGATGTAACCAGTGTATGCCCTGCGTGTTCAGTTGCATCAAGTTATAGCGGTCAAAGCGCGGGAAAGAAGGAGCCCTTACCTGACGGACTCGTCGCAGAAATGCGACTGCTTGACACGTACACTGTGACGAGGGAACGCGGGATGGGCAAGCGTCGTGAACTCAGATGCGGTGAGCGCGCCGAGCTCCCCCACTGGTGTAAACATGCCCGCGTTGTACTCCGTGTATGGAGTGGTTGGATTAGAATCCTGCACCGACAACACGGGCCATGGTAGCGGTTGAGATAAATGTTGTCCGGAGACTGCGCCCGAAACCGTGACAACCGCGGTCAGAGCCAGTCCGAAGAAGGCAGCGAGTGAGTAGGCCATAATGCAAGCAGCTAAGTGCAGTGCTGATGTCTAGCTTTATGGGCGAGTCAACCAGCTACGGCGCAATGCCTTGTTGCGGGCGCAGCAGTGAGAGTGAACGGTCGCACGCGGTAGCCGCTGCGCTCCACCAAATGGCTGGAGATGACAAGTTGACTCGCTTCGGGACCGGCATGAGCGCCAGCAGAACCTTAACCCAGCACATACTGAAAGACATTCGATGACCACAACGCAAGGAGTGTACTCCCCAAGAATCCCCATGTTTCAACACGACACACAATATCCTACAAATCTTGCCACCCTGCTTTTATCAAAGAGTTATCAGAGAGAAGTTCCCTCAAACCACCTCTTTGCCAGCTCCAACGACTGGACCGGTCGGTCAAGCGGTGCCTGCATAGTATGATAATTCAGCAAATTGAAGGCACAGCGAAATGTCTGGGATACACGCACAAAATGTCCCGCACCGTCGATGGTCGCGAACGTCAGCCCCCCACCACTCCTGGTCACGCCCGCAACCTCCCGATCGACAAGCCACGGAACGAGAGACTGGTTCCGGAACGCCTCCTGCCGCGTCCACTCCAGCCCAAGCGTCATGCGCTCCGTTCCGATCTGGATCACAGGCCGAACGGTTCAGCACAGATCTCACACGCAGAAGGACGCGGAAGGACGAGGCGGGTACACACCCAGTTGCAGATGTAGTCTGCCGCGCCGACGTACACGAGCGCGCGCACGCCGCGCTCGAGCAGTGCGGCCAGGTAGAACGGCGCGGGCCACGCGTACCAGTCGTAAGTCGTCTGGAACGCGTCGAACACCGCGCGCGACTCGTACTGGAACGGCCCGCGCTTCGCGGGGTCGACGCCCAGCAGGTCCTGCGTCGCGTTGCTGCTCAGGAAGTCGACCATGTGTCTGGAGGCGTGTGAGTTGGCAGGCTGCGTACGGGGCGAAGGGGGGGGGGGGAGCACGCACCCGATGATGGGGTAGCAGTCCTTGGTGCTTGCCATGCCCGTGCTGATACCGTTTTCAGTCACTCAATGTCATGTGTGGATAGCAAATCGTACGTACCAAGGCCGTGTCCGATCATAGTAGTTCTTGTTCGGATCTGGTGGGACGGCAGAAGTGAGTACGGAGATATCCGCTAGCTAGTATATTTAATCCGAGCACTCACTCTTGAAGTGGGCATCGGTTGCGGCTACACACACATTGAACGCGGCCCTGCAATCGATAGCGTCAAACCTGTCAAGACAGGAATCCTTGAAGCGTTGTTCGCATCGTGTCATCTGTCATGCGTGCGTCGTTATACTTCGAACAGTCCTCAGACTTGGGTGGCTCGGGCTCGAGTTTACCTGCTGTTTCAAGTGCACGCAAGAGCTACGAATCAAGGTATGGTCAACGCATCGCATTATCGGCAAATGATTGTAAGCTACGCACGAGATGTCGCTGATGGGAAGCCCCAGCGTGGAGTCGGCACACTGCGCGTCGTAGTAGGACAGAAGCATGGTCGAGAAGTCGGTGCATCCATTACCTATATCCAGCTTGTGAGCGATACAGCTCTATCCCCCATAACGATGCCTCCGAGTCAAACACAGACCTATCATGACGGATGTGAGGTTGATCGGTGCTACACCCGCAGCCGCGAGCTCCGCATTCTTGTCGTATATCGCGGATGCGAAGACGGGAATGTATCTGCCCTGGCGCCCATAGTTAATCACATATATGCCCTTTATCCCCAGGATGTCGAGGACGGACTCACCCCATACGACTCGCCAGCGAGGTGAAGCGGTCGCCTCTTGAACTTCGTGAAGTGCTCGAAGAAGATCACCATGAACGCGGCAATGTCATTTGCCGCCTCCTGCGTTGTCGTCTGGTTGCTCACGGAGATCGTGAACATCAGGCACCAAGTCTACGCCGCGGACAGCGGACGTACCACCGCCTCCCCGTACTCCGCGTACGAGTATCCGACGTCCACGGGCTGGTCGACGAAGAAGATGTTCGCGTACTCATTCCACGACCACGGGTTGCGCTCGGTGCTGTTCGTGCTCGTCACACGGCACGGACCTGATAACGGGACGAACACGCTCTCCTGGTCAACATGCTGCTCCCATAGCGCAAGCCAAAGATACTGTGCGCACCGAGTTCCGCGAACAGCCCAATAGCAGATGATCCCCCGGGACCGCCGTTCGTCCAAAACATGACATCGTCATTGTCGGGGTCACGCCTGCTCTCGAAGAAGTAGAAGAACAGGTGGCGCGCCTCGATGTCGATGTACCCGGTGTAAGCCCTGCACAGACATTGAAATATGCTCATGTCAGCGCTCGATTCTCAACATTCTCCGCTTAGGTACTGCGGAAAGTGATCTAGACTGACCTGACCTGCTCGTCGCAGAAATGCGACTGCTTCACGCGCACGCTGTGGCGGGGAAATGCCGGGTGGTCTAGGCGGGTGAAGGTAGTCGACGATAGTGACGAGAGGTTGCCGAGAGGGGTGAACAACCCCTCATCGTACGCACCATACGCTGCAGCACCACCTCCCGGCACTTGTAGAGGGGCCTGGAAGGTGTGTTGGCTGGTAGCGTGCAGCGCAAAAGATGCTCCGGCGAGCACTTGCGCCAAGACGGTGGTCAAGCGCATTACTTTCTGTGCGCAACCCGGCCCGTTTTACTGTGGTTGGTTGCGAAGGGGTCTCCGCGCACGATGGGCGGATAAGAAGGTCTTATTTAAAGGAGCCTTGACATGGGAAGATGTGGGGCCTTCTCCCAAAAAGTCCGCCCTTGCGCCGATGGTCCCGCATGTTCGCGGAGTGCCGATTTGCGTTTTTGTGTACCTGAGCCTAAACGCACTATCGCCTGTGGGTCCGAACCCGATGCAATGTCAATATTCCTGCTTGTCATCCTACTCGTCGAACACAGTTGTCCACGATGAGAACGTTACGCAACATACTACCTTCGAGAGCCTCGCGTTGCAGCGACAAGCTGCACGCGTAGTATGCGATTCCGGTGGCCTTTACCGCGCTAGTTGCTGCTCGCGCCGGATATCAGATCGCAGCTTGGGGGAAAGACGGGCGCATCATCCGCAGGCGATAGACGCGAACGCAAATACCGAGCTTGGAGGCTGCAGATTACACTGCAGTGTTGCTGGCGGCGACGCACCGCCGTCGGCTGCAGCCTACCTGAAGCCATGTTGGGTCCGTATCCATTTGAAGCATGACCGTGCACCAGTGAATAGCCTGGCGAGACAGCGACGAACGGCGCCGGCCTGCGTATACGACACTCGGAGCATAGCAGGGTATACAGTAACATCTAAGAGGTTCAATTAAGACAAGATATCTGCGCACGGAATCAGCACGCCCACATAGGACAGAACATTGAACGTGAATACGCACTATATGTAGCAATAATGGCCGAAGGCCCAGACCCCGATCCCTAAATCCAACATCCAGCTAGCCTCTCGCAGCAGAGACCAACGCACATCCACCCTCAACCCAATCCATATATCATGGACCGCGGCTCACAGCTCAGGCGAGCCCGTGGCACGGCTCAGGACCTTCGACCCAAACGAGCTCACGTTCTCGATCGACGCGTTGAGACCCCAGCTCGCAGCGTCCTTGAGGCGGAGGAGCGAGTCGGCTGCGCCCGCGGCGTCGCTGCCATAGAGGTAGTATTCGGCGCGTGCGTAGAGGAAGGAGAGGTGGTGCGGGAGGTAGAAGAAGCCGGCGAACGCGAGGGCGAGCAGGATTGCATACATCACGTACACTGGGGATGCGGGAAGCGGTGAGCATGCGGACCCTTCAAGGGGGAATCTAGTAGAGTTGAATGTGATACTCACTGACGATGAACCTCTCCCAGGGCTCCATCATGGAGAGTGCGAAAGTGGCCTCAATCCAGATGCGTCGCCGCCAGAAGAAACGGGCAATGGGGGAAGAGGGCTTGCCGTACGGACAGTGGAGACCGAACAGGATTTGTGGAATAGTCGCCTCGCGCCTCCACTCGTGATAAGACATAGCAGCAGTGTAGTATGCGGGGTCGGACACGGTGGAGGGAGGCATGCTGGTGTATGTATGGGATGGATGTGCTGACGGGGTCGTTATGAAGGTCGTTGGGCAGTAAAGTTCACAGAGAGCTGGCAGTCGTAGGGGTGAGTGCTGTCAGGACGAAAGAGAGAGATGGGCAAGAGATGGGGTTGTTGTGGGGGAGGACCTGGAGAAGGCGATGGTTAAATAAAATCGGCCGCGGTGACACCTTCCGGGCTCTGTATACTTACCCAGACTTATCCACGGCCCGTATCGGCGCCGGTTCCTTGTGCCCCATCAACCGCCAATCTTTGGGCTACTACCATGAGCGCCGGCCCCGGTGGCATATTCTAGGCCCCCGGCCGCAAGGCCGGTCTCGGCCTTCTCCTCTTCTCCGGAGCCCTCATCTCGCAAACGACGACGATCCCTTACCATCCCCCTTACACCCTTCGATCCTCCAGCCCACCTACGCATAGCTACGCCAGCGGGGACCCTATGATGTTGGTTATAACGTCGAATTGGTAGTACCTCTATCGCTCATCAAGCTCTCAACTGCGCAACCCTGCGTTCACGAAGATGACCCGTTGCACTCAGTCGACAATGCCACATCACGTCCTAATAGCGCGAGGGGCTTCCCAGCCGCACTGCGCGCACGTCAATACGTGACGCGCCACATCAGCACCAGGCAGGGCTCTAGGAAGAGCTACGCGTTTCGTGTCGTCACGCACAGGTTTCTCGAGCGCGGGCCTGCGCAGGCGCGACGGTTATTGGCAAATCGCTCCGGACCCGACGTGTCAGATAGAACCTGAAGATGCCAATGGTATGTGAGTGCATATCAAGTATGCTGGCCCCGAATGTGTCCTTGTAATGTCGTGCAGTCGTGTGCATGCTACAAGTACTGATAGGTTCGGGCAGGGATTTGGCCCACACACAGACATGAAAGGACGCATTGCTCTTCGAGCCTACGCATCATGGCTCAGCGCTCGGCTTCATCCACCATCCGCCGATTGTACAGGGAAAATCCGCTACCGCCGCGTGATGCTAAACGACAACGTAACACTGCACCGACGGACGCCTTGGTTCGGGGCCTGTCCGCAGCGCCCTCAAAATACAACTCGCAGACGCCATCAGCCACGAGCGCACTCCGATTGTAGGTCACCATAGTTGTCAACGCCGACGGAAGACTGACGCGGCGGCGACTACATAAATGAAGGGAGTGTGCGTACCTCGCGCGAATCTTCCCGTCCCTCGCGCCCACCGCTTGACCTTGTTGTTCTCTCTTGTGCTCTTGCGTTTGCATCCTGGCGCATCATCACCCGCCCTGGTGATATGGTCCAACGAGAAGGCACCTCACGAATCCTTCTACCGCTGTCTGGCTTCGGTCTTGGCTAGCTCTGGTGTTTCTCTTGGCTGCTGCAGACCAATATCAAGATCGACCATAAACCATACCGTACGTCACTGGTTATAACAACTGAATATTAGAGTGGCCTATCTGCCGGCAACACGATGACGGACAGAGTCAGCACCGTTGTACACGCTGCCCTAGCCGCAGACTATACACTCACAATGTACGTTCAATCCCAATCTAGTAATACAACTCGTGACTTTACATATTCCAGCTCCATGCGGCCGCCTGATGTTCGATCCGCCGATCCTGCCCTCTAATACGACGTGAGTTGCGTTGCGGGTAGGATATGGCCGCGCGTTCAAAGGTGCCAAACGGAAATGTTGTGACGCGCCCAGTCGACGAGGTGACGCGCGTGGATGCCCGCGCCGATCGTCTCCTCGCTGCCGAGGTAGTAGAGAAGGCGGCCGTGCAGCAACGGGAGCTCTTGAGGCATAATCTTGTACACCCCGGTGAACACAAATACCAGGAGCAGGTAGAAGAACGCCACTGTTGGACACGAGCTGTGGTCAGCACGGGTCTCCTTATACTTCGCGCAGGATTACACAAAGGCACGAGCCTAAAGAGGGCGAAATAAACTCACATACGAGGATCTTCTCCCAGGGCTCGAGCAGAGATAGCCCCCAGGTCGTCTCAAGCCAGAAGCGCCACCGCCAAAGGAACGCCCCGACTGCGTTCTTCGGCGGGCGATACGGGACGTCGATCGCGAATAGCGTCTCCGCGATCGTTGGTACGTGCTTCCAGTGCTCTAGTGAGTTCCGCATCGCGTCTGTGTTTGTGCCGGGCCTGGTCGTTAGTTGTGGACGTCCTTGTGGGCGTATATGCGTGTGTGCGTGCGTTGATATGCCGAGGCGAGAGCGGGTTGTAGGTGTACCGCAGGGGCGACTTGTCAGAAAGATGGGTGAGTGATGCGGGGATAGGTGTGGGGTAACGGGTTGGCGGGGAAGAGGGTGGGTTTTCGGAGCAAACTGGAGGTGTGAGGGGGCCGAGAGAAGAAAAGGAAGGGGTGAGCAGGGCAAGGCAACGCTTGCCGTCCACGTTCAAATACGACTCACAAGGCCTTCTTCGCTCTCCCTGTTCCGTCCGAGGTCGACTACTCCGAGACCGCATTGCGAGCGTGTCGCCCGAACCTGACCTCCGAATCCCCGATCCCTGCTTCTCGAGCCAACGCGGCCGTGTTTGCCCCCGCTCCGCCCAGGTACGTCTCTGTACACATCGTCCTTGTCGACTGATCTGTGATATGAAATTATTATGTCTAGCACAGTGGATGCTCTGTGCGTGGAGACTTGGCGTTGTGGTGCTATGTCCGGCATAGCCACGGGCATCGGGGTGAAAACCCGCAAGGCGCTTCGGAAGCCTGCCCTACCATGCGTATTCCGAACGTCGCCGTAGGACGATTGGGTAATCTCTTAGTCAGAGGTTCACCAGAAGCTTCGGACGCAACGCCCAATCCTGTTAGACTACATTTGCATATAGCAGTCGGGAGTTGCGAATCTGGTATGCTATCGCAGAAGGGGTGAGTGATCGAGGCGTGTTAGAGCGAGCCCGACCAGTGAACGTACAACGCGAACGGGAGTTTGAGATAATGATTTGCGTTCACTGACAAAAATAGAACACACAGAGTCGCACATCCTCGCATCTTGATGTTATGCCTCCCTTGATGTTTTGCCATTCACCGGGCTACGGGTTGTCCCGGAACGGATGAGTGCGGCGTGCAATGTGAAAACGCCGGGAAGTTCAGGACGAGCTACGATTCCTTCGGCGTTCAATGGCTTATTCTAACCGTATATTACAACCTGTTTGGATCCAGGAGCGAGTCGAAGCGTCGGGGCCCGATGTGTGTCGCGATATTTGCACGGTGAGATGACCAGAGCTCTCCTTCGGTTGCGGGAGCTTGAACCTTTCGCGTTGGGACATGCGAAACTGCATCGTTTCAATACACTTCTCAATACATGTGGGTGTTGAGCTGATGGTAGTTATATGCAGTGTGCACGGCGGGTATCTGAGACTTGGAAGTTCTGCCAACTTGAAAGGACTCGGATCCGGAGGGCGCATGGCATAGGACGAGCGTCCGAATGCGGCAAGGCGGCGCCGACGTTGCGGCAGCGATGATGACATAGATCTCGATGTGTTCGCGAGATATGTTTCGATCACTGAGTGCAACTTTGGGGCACTTCTTGAACATGCGCCGAGGATATATACCCCGTCTTCCCTTCCCCGGGGCTCTCTACGGCGTCTCTCTCTCCCCCATTGCACGACGCTCACAAACGACCATCCCTCATGGTCGTCCACACACGCCTCCTGGCACTCTCGCTCTTTACGACTTTCGCGCTCGCTACCCCGCTCGCTTCTCTTAAGCTCTCTCGGGACCTCCTTGTTCACGACTCACGCGACACTATTCCCTTTGGATTCTCTTTCAAGGCGCTCGCTGCGCCGAAAACTCCCCTCACGCTCCGGATTGCCCTTGCACAGAAAACTTCGGACGCCGTCGTAGATGCACTCTACAGCGTGAGTGATCCATCCAGCGACACGTATGGCCAACATTTGTCAAAGACGGAGGTGCGTTTACTTCTTATCCCAACTTTTGTAGGTTGCTCAAAGCGCCATAGGCTGCTCAACTTGCCGCCCCCGATGCAGCCAGCGTGACGGCTGTCAATGCCTGGCTCGCAGAGCACGGCCTGAACGCGACCGCACTCACGCCTGCAGGTGATTGGATGGAGGTTCAGGTGGACGTCAGCACAGCCAACACCCTCCTCGCTGCAAACTACTCTCTCTTCGCCCAAGGAGACTCTGGTCTCCAGGCCGTCCGCACCCTGGCGTATTCCATCCCGGCGGCGTTGAAGGGCCATGTGGATCTGATCCACCCTACTACCGCGTAAGTCCCGTCGGTTCGAAAGTTCATGCCTTTCGTGCACGCGTAGCAAACCTCATGATAATCTGTTGCTAACTATCATGTTGTGTTTAGCTTCCCTGCGCCTGTCCAATCCAATCTTATTGTGGGCAAACGCGCCTTTCATGAGCCTCTTTTGCCGCGCCGGGACCAGACGTCGAAGTGCTCGAACGGCACGACTCCTGCTTGCCTTCAAGAGTTGTACAACATTCCTACGACTCCGGCCACTGTTGCCTCCAACACACTGGGTGTGACGGGTCGCTTCGGGAACAACGTGCACTACACCTTCCTTGAGGTACCCTCGCCTGTTGAAAAGAACGCGAGGCCCAAGTTTATTTTGCCTTTTGCAGGAATTCTTGAAGCAATATCGCCCAGACATGGATCCGGCGACCAACTTCACTGTTACGCTGCTCGATGGCGGAAACAATGACCAGGACGTGCCTTCCGTATCCGAAGGAGTAAGTTCGTTCATGGCGTACCGGAGAAACGTGCGCTGACATTGCCTTCACAGGAGCTTGATATCCAATACACCGTAGGTCTTGCCACGGGCGTACCCGTAAACTACATCATGGTTGGAATCAAGCATCAAGATGGCGACCTCGAGGGCTACCTCGACGAGGTTAACCACTTGCTCTCGCTCGACACTCCCCCGCAGGTCCTCACTACGAGCTACGGCTTCGCGGAGAGCAGCCTCTCCTTCGAACTCACCGAGTAGGTGTCATACTGTTGGGATGTGAAGCTGTGACTCAGCTGTTACCATTCTCTAGCAAACTTTGTAAGGCTTATGCACAGCTCGGGGCCCGCGGCGTATCCATCCTCTACGCTGCCGGCGACAGCGGTGTAGGCTGCAAGCAGAACAGCACATCCTTCGTCCCGACGTTCCCATCCAACTGCCCATAGTATGTCACCACCCGTTTTCTGCTGCCTGCCTCAAGGTCTGACCCTCTTCGCTCGTAGTGTCACCTCCGTCGGCGGCACGCAAGGCTCCGCCCCCGAAGAAGTCTGGGGCGGCTCCTCCGGCGGCTTCTCCAACTACTACCCCACCCCCGCCTACCAATCCACCGCCGTCACCACCTACCTCGCCACCCTCTCCAACGCCACCGCCAGCGCGGGGCGCTTCAACGCGAGCGGGCGCGCGTTTCCGGACGTCTCCGCGAAGGCGGACGACTTCCGCGTGTGGGAGAACGCGACCGCGAGCCTGTTCGGGACGAGCGCCGCGAGCCCCGTGTTCGCGGGCGTCGTCGCGCTGCTGAACGACCGCCTCGCGGCGCGCGGGAAGGCGCCGCTCGGGTTCTTGAACCCGTGGCTGTATGCGACGGGCGTGCGGGGGCTCAATGATGTCACGGCCGGGAATAATACGCTCGAGTGTAATGGGGAGGACGTCGGGTTCGAGGCGGCGCCGGGGTGGGATCCGGTGAGTCGCTTGGTGTCTTTCTGGAGGCACTTTACTGATGCTTTCGGAATGTGCGACAGGTCACTGGGCTCGGGACGCCTGATTTCGACAAGCTTTTGAAGCTTGTCGGACTCTGAGCGTGCTCTCCTTTCGAGGTGTCTCTTGTCGATGTCGATCGCGGACGTTCCTTCGCGAGCATCGTCCCGCTGCCAGACTACTTGAACTGCTGTTCGCACCGCTCTATCCGGACTCTGTAATGTTATGTATCGGACTTATAGCATGATCGTGATATGTGTTTACTGTCTTGCAACTCACTCATTGCCTGCGCGTCTGTGCTGTTATGGCGGCTGTGACCTGGGTAGATCTTGATGCGTTTCGAGTGCGGTATACGTACATGGTCCCTTATGCAAGGTTACAGTACGGAAGCGTCATGTTCACGCATTTTAGAGAGAGGCGAGCATCTATCGCGAACGGGAAGTCACGGTATGAAAGCAGAAAGCAAAGTGTATTCCGGGTATATATGTTGGTTGGAAGCCAGACATGGGAATATCGGAGTATAGCGAAAAGTACTGTAAAATAGCGTGCAAAGATGGGACAAAACGCGGTTCGCTTTGTGTGGTTTACAGTTTCGGAGGTTCGCTTTGTGGGGTATAGACGTTTCTGAGAACGAGAGCAAGACCAGAGCAAGACAGAGAGCAGAAACAAAACAAAACAAAAGCAGACAGAAAACAAACAGAAAACAAGACAGAGCAAGGAGAAAACAGGGAGAATCGGCGAGAACCCAAAGAGCAGTTAAGCACTCAGGCCCAAGCCGAGAACGAGACCGAGAGCGGGGTGGAGGCTCAGGGCCCGGCGGAGTATCGAGACCACGTTAAGGGCAACTTTAAGGGCGATATAGACCTCACTCATATGAATAGGTCTCTTCGCCCACCCATTCACGCGGCCTTTTTCCCGAGGTGGGAGAGCCATCGCCAGATTCGTGCGAGCCAGTTCGGCGCCGCCTTGGGGTCTAGCAATGGTAATTGGGTCCTTGGTGGAGCAGTGTCGTTTGTCGAGGTGGCATCGCCGTCACATGAACAGACGGAGGAGCCGACACTGCAGTCCGAGAGGGCGGATGAGAGGGAACTCGAGGAAGTAGAGCACGAAAGGCTTGCATCCGGGTTCTTGACTTCCAGTGGGCGCGAGCATATCCCCGACGACAAGAACGCGTCAGGGATGGCGAGCGCAGCCGACAGCGCGAGCACCTCGAGGTCAGAGGTACTCGCGTCCGGCGAGGCGTCGGCGGCAGAACCATCGCCCAGCGCAAGAGCGGCGCTGGGGGCGACGGTCGTGGCCACCGCAACCGAATCGTAACAATTGAAGGACACCGGCGACTTGCCAGAAGCGCCCGGAGAAGTGCAGACATTCCCCCACAGATCTCCCCCGTGTCCCGGCACAGGCGTGCTGGGGAACTCGGGGGAGAACGCGGAGAGGGGGGCGTCCACGGGGGCAGCGTGTGCATCGTCGCACAACGCGCTCGCGACCAGATCCTGCGTCCAGGATCTGACAGCATCCACATCGTACCGGTCCCCGGCCAGGGTCGTCGCAGCGAACACGACGCCCAAGCCGAGGCCCCTTCCCAGCCCGACCATCCCTGCTTGAGAGGGACCGGTCGGCGTGAGGCCATATCCCGAGTCGTCGTCCTGCGCCCGTGCCACGGACGCGCTGACGTCGTCAACGTCTGCGTCCGCGGCGGCGTGCTTGTCGTCAGGAGCTGGGGCCACCTCTTCTACGTGTGCACTCCACTCGGAAGTGGGTGCAGCGCGCATAGGGGGGTGGGGGCTCGTACTGACGAGTCGCGTGCTTGGCGGGGCGCGAGGGGACTCGGGGATGGAGTTGGGGCGGGGGCGTTGGCTTGGTCTGAAAGACCGAGGAGGGGTACAGATGGGGATGCGTGGGGGGTGGAGCGTGCTGCAGATGCGGATGGGGCGTCGGCTGCCTCGTGACTGGTGGGGAACGTAGTGCACTTCTGGGGAGGGGGCGCTTCTTGGGGCGGTGTGGCGACTTCGGGGTTGTTACGTGACGGCGGCGGCGGGTTGCTGCCTTTGGGAGAGGCCTCGGGTGCCGTGGCTGGCTGGGGTTGAAGCTCGGGGGAGGTCCATTGGAAGAATGGATGGGGTTCGTCGCCCGATTGGTACGGCATACCGAACGGGGACTCCTCGTTCGAATCATCCTAGCCATGGTGGTGAGTGAAGGGCCTGGGGAGTGAAGGTCTCGTGATACGTACGGGAATAGAGCCCTTCGGAGGGACTACAGCTGGAATTGGCGTGCGGCAGGACAATTGGGTCCAGTTACTGTCATGTAAGAGTGAGCACGCAAGCTGACGAAGAACCCGAGAAGAGGCACTCACACGCCATCGAACCAGGGATGCTCCTTGATCTGCTCCCAGGATGGTCGCCTGTCCGGGTCCTGGTCCAGGATCTGCCAGCCAGCCAGTGTCAGCCACAACTCCACAAGATACGATATATGAAGAACATACCGAGACAAGCAAGTCGAAAGCATCATCGTCGATGTCGTCTTCGACTTCCAACCCAGGCTGGCGCATGCACACGGCATCTCCGATATCCTCCACGGTCAGGTTGTCGTCGTCGCTGATCTCGTCCAGATTGAATGGGAGCTAACGAACGGCGACGAGGTCAGCCCGGTAGATGAGTGGTGAATAAATGCAAAGACGCACCTTGCCGTTGAGCATCTCGTACATCATCACGCCGAACGAGTACACGTCCACCGCGTACGAGTAGGGCTCCTCCTTCCAGATCTCGGGTGCCATGTACTGCGGTGTGCCGCACTTCTCGCTCGTGATGTCGAGCTGGATCCCGAGCCCGTTGCGACTGGCGTCCTCCACGGTGTCTCCGAGTGCGAAGGGGCGGGCGAACCCGAAGTCGGCGATCACGACTTCGTCCTTGTTGTTCAGGAGGATGTTGGCAGGCTTGATGTCGCGGTGGATGATCCTGCGCTTGTGCAGGTCTTCCATTGCGAGGATCTAAGGGACTGTCAGCGCGTGTACGAGGAAACTTAGGCCCTCGAAGGCGACGTACGATCTGCGCACAGTAGCGGCGCGCTGTCCCATCCGCCAACTTCCCGCCATTGCTCCGCTGGATACGACTCTCCAGGCTACCGCCCATACACACGTCCTGTAAAACATGTTAGTGCATATTCGACACATGCAGGCATAGGTGAAACTCACAGTTAGGAGGAAGAAGAATTGGTCATCCTCGAAGCTGGCCTTCAGGGACAAGAACCATGGGCTTCCGGCGATGCTCTCCAGTACGGCTTGCTCCCGGAACATGAGCTCGTTCATCTCCGGGTACTCGCTCTTCTCCGCAGCCTTGAGCGCATAGAGCCGCTCGGTCGCGCGTTCTTGAACAAGATACACAGATGCTTGACCTCCCTCCCCGAGTTCGCCGACCACCTGGAAGTCGTCCGAGGTGACGGTGCGTACCGCGGTAGACGGGCTCTCATCTACATCTTCAATCACGATCTTGATTTCGACCTCGGATGAGCACGAGGCGGCGAGATTCGGGCTGGACGGGGGAGGCGAGTTTGCAGCGATAGGATCCATAAGCTCTGGCGAGCTGGTGACCGTGTTCGCGTCGACCGACTCGGGCTTGTCCGTAAGGACGCTGGGGGTTCCGACGAGAGTCATGTCATCCGATGGCGTGGGCGATACCTCGTTGTCGCAGAGGTGTTCGACCTCACGGATGACCTGCATGAAGTAAGCAGAGTGATGGACAGAAAGTGCGAGGCTGACATACCAAATTGCCGCTCTCGTCGAACTCCATCCGAACGTGTACGTCCACACTGGTCGGTATGTCCTTGATGTCCTCGACCATGATGGGTTGCATAGCACACTTCTCCGACTAGTCCCGACGTCAGACTCGGCTGACAGCGAAATGAGATGGATGGAGACTTACAGTGAGCCCAACCTTCTTGTCGGAAGGACTCGCCATCTTGGGGCTGGCGAAGGCGAAGATGTTCTTGAAGGGCATTGCGACGGAGAAACTGGAGGCGGCTGGCAAGTTGTCTTGGGGGTGCTCGAGGGCTGCGCCGAAGAAGCTGGCGTGTCGCGCTGGAGAAGCTGGGGAACCCGACGAGTTGCGCTGCGAGAGCTTGAACAGGCTTGCGTGTCGCACGTGAGGAGCTTGTGCGTTACGACGCGGAGAGAGCTTGATCAGGCTGGCTAGTCGTGCCGGCTGGCGAGTTGCGCCGGAGGAGCTGGCGGACTACGCTGGAAGCACCACAGGAGGTTGGCGTGCAGCACGTAGGTACCCGGTCTGTTGCACCGCGGGGAGAGCTTGAGCAAAGAAGCGGGGTGCGCCTGGGGAGCTGCAGGAGCTGGCGGGTTGCGCTGGACGGGCTTGCGTAGGCTGGTGGGTTACAGGGGAGGGGCTGTGGTGGGCGGGTGTGTTGCGCTTGAGTGACTTGTGTAGCTTGAGTTGGGGCTAGGAGTGGTGGTGGACGACAAGATCACGGAAAGCACGAGGGCTCCTCCTATACCAGACGAGGCTGACAAGGGGAGGCTGGCGAGGCTGGCATCTTCTTGTGCAAACCGCAATGACAATCACCTGCGCATAGGAAAATTACGATCGGGCCTTCTCCGCATGGGCGCGGCCTCTCAGACAGTCCTGACTGGCAGTAGTGTCAGACGTTCACACGACGAGGCCGCTCATTGAGACTGGAAAACGTGAGCGCAAGAAAAGAAACTACATTGCCTTAGAACAGGTCACTACACCGTGCACTGACCGACTCGCGTGCGAATCTGTGCCAGTTTTGCATCGGACCGGACTGTAAATTTACACTCGAATGGCTCCGGATAGCTGTCCGGATAGGTCAATGCCCCGACTTACAGTGGCGCAAGATGAGTATACTTACCTCACCAATCCCTTCGTGAACTTCGGCTTCAACTCCGCGCCCTCCGGCAGGCTGATATCGAACATGGCCAGAATCGTGGCGATGAGGATAAACACGGAATTCTCCGCCAGGTACCTCCCCGGACATATACTGCATGTGTTTGGAGTGCCATGAAATTATATTCCGGACGTTCAGGATGTGTTTGCACTTACCGGCGAGCGAAGCCGAACGCCCAGACAGCAGGGTCGGGTGGCAAGTCATCGCCATCCGGAACGAGAAACCGTTCAGGAGCGAACGCGTACGGGTCGTACGGCCCATGCGGTGCGAATGCGATTGCCCTGCGGTCTTCCTCAGACACGACAAAGAAATCTCCGGAGATGACGAGACGCATACCAGACGTTCGGGACCAGTATAGTCCCTTTGGGAATGTAGAATCCTTCGTAGACGTCATCTTTTGCGAGAGTGCGAGCAAAGCCTGCAAGTCGTTATCACATGGAGTGTAAATGAGGCGCACACTTCATGACGCACCGAGGGGCACGGCGGGGTGCCATCGCAGCGTCTCTTTGATTACTGCATCGACGTAGGGGAGGCCGGCACGGTCGTCGATCCTGGGCATGCGCTCTGTGCCTACGACCCGATCAAGCTCGACCTGAACTTTCCGCAGCGTCTCTGGATGCAGAGCCATCGCCATGATGCATGTCAGTACTGTGGAGTATGTCTGCATAGAGTGTCAGATAACAAGATAAGTAATAGCGATGCACGAGGTTCGCGTTACCGTCTCGCCACCGGCTGTAAGGCAAAATAGAATGAATACATGCTGAATTCCAATGAACGCGTGGTGAATGCATGAATGTACCTCCGAAGAGTGCCCCCGAAGTCCACTTGATCTGATGTTTTAGGGTGGGACTGTCACCGCCTTCCCGGCTCAGCAAGTCCTGCGTAAGAGAAGGAGGTGCGATCCCGGCGTCCTATAAAGAGAAGCGAGGTTGCGAAGCGACATCAGCGACCAACGGCATCAGCGACGAACTCAACGAGCCACACCATTTCGCGCATGACCTGTTCGAATGGTTTGTTGATGAACTGCTCGATCATCTTTCTGCCTCTGCTTGCGAACTTCTGAAAAGGCATCCATGAAGGCAGGTATTTCACTGCCATGACATTAGATCAACTTGGATCGTGGACTGATGTTGCGAGATCGAGACTTACTACAAGGGATAAGGTCACAAAGAAACGCTCCGGGAACAGTCGCCTGACTGATCATTTCCATGGTGTCTTCTGCGTGCGTTATATACTGAAGTCGGGGATACGTTAGATCTGACGGCCCAATCGTACTCGTGATGCTGCCTCTCACCTCGCTATCGGCAGTATTCACGGATAACCCGTAGGTGATTGTCATGATAAGGCGAGCCGAGGCGCTGTGGATATAATTCGTCGAAGTGGCGCTTGATCGCGGTACTTGTGGTAGACCTACAGTCTGACATGTCCGAAGAAATCCTCCGGGCTCTCGACCAGAGCCTGGCATAGCAGCGCCGCGAGGTCCTCTTGAATGGGATAGTAGCGTTTTACGGCACCAGCGCTCAACGCAACGTGTGCAAGTCGTCTGTGTGCCTTCCACTCATCGCCGTAAGACAGCAAGGCCATGCTCTACGACAAGAAGTGCAAAGTCTAGTCACCCTCGGACTTGAAGAGGATGGTGTCTGTACGCACCTGACCAAGGTCCATGAGCTCGCCTACGACCGTGAAAGACGGTCGATCCGAATAGATAGCGCCTCTCTTTTCAAAGAGCTGCGTAATGGCCTGGAGCGAGTTCAGGACCAGTATGCGGTTCCCCAGTCCGTGAAAGTAGACGAGGTCCCCTGGATACCAGTTCGTCACTGCGAGCCTTTGAGTGATAATTGAACGTCATACCATACACGTTCTTGTCCTCCGTGAGCTTGTACCATGCGCCGGAGGAGGGGACCTCTAGAATGTTTCCGACAAGAATGTTGCCCGGCGGCCCAGGGGGATAGCGATGCCTCTTCGTTGACAACCGGCAATTCCATACGATGAACAAGCCCAGTGATAAAGCGACGATGATTTCAGGAGCCCCAAAGGACGAAGTGAAGAAATTATCTTGGGGCATATCAAATCAACAAAATAGACGGAGAGCTGTCGCAGCGTGTTTCGGGGAGTGTTGTATGGGAAGGATGCTGGCGAAGCTGGCAGTTCTTCAAGCAGTCGGGTGAGAAAGATAAGCTGTCAGCCATGTACGTCAACGTGATGCCTTACCACGAAAAGGGTTCAAAGCATGTTAAATTCGGAGGATTCTGCGTAGAAATCAAGGCGCAGGCCGTCGAACTTACATGGGCAGATTGAACTCTCCATCGGGACATCCGGCGCAGTGGTAATGTGACCGGTTGAGAGTGGATTCTCAACAGACAGTACCTGGATGTCGCCGTGGAGAAATTGATCACTTACCTTGATAGATTGGGCTTCTCAAAAACAACAAATGGGCCTCACAGATCAGACGGGTCGTTGGCAACCGGCACAACAGCAAGGATCGGAAACCGGGTCATCAACTGCGGTGAACTTCGGTTAGTACCTTCTTCGACTTCCTCTCCACTTCATCCGAGTTTGGCTGCGATCGTCTCCCCGACCGGAGCGGGCGGTAGCAGTGTGGAGTATCGGCATATACGGCTGCTATTACTGCGTTTCTACAACGCCGACAAGCGTCCTGCTTGAAATATTATCCTCACGTCCACTTGGTGAGACTCAATCAGCTCACATCTCCTGTCTAACGCCTTTCTGTTCGCAGCTGGACGCCCTGCACATGGATTTCGGCATTATTTCCTTGAGCTGCGTCGGCAAGTGGCAAGCAACTAAGAACTTCCTGGCGATGCTGTGGGACATCCAAGGAGCCAAACGATCCCGGCGCGGAAGTCCCTGTCAAACTTCTGCGCAAGCTGACTCGTAGGAAAGCCTAGATGAAACCCATGTGGCACCCCAGGGTACCTACTCAGACGTTCAGTCCAGGACCTAGATAGCGTATGCGAAGCCTGATAGACACGTACTCGTCGATCTTGACCGCCACACCGGATTCCTGCAGTATATTTCCGTAGACGAGGGCCTCGTCTCGCAATGGATCTCTCCCACAAACCTGCATGTATGCAGGCGGGAGATCGGTGAACGATGGTTGGAGGAGAACCGAGAGCTCCGGATCGGTCGGAGCCGCGCGTAGCTTCTCTGCGAATTTGTTTCCATCTTAGAAAACCGATTGCGGCGGTGATAATCACTTTGGCTTACCAAAGTAGTCGCGCATATGGCCCTCGTTCAGAATACGCGGGTCGTAGTTGGTGGCGTATGAAGTGAGTTTGTCCGCGTATCTATGTCGGTAAACATGTCAGCCCTGGGCGTAGCTATTGCATGTACATCAAACTCACTGTTCCGGGACGGCATCGGGGTGAAGGAGAACTGGGATCTGGAGAGCCTGGCCAGTGATCGGACAGTTCACAAAGAAAGGGTCGATCTTGGCGCGATGGGCTATAACTGCCGGGAAGTTTGCGCCCGCAGATTGTCCACCGATCAGTAGACCTTTGGCGGGATCTGCACGTATGCTCTTCGCATTCTGGATGGCCTGAAGACACGTTCCAGTTTGAGTCGACGCTGCGCCACTACGAAGAGAAAACGTCTTACCCATTTGACGGCCGCGTACGCATCGTTGAGGCTTGTAGGGAAGGGATGCTCGGGTGCCAATCTTGGGATGGCGTAAGACTTAGAATTCTCAGATGGAGGGGGGGACTTGCCTGTATTCCACGTTTGCGATTACGATCTGCAGGTCAACCGCAAGGATCCGCATGTAATAGTCGTCCATCTCAACGTCGCCGAAAACAAAGCCTTCCACGGCATCGATTTCGCGTTACCGATCACGTTTTTGTCTCACGAAAGGAAAGTAACTCACCTCCGCCATGGGTCCAGACAAACAACGGGAAACTAGCGTCATGGGGTGAAGAGGGGTGATACGTGCGGACGAGTATGACGCCGCCGTCGACGGGAACACTGTGGTCTGTGGCGATGTATGCATCATCTGCAACACTGTTAAACGCACTAGCAGAAATATGTAAACAAAGAGTACACACCTGGGGGCAGCTGAGCTCGCTGAACGCTGCGGAAACCCTCGGTAAAGAGGGTGTTGAACCGAACTCGCGCCGCGGGCAAGTTCTCGGTGTATGTCTTGGGCGCTGTAGGGAGCTTCGAGAGTAGAGAGGACAGCTCGGGGTCGAGGCATGCACCAAAGAAATCGACGTTCTCCATCATGAATGGTGTCTGGCAGCACTGCAAAACGCCCACCGTGGTATCAAAGGTCAAAAGATGAAGGAGGTACAGGACTCAGAGCTCGAATCATGTACTCTGTCTCGGTGGCGCCCATCATTGTGGGCGCATGGGAAACCGCGCCGCCCAAGGATCCGACCACGTACCTCTCTCTCTCTCTACCTCCATAGCGCGGGCGTGCGAAAACATGCCAGTGCTGCCATGCCAATTAGATGGTTTCGATATGTCGTGGGCTTGCTACCAGATCTAGTACAGCCCTTGCACACGGAATCTGCAGGTGGTCCACACGAGGACCACGACGCTCGCCCTGTTGAAGGCTACGCTCTTCGATATTGAGTCGATGACACCTATCACATCGTGTGATGGTTATGGACCGCGCCGAGTCTCCTATCACGACCAAGATAAGAACGTATGAGCATACTCTGAATAGCTACGTTGGTTAGTATACTTGACTAAGAGTACTCACCTCATACTCTGCCCGACATGCATTTAGAGAATGCTCTTAAGTACTGTAGTAGTAGCTGACAGACATCGTGTCTGAATTGCGCTGGAGCTTTTCCTAGATTTGCGAGAGGCATCAGAGAGAGCGGAGCGGTCTGAGTCTTCTCTAGGTAGTGGAAATGAAGGATGCAGCCTGAGATTCATGGAACACACAACCTCGAGCTCCGAGCGAACCACTGCCGGCGAACTTCAACGAAATGTCGATGCTGGAGACGTCTGATCCCCCGGAAACCCCAACCACAGGAGTGCTCGGGGTACGGATGCCGTTATGCGGCGGATAAGCGCCGGCTGTTCGTTGCCAAAACTCATGCCACTAGCCCACCACCTTGCCACCACACCACCTTGCCACCATCCGCCGGCAATGGTGTGAGTAAGTACTGACAGTCGTGCAGTGACGCCACATTACCACAAGGCGACAGATCCACCAGTTCACAAACCCGACCCAATGCAGTTGATGTTGGATATGTCTGACATATTCGCAGAATGTTCAGGCCCACTACCAGCCAATACCAGTAAATGGACCGGTCAAAGATAGAGGCTACATGGCGATACCTACTTGCCAGCTGCTAGAGTCTGTCTCTGATACTCACGTCGTTGATTTGTGACAGGTTCGCCAGGCTTGCTCTCCTGGCATAGTATGGCCCGGAACGGAAGGACGCTACGGTCAGTCCATATCCCAATCCTGAACTTGTCAGCATTGCCAGCCTCTGGGAGATATGCAGCGACGACACGGTTCTCTTCATTCTCACCCTGTCTCACTTCTACGGTCGCCCTTCCTCCTCTTCATTGCTGTCTGGCTACAGCTTTATAATCTCTTTCTTGCTCTGAACTTCGCTTTCCTTCGCTCTGAATCATGGCTGTTCAACACTCTTCTCTCTCCCGCTCTGGTCAGCAGGGGGGTCTTACCCTCCGGAGGTTTGCCTTCCTCTCCCTGATATTTTCGACCCACTTCAACGTTGTCTCTGGCGACGGCCTGATGGAGGAGATCCTGGACGACATGGAGCATGCACTCGGGATCGGCAGCATGACCTCTTCAAGCTCTGTATCTGCCTCGCATTCCATGTCTGCCTCCACCTCGACGTCTGCGTCTGCGTCGTTGTCTGCCTCTGCTTCCTCTACCACGATAACATCTAGGTCAACACTGCCGTTTACCTCCACATCGATGACTACTTCTACGTCGATCTCGGCTTCAAGCTCGGTTTCTGGACTGTCTTCGGTGGTGAATGCCGCTTCTGCGCCTGCGGAACTGGTGCCCTCAAGCGTTGTCGCGCTACTGCCCTCAACGGTGATCTCTATCATCGCTTCAGCCACGGCTTCTGTCATTCCGACGGTACCCCAAGGCGTGGCGGGAACCAACACCACCAGTAGCAACAGCACGCCACCCCGCGCGGTCTTTGCTCACGTCATCGTGGGCAACACGTACAACTACACCATGAGCACTTGGGCGAACGGTACGTCGTGACCTTTGATGCGATCGCGGCGCTCGGAAACTAACGCATATACTCATCATTCCAGACATCGCGCTCGCGGCATCAAAAGGCATCGACGCATTTGCGCTCAACGTCGGGAGCGACTCCTGGGAGCCCGGCCAGATCGCAAACGCCTACGCCGCCGCCGGCCAGTACAACGCGAAGATCAACACCACCGTCTCCACGAACTCTACGAACACCACCGCTTCGATAAGTTCACCGTTCAAGCTGTTCCTCTCCTTCGACATGTCGTCGCTGCCGTGCTCAGCCGCCGGGGACGTGCAGCCGCTGCAGACGTACATCAAGACGTACGCGAACAACACGAGCCAGATGACGTACAACGGGCGCATGCTCGTGTCGACGTTCGCGGGCGAGTCGTGCACGTTCAATAGCAGCAGCCTGAACGGCGCGTGGGTCAACGCGCTGAAGCCCGCGAACAGCTCACTGCCGGCCGTGTGGTTCGTGCCGTCGTTCTTCGTCGATCCGCAGACGTTCAAGAACTTGACGGTCATCGACGGGATGTTCCACGTGAGTGCCCCCGCCTTCTGCTTGTGTTTGTGAAGGGATGATCTGACACAGTATGCAGTGGAACTCGGCGTGGCCGATGGGCAACAACAACATCACCTTCGCGCCCGACGCCTCCTACATCGCCAACCTCGGGAATCGCACGTACATGGCTGCTGCTTCGCCATGGTTCTTCGCGGTACGCCCTCTACCCCATTCTCAGTGACCGAGATTCCTGACCCGGCGCGATATCTAGCACTACGGCGTGAACACGTACAACAAGAACTTCATCTACCGCGGCGACGACTGGCTCTTCGCGCAGCGCTGGGAGATGCTCGTCCAGAACCGCACCAGCGTCGCGCTCGCCGAGGTCCTCACCTGGAACGACTTCGGCGAGTCGCACTACCTCGGGCCCATCGAGGGCATCCAGCCCATGTCCCAGGGCTGGGTGAACGGCTATGATCACACAGGTGCGCTCCCCACCCATTCGCACAGCAGAAGCGTAGCACTGACGAGGGCGCGCCATAGGCTGGTTCGACCTCATGAAGTACTACATCGCCGCGTACAAGACCGGGACGTACCCCGCGATCGCGAAGGACCGCGTCTTCCTCTGGGGCCGCCTCGCGCCCGCGAACGCGACGGCGCCCGCCGACTCCGTCGGCAAGCCCACCAATTGGCAATGGGTGCGTCACTCTCCTCCCATTCGTCTTCTCTCGCGCTGCTTTGCTGACTTCGCGCGACTAGACGCAAGACTACCTGTGGGCGGTGGCGCTGCTCACCGCGCCCGCGAATGTGACGCTCTCGTGCGGCAGCACGTCGCAGACGACGCTCGTGCCCGCGGGGCTCGCGAAGCTCAAGCTCAAGCTGTCCGCGAACTGCGCGGTGAAGGCGGTCGTCGCGCGCAGCGGGAAGACTGCGCTGAGCTTCGCGCCTGCGGGATTCACATTCAACACCCATCCGTCATCGTACAACTTCAACGCGTTTGTGGCAGCGTCGCCCGCGTGATCTGTACAAAGTAGTAGTACACTGGACATGGAAATTTGATGTTGTTACAGAGTGTCAGCGACGCCGCGCGTGGCACATTTTATACATCCCATACGAACCCGGCGTGGTGCATGATATATGATACGCGAGCATCGCAGCTGCCCCATTCGTATCGCAGCCCTATAGTACAACGAAATCAGCTGCCGCGTGGAGGACTAGCTTCGCTCTCATCTTCTCAAGATCTCTCGCTTCACGATGTCACTGCAATAACTGAGCGCTGTCACGAGTCGCTCAACGGAAATCGCAGCATGCACTCTTACCTCTCGACGGACGACCGAAAAACAAGATGCATAGCATAGTGCCACTAACTACGCGCTGAGTGGTCAGCGCGCGTACCGCTCGAATCCAAGACCTGCCTAACGCCATAGCTGGGAGATAGTTAGAAACCGCCTACAACAGGCCACGGTAGACGCACCTCTCAAAGTCTGCTAGACACATGACATGCCAAACACCGACTATGCTCGAACACATAATTCGAAGACTGGAGCATCGAACCCAGGAACGTCCCCGCGATATATGGCTCCGCGGTCTCCTCCGAATCCGCCTCCACAACGACGACGTGCTCGATCTCCCGTCGCGGTACGTCGGCCTCCGGAGGGGCGCGAGGACCGCGCGCAGGGTCCGCAGTGACCTCTTCCAGGCAAAGCATCAGCGTGCTGAGCTCCGGGAGGAGCTCCGTGTGCTTGTACAGAGCTGTGACGACCGCCTCCGCTTTCCACAGGCTCCCGATTGCAAGCGTAAGAAGCAGCGGGAACCCGGAGAGCACGGCCGCCCAATCCACGTCGAACAAGAGAATGCGCGGCGCGATGTGTAGCTCCAGGTGAACGAGACCCGCCGGGGGCATGAGTCGTGGGAGTTCCATCAACGAGAGCGAGACGGTGTCCGTGAGGAGATCACCACAGTCTGGGAGCACGATGGCCCATTCGGCGGGATCGTCTGGCCCAACCGCGCCATCTCCCCAGTAGCCTGATAGCGCGAGCGGGCCGTCAACTGTATGACCTGCGAACAGGCGCAGCGCATGCGTGGGGTGGAACATCGGTAGGGTCTCGTCGAAGTTATCAGGCAGGATGGCGAAGAGGACGCCCGCGACGTCGGGCTCCCACATCGCGTCCCGGACCCTGGCGACGATCGTGAGGTGCGCCTCGGCGGGAATGGTGACGTACTGCAGAAAGAGCTTGAAGTCCTCGATGGTCTCGCTCACTTCGAGCTCGCGCAGGCATGGCAGTGTGACGGTGGCCATGCTGACGTCTTCAAACGCCATGCACGGTGGTAGCGCATCATGCAGAACCAGATATTCGAGCCCGGGTAGCGCGGCGATGGTGGATAAGAGGTCATATTGCCAATGGTCTTCTTCGGCATGTATCGCGTGCCAGATCTGAGTGAGCTCCAGGCGCGTAACTCCGCGGGGCATCGGGGCTAAGGGCCGTGGCAGCACTTGGATAGCGTACAACGAGCGAAGGGATGGAAACGCATCTGGATCGAGTGGGAATATTGGCGCCTGAGCGGTCAGGCAGTGAAGTGTCAGGGATACCATCGCGCTTGAAACGCTCTCCAAACGCCTGCATATATCATCAAGTTGATCGGGGGAGAATTGGATGGCCAAGGATTGTAGACGGCCGGCATGAGGGCGGAGCGTCTCCAGGACTTGGCCGGGATCCACGGCGTGGAGGTCCAGGGAGAGGTCGAGGCGCAAGCCACCGGAGCGGGGCAACAGTGTCTTCAACACCTCAGCGCTGCATCGCTGGTCAAATACGAGGGTCGACCACAACCCTGGAGACGAGCAGATGACCTCGTACCAGTGGCGACACACGAGCATGACGCGCGTCCAGGGTAGCGGAGAGGCTGTTTCGCGCAGAATGACGAACACTGCGACGAGCAACTCTGCGGGGAGCGAGTTTATTGGAGCCATCGGTTCGGGTGCCTTGTGCGTATGGTGCTCAGGCAGGTAGACAGTGAACGACTTGATGTTCGCGAAAGCCGGATTTTTCCCTTGGAGGGGAAGTGGTGGGAGGGTTGGGAAGTGTCCCGACTGCGCTGTCATGCTATCAGTAGAGAAATCCAGCAACCAAACATGGGGCACTAGAGGTAAATAACTCTCACGCCGGTAGTACCCTCGCCGTGGGTGTCATCGCGGAGTCCCACAACCCTAACCTCTTCCGTGGTTGCCATCGTTTGGCCAACTGCTTCGCCCTACCGTATCTTGAGCAGCAAGTTGTTTTTCTCGTATAATGACGAGGATTAGAGTAGGAGGGGGGGAGAGAAAGAAGGGGCTAGACGAATCCGGCGAGAAATCTGCAAGTACTTAAGGGAGCGCTCTTTGAATTTGGTTGACAGCGACATGTCGGCGTGCAATGAAGAAGTGCATAAAACGCATCATTGTTGACGTCAGAAGTATATTTTACAACAAACGGGGACGCCAACTTACCGGAGACAGAGGTCAGGGAACATGTCGAAGCCGACACGGCTATTTCCCAGCGGCTACCAGATGTCGATAGCTCTTATATTGAAAATGCGCACAGGGAGGCATCACGTCGGTCACGAAGGCTGCAAAGCCTGATGTTTGAAATGTACCGCGATACCGAGACATGACCATGCTTGAAGGAAGGATAAGACATAGTGTACATGGCCGGCGTACAAACTGGATTTAGGGAATGTGATCAGCTTACTAGAACTTGACTGACCAACTTACTTACCCGCACACAAGCGTATCCTGATGGAACAGTGCACCAATTTATTTCAGACGCATGATGGCCGTCGAGAAAGGGAGTCGTACTCACCTCAGACTGACATCGTTCAGTGGGTGAAAGTAAGTGAACAAACGCTCCGAGCGCTTCTGTGCGCCACAACAGTCGTCGATCCCCCGGGAACTCCAATAGAGTGAAGGGGTTTCCGGGGGATCGAAACCACCATGAACACGATCACGGGCACTCGGGAACCGCGCGTATACCCGTCGCGTCGTCCGCGGGATCCGGGGGAGGCTTGACATACGACATGTACACATCCTGCTACGAACTCCCGATCGCCTTCTAGTGCTTCTCTTCCCTCGTCTTCCATACTCTCTCGGCCTATCGTTCCATATTTCCTGATTCCGGTTCACAATCCCCTTTTTATCACCCTACTGACGTCGAAACCAGAGGTGCGTGGAAAGTCTCAGAGCCGGTAGGGTTGTCACCGCCGCGTCGGAGTCGTGGACGCTATCTCCCGCTGCCCTTAGGGATGACGAGCGACTGCAAAAACATGACGCGTCGCGGACGCAATGACTTCGCGCCGAATACACTTCGATCGCGAGATCGACGCGCCGCACCGATGACAGAAGTACTGCAGATTCGACCCGTCGATGACATCAGATCTTCTATTCGGACATGTGTAGACGTGTTTTTAGCCTGCAGCGAAGCTCCGCGAGGGTCCCGATCACATATCCCAGGATTTAAAGACAAGGGCCCACCTTCGACTTGACTGTCTCCCCCTTCCCTTCAAACCACGAGCTGCATCTGTTCGACTGCCCGCGTCCTTCGTATCGTTTGCTGCATCGCTCGACGCTCGTATCGAATTCCCTGCATTCCTCGACATTCGACCTCTACCGTTCGCTCGCAAATGCGACTCGCGAACTTCGCATGAAGCCCAGCGCGTAGATACAGTAGATCTAGAACTGCTGGGTGTCCCCGCTCATTAAAGCATCAGTATGTACCTTCCTCGGTTGAGGCACCCCCAATCGAACCTCCTCTCGCAGGTGCCATAGATGTCCACCAGCCGTTTCAAGTTTGGTCCCGGTGTGTCAGTTCATCATCCTGCCGCCTCAGGCTCCTGATCACTGGCCCCCAATTGTGCGTTTTCACTCAGCTCTTTCCCTCACCTCCGTTCAATCTTCTCCATTACGCAACGCTGGCGGCTCGGAGCACGCAACACCGAGTCACGGGCGTCTGACCGTTGCGGCGGTCAGTAGCCATGTGCTGAGGGCGCCTATTATAAATGGTCTCCGGGCCCAGGCGCGACTCGTCCCGACTTTGCCAAGTTCACTTTCCTTGCTTCGACCACCTTCAACGATGCCCAGTCTATCGCGACATACGATCTCTCAACACGATGTGAGGAATTGCGGACGATACTTGAGTATCGAGTCTCCGCGAAATCTGGCGAACGTTCGTGCATTTTCTCTTTCCAAAGATAAACGTGCGAAGCCGAGACATACGGACCGCTGAGACGGATGACCATAAGCAGCACTTATGCCGCCGCGCCGGCGGGTTAAACTGACGTCAGTCTAGACTCGTTCTCCTGCGCACTCGGTGCGCCCGGTGCCGCGCGCTGTCCTGCCTATATAACATCCCCGACACAGCCGTTGAGCTTAATAAACATACCACCGTCCAAACTCCCTCATCGCTTTCTACTTACCATTCAAATGACCACTACCTCGTCCTCATCGCGGTACATTCCGCATGGACCTTCTCACACAGACCTCAAGAGCATTCGCCATCACATCCACGATGCGCTGTTGGAGAACGTGCAGCGGGTGCACAGACACCCGTCTTCCAACCCGAAGGTGTACTACGGCAGCGCAGGTGAGTCTACTATCCACCTCTAGATTGCTTTCCCCCTCAACGAGATCGCCCGATTCGCAGGAGAGATCATCATGGACATGCGAGCCTTTGCCGCCCTTCAGAACCACACCTCTCCCGAGACACCTACATCCTCCCTCATCGCGATCCCATTCCACGAACCACGCCACGCAAACCACATATCTTACCTCGAGACAAGTATCGGCCCCGCCACCCTCGTCCTCGTCCGCCAACTACGCCTCCGCCAGAGCCCCGAATCGACCGCACATAAACACGCCCGCCGTGGCAAGCTCGACTCCGAGATCCTCGAAGAGCTCGAGCTACAAGAAACCTGGCGCGGCGCCGCCGACCTCATCGAGAACGCCGTAGAGCTCGCGACGGGGGAGGAGCTCGACGATGATGGCTGCGACGTGCTCTACGGGCGCGCCGGGCTGGTGTACGCGCTGCTGTTGCTTCGTTCCGAGCTGCTTGTCACGGTGAGCTACCTCGCTCACGCCGGCAAGCCTGGGGACAAGGTTGTGCGCGCAGTCGAAGCGCTGTGCTCAGACGAGAATATCCAGGCGCTCGTCGATGACATCATCAAGCGCGGCGAGCTCGGCGCCGTGCGCTATGCCCAGGAGCTGGAGGCGGACGAACGAGGCAAGGCACCGCCGCTCATGTGGAAGTGGCATGGCTCGTGGTATCTGGGCGCCGCACACGGCGTAGGTGTGTTCAAACGTCTATTTTGAAAGAGTGAGCCCAACTGAGCATCGTCATCTCTGCACAGCGGGTATCCTGCACGTCATTCTGCATGCGCCGTCGAATGCTCTTGAACCTCACTGGCCTAAGATCCTCTCTACCATCGAATGGCTGCTTGCCATCCAAGATCCTTTGGGTAACTGGCCTTCGAAGGCAAGCCTACACATGACCTACATCTGCGGCGGCGCTGCTGCACAACCTGACTCGAAGAGACTCGGGGTAGACGAAGAGCACGATGACGCGCTCGTGCAGTAGGTCCCTTTAACTTGTTCGTCCAGACCACCGCCTCACACGTTTCTCGTAGGTGGTGCCACGGCGCGCCCGGCTTCTTGATGCTTTTCTCCGTGTTCCTCAGGCGCGCAACCTTCTCGCCCGAAGCATGTCCTCTCCCAGATACCCTCCGCACGTCAATCGTCGCAGCCATGACGCGCGCCGGCGACCTCGTATACTCGCGCGGTCTCCTCCGCAAGGGCGTCGGCCTCTGCCACGGCGTCGCTGGGAGCGTCTATGCCCTCCTCGCCGTCTCCGACGCGCTCGACACGCCCACCTACCCCCACAACTCGCAAGAACTCCAACACGACGCGCAACACCACCACTGGCTCCTGCGTGCCGCGCATCTCGCGGACCTGGCGACGGGGTACCAGAGCCTGACGCAGAAGGGCCAGATGTTGGTGCCCGAGCGTCCGTACAGCCTGTACGAGGGCATCGCGGGCATGTGCTGCGCGTGGTCCGAGGTGCTCATGCGGCTGCCGAACGGGGGCGCGAGCGGGAATGGGCGGCCGGAATCGGAGAGGTGGAGGGGCGGGATGCCGGGGTTCAACGATATCGAGCTGCTCGCATAAGTGGTCAAGTTTGGGTGATTAGAGTGTACGAGTATTTCCTTATTCCGTCATTATGTTGTTTGGCCAATGCTGATCGTGTATAGTAGTATGCTGTGTAGTTCTGTACAATAGACTGTAGCGTTAACCCCTCCTCTGCATCTAATGTGTGCGGAAATATGCGAGCTTTTACGACGAAACCATCGTTGTGTGTATCGGTGAGCAAGCCAGGCTTCAGATCTTCAGAGATTTGCGTGTACGCTTTGATGACGGTCGATAGTATGTTCTTGAAGCTACCATACACATGGGGCGCGATCGTCTTCATCACCATCCTCGGGTCTCTAGCCACCGACGAAGTGCAGAGTTCATCTCCTCCGCGCACTCGAGTTGAACCCAATGTCCGCTCTCCACTTCGCAGTACTCGACGTCCGATCCGCCGTACTTTCCCATGCTGTCCCTCGCGGCCCCAGGAGTACATACAATGTCTTTCAGTGCGAGGAAGACGAGGGAGGGCGACTGTAACTTCCACGACTCCTTTGGGATCTCTGATGGGAAGGCGATGTTATGAGCAACTGCGGCCGCGGCGGTAGGAGGAAATGTGCCACTTACTGAGGCTGTCGTCCAAATTGACGTTTTCCACGTTCACTCTGTACCAGTTCAGGGCAGACTGGATCCCGTTCTCCAGGAGATTATCGCGCAGCGCAGTATACTCCTATCCACAGGGATCTCGTGAGTGTATGGTCAGAACTGCCCAGAAGTTTTGCTCTGACCTGATCGGTAAGGTAGGACGGACGTCCGAGCTGCAGATCACCCTCAACAGGACCCGGGCAACTCCACCAGATGTTTGTCTCGAAGTTGCATAAATCACCTTCCAAAAAAGGCAAGTGGCCCTGTCTAGGTTTGCATAATTTACGGCTGTGCGGCCTCTAAGCGCCCGTTAGACGCCGATAGCCCTGTCTCGTGTTGCATATTTGAGGGCTCGTCGCGGCCCAAAAAATAGCGCCAGCTGGAAAACTATCTCAAAGCCTGTGAAAAGACTTGTAGCTGATGAAATACGCTCTTCAGAAGGTGTTTGGGACGTTTTCAGCCTTCGAAAGCCTCGCAAAGCTCGGAATAAGCGCTCACGTGCACGTGACTAGCCCTGTCTCCCGAAGCATAATCCGGGCCAAAAGTTAGCATAAATGAGGCCCTATTTGGGGGGTCCGGCTAGACAAACCCTCGCAGGAGTTGCCCGGGTCCTCCCTCAACGCATTCCGCTGTCTTCCCCCGGACCGCTATGTGCTCCATCCAATCTTCTGGCCTTTCCGGATACATGAGCTGGAGGAAGCTGTCGACCTGAACGAGACGACGCGTTATCAAGCTCGTGCCTCATGGTCTCGAAAGTGCAGACTTCGAGATCGACGTACGTTCCGCTGGATGACGCTGTGCGCATCTTCTTTCAAGAAGAACTCCCAGTACGAGTAAGATTCGTATCCGAGCTTCGCCTTCGAGTACGCCATGAGCGCCTCGAGTTCGAAATGGAACGTCACGGGCTCGCTGAACGGAACGGCGATCCATGTATACCCCAGGAACGACTCTGGGTACATTACGGCCAGGCGCGACAACAGCGGGGATCCCCTGCATCCAGAGCAGATCAGCTGTGCATATCATGCAGACACATATTCGAACGAATGCGAACCAATCGTGCGAGATGCCAACCACTTTTTGCACGCCTTCGGCGGCGAGGATGTCCATTACGTCGCGCGCCATGGCGTTCATCCGGAAGGCGTTGAAATCGAGCGGCTTTGCAGTACCTCCGGCCCCCAACAGGTCAGGCGCCAGGATACCATACCCCAGTGGCTGGAAGTAGGCGACCTGTTTGTGCCAGTCGTACGCAGTGGACGGAAAGCCGTGCACGAAGAGCAGGGTGGGCTTGCCCTGGGCAGGAGGAGAGTGGTAATACCGGTATGTGAAACCTCGTTGGACAGCCACTTCCTTGTATAGCGCAGGATCCATGCTGAGTTTCGAATGGCCTGAGGGGAAGGGGAACTTCCTTGTAATGCGAGACCACTCTTTATAAGAGCATCCTCTATGCTCAACATGAGGTAAAAGCGGTCTGCCATACACCCGCAGTCGGATTAACGTCAGATGACCATCGCAGCCTCGTGTAGGAGGTCGAAGAACTGGACTTCAAGACCGCAGCGTGGAGCGTACTTGAAACGGTCTTGGAGGGCCGGGGTAGGAACACGATCGATAGGTGCCTCGAGGGCGTGGATTTTCGATGGTGATCAGATACGCGGGCCCGAGGATGTGCAGGATTTTGACTATGCAGCCCAGTGAATTGGAACTGCCGCATCTCCCGTGGATTGAGTTTGTAAGGACTCAGGCTCGAGTGTTATGTCCGAGCGCACAAGCACAAGAAAGCAAAAACACATCTATTTCAGGCGAAGGGGAAAGCAAGAACAAGTCCGAGAGCACAAGTCCGAAAGTGAGAACGTATAGTAAGACAGCAGTGTTTTTTCGCTTTAGTATGTATGACCTTTTTTCGGAGTTTGTGAGGCGAGTGCCAGATAAGCCCAGAGAGATCTAGGGGTACGTATCGTAGGAGAGCAAGATAGAGCGAAGTATCCCAGAGAAAGCGTATAGTAAAGCTATAGTAAGCGACAGTGTTTTTGTGCTTTCGTAGTTTTGACCTTTTTTCGGGAGTTTAGTATGGGAATTGTCCAAGAGCGAGTCTGTCCGAGAGCAAGAGAGAAGATGGAGCGAAAGGGAGAGCAGCAGAAGAAAAAGGCACCACCCAGCGCCAGAAGTGAAAGTGAAAGATCAAGTCGAAACCAGCGAGAGTATGTCGCAACCAGCGAAAGCGAAGCACGAAAAATAGTCCAAAAACCAAGGCGCAGCGCAGCTGAGCATATCAGAGCATGGCGGTGCAAGTCAGAGCCGAAGTCGCAGTAGTCAGCAGTCTCGAGAGCAGTTGCCGCGCGAAGAGCGTGGGCGGCGAGCTGCAAGTTGTCGTCGAGAGCGAGAGCGTGACCAGTAAGCGGCATCGGAGATCGACTCGAGGGTCCCACAGTGCGAGGGGCCCAGCAATGGTGATCCGACCAGAGAGGCCCGTCTTGCCAGGGCGTGCGTTTGCGTGCGCGTATCCATCCATCCCCATCCTCCTCTCTCCTTCTATCACCGGCTTGATTCGCCAGCTGGACCGCAACAGCAGCCGTGTTATGCCATAAAGGCAAGGTGGAAGTCATCGTCAGTCTCCTCAGGAGAGAAGACCGCGACACAGACTCAGCAGAGCTTTACGCTCCACCGTGGCTCGAGCGGGGAACGGCCCACGGGCAGCGTTCCCGCGCTTTCGGCGCAAGGTCAACAAGGCTCGGCGTCCTCGACTCGGGTAAGCGCGGGCGGGAGGAAGGAGCGGCCCACGGGCTGCGCTCCTTCGCGCTTGGTGCGAGGTCGAGAGTGCTTTGCGTTGTTGACCGAGACGCGCGCGAGCGGGGAACGACCCATGGGCATCGTTCCCGCGCATTGGGTGCGAGCGCACTCCGCGTCCATGATCCGGACTTGGAGTGCTCAGGCGTCGTCGCGCGCGTACTTTCAGACGTCCGCGTGTCGAAGGGGGAGTCGACACGCGTCACATCCGTCATCATCAGCGAGTGGGTGGGAGCCGCCGCGAGGCGCGCGGCGGGCCACTCGCCGATGAGCAGGCTATCGGCGGCCAGCTTGAGGGCGTCCCAGGAAGGGGCTACAAGGTCGTAGCCCCTCTGGGCATACCTCACGCGGGGGGCGTCCCGGGGAGGGGCATCCATATTGGCGACAGCGTTCAGGGCATTCCGCGCGGGGGCGGGGTGCACAGCGGGGGCAGCGGGCGTGTCCACGTTGACAACGCCGGCCGCATGCGGGGTCTCCAGAGCGGGACGGGTATCTTCGACGACGAACGGCGAATCCAGGTCCACGGAGCGGACGCGCCGACCGAGGGGCGGTCGGGCGTCTGGCCCTGCCGGAGCAGGACGCATACACGGTCGCGGCCGGTCTGACGGGGACATGCAGACCGGGGCAGTTGTATAGCTCGGACGTGTAGTGGATAAGGTCGAAGATGCTGGAGAGCGCGCAGAGGCGGGCGGCGTGGGGCGCACGAGAGTGCGGCCGCTGTGCGAGGGCGGTGCGAAGAATGCGGGGAACGCTGGGGATGCAGGGAGCGCGCGGGGCGCGAAGTATGCCGCGAGGGAGGGCGGCAACGGGGCGGCTGGCTGGGGGTAGGCCGATAGCATGGGAGATGTGAGGGTTGTGGATGTCTTGCGCGAGCGCTTGGTAGAGGGCTTGCGAGTCTGCAGGTTTGGCGAGATCCATTGGTACCACGGGTGCGGGACGTCTCCCTCCGGGTAATGGGTGCCAAACTTGACTCCCAGAGCTTCCTTTGACTGTGAGAAGCTCGTATGTTTAGCAAGCATATTCGTGGTAGCGTAATCAGCCCAAACAAAGACGCACTGGTTTAACACCTTCGGCCAGCCTGATGGGCCGAGGCTGTTGGCGTTGCGAGAGCTGGTTCCAGTCGCTATACAATCGCGTCAGATATGTGGAGGTATGATACAAACAAAAACGTACATCGAGGCGAACCAAGGGTGCTCCTTGATCTGCTCAATAGAAGGCCTTCTTGATGGCTCCTTCTCCAGCATCTAGACACGATGTTCAAGTTAGTGTCGACAAAAAGTGAATCTTGGAAGCAGACTGACCATGTAAAGCAGATCATGCGCATCTACATCTACATCTTCATTCACCTCCACCACTCCAATCCGGACACGCGTCGCAATAGTTCTCTGGTCGCGGTCAACGTCACCGTCGATCCCGAACGGAAGCTAAGACCCCATGGCCTATATCAGCATCTTCTCTCGCCGGCTGAGCAGAGGAATCAGACGCACCCTGCCGTTCAGCATCTCAAAGAACACAACACCCATGCTCCAAACATCCGAAGGGTAAGAATACGCCTCGCCCGTGCTGGCCTCCGGGGCCATGTACGGGAACGTCCCGCAAAAGCGGCGGGTCGCGTCGATCGCCTCGCCGGTCGCCTCATCGTGCGGCATGAACACGTAGTCAGGGTGTTCCCAGTACGACTGCAGGCGCCACGGCTGGTCCGCGGGCGCCTGGCCGTACATGCGCGTGAGGCCGAAGTCGGCGAGCACAAGCTCGTTGTCGGTCGTGATCAGGACGTTCTGCGGCTTGATGTCCCGGTGCATGATGCGCCGGCTGTGCAGCTCTCCCAGAGCCAGGATCTAGGGATAAACGTGAGCGCGTGAGCGACGGCAGTGGAGGAGAGAAGAGTGGGGACGTACGAGCTGCGCGCAGTATTTACGCGCCTGATCGACATCGAGCTTGTTGACATTGTAGATGCGGGAGGTGAGGTCACCTCCAGGGTAGAAGTCCTGTCAAGGTTTGTCAGCCACCATCCGAACACGAACGCAGTGAACACGCACCGAAAGAAGGTAAAAGTAATCTTCGTCTTCGAAGCTAGCCCGCAGCTGCGCAAAGAAGTGGTTGCCCGCCAGGGTCTTGCACGTGTCCTGTTCCTGGAACGCGAACGGGTACTCGCGAATGTTGAGCGCGGCCTTCCTGGTCACTTTGAGCGCATACAGCCGTCCATCGACGATGTACTGCACGAGCAGCACAGTGCCTTGACCGCCCTTACCGAGGACCTTCATGACGCGGAAGTCCTCGGTGCGGAGCGTGGGCGGCGGAGACGCAGCGGCGACGCGTGCGAGGGCGGCGCGCTTGAGGTCTGCGACGGGGAGCGCCTGCGAGAACGCGGGGAGGAGGGGGGAGGCTGGCTTAGGAAGCCGCGGGGACACGGTCTTCTCCACGAGCGTGGACGTCGTGGAGAGCCCCTGCGGCGCCTCTTCCTTGTAGTGATCGACATTGCATGCCATCTGCGAACAGTGGTGAGCAGGGGTAAGGTGCAAGAGCATATAGACAGAAGGCGTACCATCTCGCCAGCCTCATTGAACACCATCTTGATGTGGACCTCCTCGTCCGCGGGACGGTTCACGCAGACCTCGGCGATGAGCTGGATGGCCTCGATTTTCTATCGCGGGGTGCGGTTGAGCGAACAACAGAGTAGAGTACTGGTTAAGGGGACTCACCACTGAATCTGAGGACTCCGCCGCGGGGACTGCGGCAGGCTGGCGGGCGGCCTTTTTGCCTTTGAAAAGGCCGAGGAAGTTCTTCATGACCGGGGATGAGGGTCGAAGAATCGGTGAAGTAGGGTTGTGAATAGGTTGTGAATTGAAAGCGTCAAGAACGGCTAGAGCGTCGAGAGCGTCGAAAGCGTTGAATTCGATGAATGTGTAGAATAGTCTGGGTGGGCAGTGGTGGTGGAAAGGAAAGATGGGGGAACTGGCTGGCAATGCGCCGTGCAAGTCCTGACCGGTGTCGAGATCGGGACTGGGAGGCTAACCGTTCGGGTTGACACACTCTATACTTTGCACGCCCTATCAAGGTGGAGGCTGACATTTCTGTCAGCGTTGCGCACCTCGCTATGCGGCCATGAGCTATGCCGAGAATTTGGGTACTCGCCGCGAGCTGTAGTTCTGAGATCGAGTGGGTTAGAACATCCATTAGCCAAGACACCGGTGTCAGCGTGCGCGGAGAAGCGCGACCTATGACGTCTGGTTCTTTATACCGGGTCCGCGTCCTGCAATCTCGGAAGTTGATAGTTCCCCAGGAGGCTGTAACGAGCAACGGCTGGTCGCGGTAATGAGAGCATACTGCGTGCGCGGCACCAATGCGCATCGTGGTCGGTACCCTTACGTCTATGGCACACCGTGTTAGTGTTTTGAAGCGATGCTTGACTTTCCGTTCACTCACCTGAACACAAAGCGCCCGCGAAACCTTGCTCAAGACAGAGCATTGTTGAAGCCGCGAACGCGCCGTGGCCGCTGAAGGGGAGACTCAGTCAGGACTACTGACATAGCAAACCTCTAGCGCCTGGTCTCGCAAACACTTGTATGGTCCACCTGAAGGTCGATACAGAACGTATACTGATAACCATGCTGATTCTTACAGATAATACAACTTCTTCTTGTGCTCGTTCATTTCGCCTCTGCGACCGCGCCACACTCGGGACACTTCCGGATCGACTCGTTGTTCTGCCAGTTCTGAATAACCGGCTTGAGTTGCGTGCCGAGGTCGGTGCAGTGGAAGGAATCCTCGCGGATGATCGTGGGCTTCTCGTGCGCGCCGGACTTGCAGTACCAGCGTAGGCGATCTGGTAACATATATCGGTAAGCAGCTTCGAAAGGGTATACGAGATGTTCAAACCTATGGAGCCCTCCGGGCGCACGCGCTCCAGGACGAGTCCGATGGTATCGGCAAACCGTACCGGGTTGTGCGGTGTGTTTGCTTGGTCACTGTGAGTCAAGCCCACACCGTGCGCATTTGCAAGAGCTTACCTGGAAGGAGAAACATCTCGCCCTCTTCGATCCTGATGTCTCTGAATTCGTCGCCGTCTACAACCCGGAGCAGCATGCCGCCCTTGTGTTGGTAGAACCACTCCTACACGCCCCGTAGGTTCGTTTGAGGCCCGGGTTATAATCATCATGAGTAACGACATACACGCACCTCCGTTTCGTTGACGTGGTAGTCATTCCGCTCGTTCGGTCCGCCTACAATCATGACGATGAAGTCCTTGCCCGAGTATACGCAGAAATTGTTGACTGGAGGCTTCAGGAGATGGCCGTTCTCGGAAAGCCATTTCGGAAAGTTCAAGGGAGGAGCAAGCGGCATATTGATCAGAGGCTGCAGATGTTGGAGTTGAACGAAAAGTGTTGAAGCAAGAGCCAAGTGTAAAGCTAGAGCACTCTTAGTCCGAGTCCGAGTGCAACAGTATTACTCAGTCCCGTCGGCAATAGCCGCTATCGCGTGACGCCACGGCTAGACCTCGCAGAGCTAGACCCCAGTCGCAGCTGGGAAGAGGAGAACATATCCGCACAGAGGTGGTGTCGCGTTCGGCGAGTTGGGACGATCATGGTGGGAGGAAGCAAGAGGAGACAGACTCGGGAGTTGCGCCTCGCTTGGCTTCGCGACTGCCCCGGTACACGGGCACGTGACACGCATCTTCGAAGCGCGACGCGTGCACGTAGGGAAGCGCGCGACTTGACCAGCTCCCCCATCTCCTCTGCTGTAGTCTTGCTTGGTCTTGGGAGTATCGGTCTGGGGAACTCGTCGAAACAGGACATAACTTCTACTTGCTCTAAAATGCCTTCAAACCCTGGGAAGAGCTCGAGGAAGACAAGCGCATCTTCCTCTAAACTCAACACACAACCGCTACGCTTCCACTCTCCGCGTGATGAACCCCCACCGGCCAAGAAGGCGAAAACGAAGCCGTTGATGTCTGTAAGTAAATTATGTTGCCGATGCAAGGCGGGCCATGATGACATCTGCAAGTGGCCAGATTGTCAGGCCTCCTGTATTTGATCTGGGCTTGAGCCAGTCGGATAGCCAGGTCAAGGGCAGCATCACCGCGAAGGCCAAAGGAAAGGAGAGACAACCAGCCGTTCCTTATCCCTCAGCAGATATCGGAGATGATAGCCTATGGGTTGATAGATACGAGCCAATGAACGAGGTACGTCCCTCCCACATATGCGATGAATATGCAACAAACAGCAACTATGCAGGGAGATCTTGCGGTACATAAGCGCAAAATTCAGGACGTGAGGCAGTGGCTACTGGAGGCTGCCGATGGAGGTCCTTCCGGAAAGTTGAAGAAATACCGGGTGCGTTTGTCTCCCTTGCAGTCCTCGCATAACCTCATACATCGAAGCAGCGCATTCTCGTCTTGACGGGACCGGCAGGTACAGCAAAGACGGCTACATTGCGTGTACTTTCAAGAGAGCTAGGATACGACATCCTGGAATGGCGTAATAGCATGGACGAGCAATTCTCCCGCAATAGCGACTTTTCTGGCGGGTGGTCTGGCGTGGAATACGAAGGGCTCTCCGAAAAGTTCTCCGGGTTCCTCACAAGGGCATCCAGCTGTCGTTCCATCTTCTCCTCGACACCTGATGCCCAGCCACTCTCCCAAGCAGCTCCTTCGTCCCAGCTTCCGCCTTCCAGCTCGTCGTCTACTACCCTCCACACCCCGTCGCCTCCAAAGCGTCAGCTCATCTTACTCGAAGATCTCCCCAACATCCTGCATCCACCTACACAAGCAGCCTTTCATACCGCACTGGAATCTTTTACCTCGTCCCCCGAGGCTGGCGTCGCTCCACTCGTAATCATCATCAGTGATGCCGGCGTGCGAGGAGAGAATCCGGAAGATGAAGGGCAACGATGGAAGTCGCGCACGAAAGAGACTATGGATGTACGAAACGTCCTGTCTCCCAACCTCCTCCACTCTCCGTATGTCACCCAGATAAGGTACGCCCCCCACACCCTACACCCAGACCAGAGTGGCACTCCCTAACACACACGCGCCCAGCTTCAACCCCATCGCATCGACATACATGCGCAGCGCGCTGAAGGCGCTTCTCGATCGACATTTCGCGTCGTCTTCGTCCGGAGCGCGCCCTACTCAAGCCGTGCTAGACGTGATTGTCGAGTCATCCAACGGCGACATCCGGAGTGCAATCATGGCACTGCAATTTGCATGTACTGCTGATAGCTCGACGCGTAAACCTGCCAAGGGGACGAAGAAAGCGAGCAAGGGGCAGGGGCCGTCCGCACGGGTCATGCTCGAAGCTGTGACGCGTCGCGAGCAGAGTTTAGCTCTGTTTCATCTGCTGGGGAAGATCATGTACAACAAGCGTGAGTTTGGCGGTCTGACTTCGTCCCGCATATACCCAGTAGCTGATCATGTTTGCACTCAGGAAAAGGAGATCCCGCTTCCTCATCCGCATCTGCTAAGGACATTCGGAAAGACCAAGAGATCGACTCGCATCTGAAAGACCCTCCACCCCTTCCCCCATACTTCAGACACCACGAGCGAAGGGCAAGTCGGGTGGACGTCGAGGTGAGCCTGCACCTGCCCTCACTTAGACGCATACATTGACACTTCGCACGCTTTCACAGGAATTATACGCCGACACCCCGATCGACGCGTCTCTCCTCTCGCTCTACATCCACCAGAACTACACCCAATACTGCACCACGCTCGACGAGTGCGACGCGCTCATGGACACGCTCAGCTACGTCGACGCCAGCGGCGGCGAATCCGTGCGTTCCCCTCATCCCTTTCCTCCCAGTTGCGAGCACGCGCTGAACTCGAAGCTTCCTTATAGTGGCACCAAGCGAACCCGCACCAGTTCCATCTCGTGGCGCTCGGGACGCTGCACGCACTGCCGAGCCCGGTCCCGAGGCGGAATCAGAAGCCGTTCAAGCCTGCCTTCTTTGACTCCCTACGGAAGCAGCATGAGGCCGAGGATGGCGTGAGCGACGTGCAGGTGTGGCTCCAGCAGGTACGCTCCTTTCCTTTCGATATCCTGAAGCTTAAACTAACGTCGCGCACGCAGAACAGCGCCGTTGCTCTCCCGGGCTGGAGCCAGCGCGAAGTCGTCCTCTCCGCCGGAACCGCGCTGCGCACCATCGACCGTGCTTGCACACCATCTGGGCGCGCCCCGTCCACACACCGGCTGTTCTCCACGCTCGAGTTCGCGCGGGACAGCGGCGCTGGCGCTGAACTCGCGGAGGAAGGCGATGTCGGTCTGGACGCGCCCGAGCCGGAACGCGAAGTGCGTGCGCGACCTTTGAAGACGCCGGCGGACGACGACGAGGTCACGGGCAGGTGGCTGTCGGACGATGATATTGAGGAGTGGTGATTCCGAATGACCGTTGTGAGGGTCGCTTTGCTTGCATCTTGGAGCCTTGTATGCTGTTTGTTTCTATTCGACTGCTTTAACGTCAGTGCATTAGCGAGACATCGGGTTTGTTTGGTGCCGCTATATGCATCAAACGTTTCACCTGGTTATATGCTATGGGATTTCCCCCGCTTGCAGCTTTGAGGGTTCGCACATTCGGAACCGATCTGGTTCTTGCGTGAATGCGGAGGTGGGGTCGCTCATGAAAGGGTCAAAGTACGTACCATCGTCTAAATCCTCTCCTTACACTCTCGTGCTGAGTTATGGTCGCAGTTCATACATGACAAGAGCCCCAAACCCTTTTCCCAGTTCCAACCTGAAGTATAAGAGGGAGCACACTGCAGGCTCTCGTAGTGTCAATATCCACCCCCCTCTAAACTTCGACCACACCCGCACGTTCGACTCTTAACTCCCTTCAAAACCACGATAATCTCACCGATTTTTTGAGCGTCATGTTACAGCTCAAACATCTATCGCTGCCCATTGGTGCGATACAGTCGAGTGCGTCGATGTTCAGCCCATCTTGGGCCCAGCTGGTGGCCTCTGGTTATGAACAGTAAGTCTGTCCGCGCTGCCTGATCCATCGTCCACTCTGACCACAATGAACACTCTTTTCTACCACGCCCACAGTAATGCCCGCTATTCGCTAGTCTGTGGCGCGCGGAACCTCAACCCCGTGCTGGACGTTGGATGATCGATTCGACGATGAAGGGATATCGGCGCCCTCAGCAGCCCTGGAGGTGGTGCGTTGCTTATAGAGATAGATGCTGGGGATGGTGAGTGCCGAGGTGGTCCTTTGGGTGCACGTCGCTGACTGTCGCGATTTAGAATAAGCTGGCTCTCCTTCACCCCAGTAGTGGGAGCTCCTCACTGCGCGTCTTATATCTGGCTGTCACCCCTATCAGCACCGCGCATCGCGTATGGCGTCCGTTGTACAGAGACACGCCATCCACGTCAGCGGGGTGCAGGAGCGTCCCCACCCACTGAAATTCGTGTCAACACCACGGACAACTTAGGCCTATGCCGCATTGGAAGGTCTCAGGCAAAGAAGGCGCGCGCGGAACCCCATCGCGCCCCGGAGCTAAGCCAGCGCTATGGACGCGTGCTTGCAGCCTTCAATGGGCAGCAAATCCACGACTATCAGAAATGCACATCCGCTGAAGTCAGCGATGATGGGCTCGCGCCGTCGCTACGTCATGGGTGTCATTTCCTCCTCGTTCATCTGGCCATGGACTCCTTGCACGCCGAAGTAAGTCGATCGTGTGTCTTCATACACGAGACATGCCCGACTAACCTTAGTCAGTTATGAAGGAGCTTCGCGGGTCATCGGAGGGACATGCGGGAAATAGAAAGCCAATGGAGCCTGTCGACCACGCGTTCTACCTCGTACGTTTCGTCATTCGTTCGCAGCGCCTGGGATGCTCACACTCGGGCGGCAGCGTCCATATGAATCCGAAGACTATCCCTAGCCCTTCACACAGGGTGCCGTGATTTGAAGACACAGGTCAATCACTTTTTGTTATTTCGCTGACCATTAACCTCGTCCGGCTTTGTAACCATAGATGAGGTGTGTTTCGGTATCTGAAGGTGTTCCGCCACAGCGAGCCGAGATACAACGCGCTTTCAAGGACACGGATGGCCAACAGTTCCGGGACTTTCGGGAAAACACACTGGACGAAGTCAATGGGGACGCGGTCGCACCGGCTTAGCTATGCCGGCGTCTCAAGTCACTTACGACGCCGCGGCTATGATGGGACCGCCTGCGCCGACGGTTTCGAACGAAGCTCCTGACGGCATGCACATCCGGCCACTTTTTCTCTTTCGACTCCCCATCCCTTTCCTCCGAACCGCGATTGGGAAGACTTTAACAATCCGGCGTCGAATGGCTCACTAGGTCGTACTCTCAGGACCAGGGGACATTCTACCTCTCTCTGGCGTCTCTTGGCCAGTTCTCGCCTTCCCACAGCAGTGGCGATCGCTCAAGTCGAGCAACTTCAATGCAATCCGATGATTCGCTTCCATCAACTCCAGGCCAGCTGCAACGCGCGCCGACCTATCAACAAACTTCCCATAGAGATCCTGACGCAGATCCTTGCAGAAGCTCTCGCCGAATCGCTCGACGACCCATACCTCCTCCGTGCATTTTTCACCCGTGTCCAGCTACATCGGCGACCACTTGACGGCGATAAGTAGGGCTTCCATGACGGATTCTTGCTATGCCTCTTGGTTGGTCCTTACCGGTCATGAAGGCGTGCCCTAGGCCTGACTGTACTCGAAGCATGCGGACATGTCGGTTGCTTCACATCTTCGTGCTGCAGGCGTTCCTCTTTTCCTGTGGGATCCCTCCTTTGTAACATTTGGGAGGATTCATTACATTTAGCTATAGCAGAATACTATAAATTTTCCTCTTGATGCGCTCTTGCACTTTCAAATAAGCGATCAGTGCATCTTCAAGTTGAATAAAAAAGGTTGTACCAGTATGACACTACTCAACGCTCAGTTTGACGGTGTAAATGGCTCGAGGTATGACTTATAATGAAGTTACTGAGTGTTCGGAGTCTAAGTAAATCAATGTCAGAGGAGTGTGTATTGAGAGACGGTGACGTCGAGGCCCGGCCATATATGGCAACGTAAGCGCGTGCGGGGAAGTTTGTCTGTGTTTGGGCATGCTTGACACAAACATGTCGATCGCGCCCGTGCTCTTCTCTTCGAACCCCCATCTCTGCTTCTTTTCGCGTCTGCTCGAGATCGTATGGGGCGCCTTATGTTTCCGAGGCACGTCCGAATAGCGCATTCTGCCAAGAAGAATGGCTTCTTCCAGGAAGCCTGGCAAACTTTGACCTTGACGTCTTCCGTCGCGAACTTCAGGAGCTGTCAAGCACCGGCCGCGCTGATATAAAGAACATGCTCGGATGACTGCGACCTCGATCCTTTCTCCCCACCCCTCGATTTCGTCTGCTCTGTTTGGGGTCAGCGTGTTCGTCCCCTCGGCGGCCTGGGTCTTTGTGCGCTTCTCGTGGGCTATTGACTCGGCGGTCACCGGTCACCAGCAAGCGGTCTCTCGTGGTCTAGTTACACAGTATGCTACCCACAGCAAATTACTCTGGCGAAAATGTCGGCGATGTGTCCTCTGTAGCTTCTTGTTCTTTCCCTTCGGATTTTGAGTGCTCTTCTACGCAGTCCGACGCACCATTGATCGCCATCGTTGGGATGGCCGCAGAGTTCCCCGGGGCTGAGGATACAGCGCGACTGTGGACAGTACTCGGGGACGGTATCAATACGTTGAGGAAGGTGCGCAGCATCTCCGAGGACTAAGGAAATTAACTAGCTTTAACGAAACTCATAGATCCCTCTAGACCGGTTCGATACCTCCGTCCATACGGATGTTTCTGGCGCCCGTGGAAGGTCCATGAAGACCACCATGGGAAACTTCATAGTCAATGCAGACGCCTTTGACAACGCCTTCTTCCAGGTCTCGCCGAGGGAGGCGCGCAGCATGGATCCGCAACAGCGTGTCCTCCTTCGTGTAGCACACAACGCGCTCGAGAATGCAGGCTATGTACCCAAGGCGACGCCGACATTCGACCCAGAGAGCTTTGGGACATTCATTGGTGTAGCTACCAACGACTACGTGCAGAATTTGCGGGACGACGTGGATGTCTACTACAGCACTGGTAACGCCAGCGTTCACGTACATCTGTCCGGCTCTTTCTGACACTTCGACAGGCACTCTTCCGGCCTTCCTGAGCGGGCGGATATCGTACGCATTTGGTCTGGGCGGACCTTCCATGGTCCTCGACACTGCGTGCTCGTCATCCTTGGTGGCAATTCACCAGGCGTGCCGTGCGCTGGCGTCCGGGGATTGCAATGCGGCGCTCGCCGGAGGGGTGAACATCATCACCAGCCCGGATGTAAGCGCGCTCCTTCTCTCGGAGATCTTGCCCTAATCGGTGTTACCCCCCTCCCAGATGTACCTTGGCCTTGCACGAGGTCACTTCCTGAGCGAGACAGGGCAGTGCCGGCCTTGGGACGCCTCAGCTGATGGATACTGCCGCTCCGAGGGGTGCGGCGTTTTCGTGCTCAAGCGCCTGGAAGACGCGGTGGCGGAGAATGACAGGATCCTGGCCGTCATTCGGGGGAGTGAAGTCAACCAGTCCGGAAATGCGCGCTCGATCACCCACCCGCACGTTCCTGCCCAAGCCACCCTCTTCCAGAAGCTCGTCACATCAGCTGATGTGGACCCGCTGGACATCAGTGTCGCTGAGTGCCATGGGACTGGGACGCAGGCAGGGGACCCCGCAGAGCTGGAAGCGATACGGAAGGTCTTTGCCATCGGCCGCCTAAAGGACAACCCGCTACACATCACGTCAATTAAGGCGAACATCGGCCATGCTGAGGCTGCGTCCGGCGCTGCAAGTTTGGCGAAGCTCATTCTCATGCTGCAGCACCGCACTATTCCCCGACACATCTCCTTCAAGACGCTGACTCCTCGCATACCCGACCTCGCCGTCGACAACGTGCGCATCGACACAGAGTCTACTCCGTGGACATCCGCAGAGGGAAAGACGCGTCTCGCTTTGCTGACGAACTTCGGTGCTGCTGGGTCCAACAGCGCTCTGCTTCTTGAGGAGCATATACCGCCTCCTCGTATCGGTGTCCCCGTAGGCGACTTTCTACTCGGACTCTCCTGCAAGAGCGAGGCCGCGGCCGAAGAGCGTCGCCGCACGTACATGTTACATCTCGAGCACAGTATCCGCGACACTGCGTCGTTGCAGGACTTCATGTACTCCGCAACCGCGCGCCGGGAGCTTCATGGGTACCGGCTAGCAGTTTCCGGAAGATCTCAAGCGGAGCTGTTCGCGAACCTAGGCAGCGCGAAAGTCATCAAGGCAAGCCCCGCCGACAAAGTCGTTTTTGTCTTCTCTGGCCAAGGCTCGCAGTATGACAGAATGGGCTCCGACTTGTACCAGCACCTCCCCGCTTTCGCACGAATCGTGGACGAGTGTCACAAGAAGCTCGTCATGGCAGGATGTCCTGGGATCCTGGATACCTTCATCTCAGGCTTGCATCACAGCGAACGAAGAAACGAGCCAATACGGTTCCGATCATCCCAGGCGTCATTGTTCGTCCTCGAGTACGCCCTCGCGCAGCTGTGGATCTCATGGGGCATTCGTCCGTGTGCAGTGATGGGACATAGGTGCGTCTCTCGCGTTCCGCGTCTCATACACACGAGCCTGACTTCTACTTGCGTAGTTTTGGCGAGTTCGCGGCACTGACGGTCGCTGGCATACTCACACTGGATGACGCTCTCCGCGTAGTCACGAGACGCGCCGAAGTCATCGCCGAGAAATGCGCCCTCCACAATACCGGCATGACCTCCGTCCAAGGGCCCGTGGATGAGTTTGCACAGTGTCTAGGAAGCGCCCCCTTTTCGCGGTTGGAGGTCTGCTGCTACAACAGGTATGTCAAGCATTCCCGCTTCTCACCCAGGCGCATCTGACCTCTCCGCATATAAGTGCCACGAGTTTCGTAGTCGGCGGCGACCTTGGCGAACTGTACCGCTTCGAAGAAATGTGCACCGCGCAGGGTGTGCGTCATACGCGACTTGACATTCCATACGCCTACCACTCCGCAGCGATGGACCCTGTCCAGCGCGATCTTGAGGCTCTCTACGCGGAAGTCATGCCATCACCCCCAGAGATCCCTGTCCTTTCGAACACCACTGGGTCGATGATCCAACCAGGGGATAGTAGTGCTATCGGCGTCGACTACTTCGCGCAGCACTGTCGGAAGGCTTCACGTTTCCAGCAAGGCGTAGAGAGCCTGAGCACGCACATCAACCTCTCCGAGGTCGCGGCGTTCATCGAGGTTGGTCCCCACTCTGCCACGCTTCCACTCCTGCGCGGGATCCAGAAGGATGGTTCGCCACTGTTGCTCCCCTCGGCGCGGAAGACCTCCCCTGGGCTGGAGACTCTGTGCACATCCCTCGCGCAGCTTTACTGTACATCCGTTCCCGTGGACTGGCGGAAGGTGTTCGCAGATCTCGCCCCCAGCGCCAGGCTGGTCGACCTCCCAGCGTATCCCTTCGCGCAGACGAGGTTCTGGATGTCATACAAAGAACACGCTAGGCGCGACGAAGTTCCCCTTCAGATAGCAACAACTCGCTCGCGCTTCTCCCTCCTCGATCGCTGCGTCCGCTCAGCCTCGAGTGATACAGGTGCCGTGTTCGAGACGAGTCTGGAGACTTTGTCGGAGCTCATCCAGGGACACAAAGTCGGGGACGTCCCTCTCTGCCCTGCCTCAGTGTACGTGGAGCTCGCTACGTCGGTAGCTATCTCTGTTCTGCAAGACCGTCATGCGTGGGCTGAAGGCGACGTCCTGGACCTCTCTGAAGTTGTCTACCCCAGGCCACTGGTCTACACTCCTAGAAGCAACGATCGGATCCACGTAGAGGTGTCATTGCTCGAAAAGCATAAGGGATCATTCTCTGTCTCTCTAATACCCAAGGCCGAGGCGGCTGCTCAGGTGTACTGCAGGGGTTCCTTCAAGAAAACAACATCCGAAGCCCGTTTGTCCAAGTTCTCCTACGCAGCCTCCACGGTCCAACGTGAAATCCAAGCCGTTCTTCGCGCGGGCCCCGCAGGGGCTTCCGAGACGTTCACTACCCGGACAGTATACGACCTCCTCTTCCCCTCAATCGTCGCATACTCGAACATATACCGCGCCGTACAAACGATCACCGTCAACACACCCTCCTCGACCGCGTACGCCGTAATCCAGCTGCCCAAACCCGCACTCCCTGGCACGTTCGCGGTACATCCTATCTTCGTCGACGCCCTCATCCACGTCGCGGGCTTCCTCGTCAACTTCACTCGCGGCATGAACGGCCGCGATGCATACATCTGCTCGCGCGCGGACAAGGTCCAGTTTGTCCCGCAAGTGTTAGACCCTTCGGCGCGCTATGGCGTATACGTAACGATTACGCGCGAGGATAAGGGTACTGTCACAGTGGACGCGTACGCGCTCGAGGCGGACGACCCGCGCGGGAGGATCGTTGCGCGCCTTAAGCGCGTGCACTTCCACCGACTGGGGCTGGAGGGGTTCAAGAAAGTGCTGCAGTCTCTCGCAGGCCGTTCTTCGATGCTGCCATCTTGCGAACAGTCACAGCCAATCACCGCCCCGACGACCAGCTCCACATCTGAACGCCAAATCCTTGGGGGCTCGCTTCAAGACCTCGAGCGCGCGGTGCTCCGCGTCATCGCGGAGACGGCTGGGATCGCGGAAAAGGAGGTGCGGGCCGACGCGCACCTCGCACATCTGGGCATCGACTCGCTCATGCTCTGGGAGGTCGCCGCTGGCCTGCGCGAGATCGTCCCAGGTGCAGCGCAGGTGCTCGCTGCGCAGGAGCTTGCGGGCGCGACGACTGTGGGTGATCTTGTGTGGCTGGTGAGCGAGAAGTATGGACGCGGTAGCGTGCTGCCTAGACCGTCGACCGAGGACACCATTACAGCGCCGACGCTCCTCCCTGCGCGCGAAGTTTCTGGCGCTGTCATTGCTGATTCCACCGCGGTGGACATGGATGCAGTCAAGACGGCGCTATCTTCTGTTCTTGACATTCCCGCTGCGGACATCTCGAACGACGCGGAGCTGCATGCACTCGGGCTCGACTCTCTTTCCGCAATCGAGGCGCGACACACATTCGATATACGCTGCGGTGTCAAGGTCGACGAAGAGACGCTCTTTGCGTGCCACACTGTCCGCGACATCCTTCGCGCGCTCGTTCCCGGAGACCCGCTCTCCCTGACTTCCTCTCGCATCCCCGATATCGCAAGACCAAGCGCGTACACGCCCTCTCTAGTGCCCGAAACCCCGCCCTCCCCTCCCGTCCCTCCTGCCCCCTCCAGCGCCCCCTCCAGCGGGCCCCCTGCATCTCCCCTTGCTCAAGAAACCGTCCACCACGCAGACGGCTACTCCCTCGTCCGCATCCAATCCCGACCCCCGGGCACCACCGCCTACCTCCCCCCGCTCATCCTCATCCACGACGGCAGCGGGACGATCGGGGCCTACGAGCGGCTCGCGCCCCTCGGACGCGACGTCTGGGCCGTGCGCAACGCCGACTTCGGCCGCTTCTTCGCGGCGCCAGGGCGGGCGGAGGCGGAGTGCGGGGCGGTCGTGGCGCTGGCGCTGGCGTATGCGGCTACGCTGGCGACGGAGGTGTTGTTCGATGAGAACTTATGTGTCAGGGGCGGGTGTATCGTTGGGGGTGAGTCTCCCACCTTCGATTTTACAATGGAGGAACTGTTGCATACGCGTGGAACACTCCGCTGACGGGGTGTGTTTATATAGGATGGTCGTTCGGGGGCGTCGTGGCGTACGAGGTCGCGCACCAGCTGCGCGCGATGGGCGTCCGCGTAGGGCTCCTGCTCATCGACGCGCCCGCGCCCCAGCCCCCCAACGCGCTCCCCGACTGGCTCATCGACGCTCTCCACAGACGCCTCACGACTTCAACGGCGGCACGCGCCGACTGCGGCTTCGCAGTGCAGATGCGCATCGCGGCACGCGCGCTCGCCGCATACCGTCCCAACCCTAGCGCACCCGCCCTGCGCGCGGTGTACCTGCGCGGCATGGAGCCCGCAGACCTCGCGGTGTCCACGGCGGAGAGCGGCGAGATCGACGCGCAGGTGCGTGCGTTCCTGACGAAAGAGGGCGATGAGTGGACGGTGCCGCTATGGGAGAAGGCACTTGGGGGCGGGACGATGGACGTTTTGGACGTCCCTGGGGATCATTTCAGGATTTTCGGTCGCGCGAACGTGAGTGCCATGACTTAGTGTGTTCTGAGAGAGACTGACGTTCAGGCTCAGATGGAAGGGCTCAGCGAGCAGCTTGTAAAGGGCCTTCATTTACTGTCGGGATGGACCTAGAGAACCTTGCAGGCGTTTCGATAAAATGGCCCTCTGACTGTTTGCACAGTGTTTGCGCGATGACAATGTATGAGCACAGTGGGCTCGCAATGTTGGTTGGAACGCATCCAATGAGTGTTTATACAGCGTATATGTGAGCGAGAGCGTGTGCGTCGGCGTCGGTTACCTGTAAGTAAAGCGACGCGGGTCCTCAGTACGCACGCTCGAGTGAGAGCAAGACTAATCATTGTGCTGTACCTGTAAGTAAAGCGACGCGGGTCTACATACAGTACAGTTAGTAAGGTGAACATGAACGGGGGGAAATGGGATCGGCTTACCCTCAGTACGCACGCTCGAGTGAGAGCAAGACTGAGGGCAGCGCGATCGCGAGACGTCGAGTATAAGTGGGGGGCGAGAGGGCGAGCGATAGGGCGTCTAAATGAGAAATTGCCTAATCGAGAATGCTTATGTAATACTGACCGCGCGGAACTCGTCCGCGCGGCAGGCATGAAGACGATAACGAACGAAACAATCAGAAAACATACACTAGACGATACGGGGCCGGTCGCGGACAACGACGCTCGGATTGCGTGCTCCAACACTCCCCCTCAATCCTGGAGCAGACCAAGGGCGGCGGCGAAGTGCTTCACTTTCGGCGAAGGGAGCGCCTTGGTGAGCGTGTCGGCGACCATGTCCTCCGTCGGACAATAGACGAGATGAATCTTCTTCTCGTCGATGACCCAGCGAATGAATGAAAGCGAATATCGATGTGTTTGGTACGGGCGTGTACTGGTGTCACGAGCGAGGGCG